CCCCGCTAAACATTCTAAGGTAGGAGAAGGCTGCAGTACTGTGAATCGAAAATGGCAAAGGGGAGACCAGCCAAAGACCTCACCTCATTCTCATTTTCGCTCTCCTTTGGTACTTTCCCCCCCTTTCCACCGTGCCGTCACACAGAGTGCCAATACACGTATGCAATAGGTGACGAATAACTGCGTCACGTAGGTAGGCGCTTATTCTTAAGTGTCTCGACATTGGGCAGCACTGAAAACTCACCCTCAGTCTTTATGGCGAGCAGAGTCATCCCATTGTCTTACCCGACGTTTGCGTCCTCAGTAGGACGAGAGCCGTTGGTCGAAAGTAACCTCCATGGTGTTTGCTCTGGCGATCTTCCGCAATACCCAATGATCAACTACTCGTTACCTGATCCGCCGCCCCCTCCACTTCACGCAGGAGACAGGTTACTTGGACATGGGAATGGCTTTGTCGAAATTACATATCATTTTCTGTTGATAGATCGTGTATCAAAGCGTTTGATATCTTATTTTATAAATCAAGCTGCTTATAATTGGCTTATTTTGGCGTCTTGTGATGGAGACTGAAGCCGAGACGTAGATCGTATACTATCAGGAGCACACTAACGCCATCTCTCTTCTTCATGGAGCACCTGTACCTAGAGCTCGGCCTTGTAGCTAAGAATATAGAAAGCATCTTGGGGTAGCCTAGGACCTAGGTAGTCTAGTACGAATAAAATATGCCGGTCTCAGTATATGAGGCCCACCTGGTTCGCTACATCATCTATATAGATTGCATCGAGATTGGTCACTCACCAAGCCCCAACTCCAGATGGCCTTGTCCCCTGGGAGGATCGGCCTGCCATTCTACCTAACCTCCCCACCGGCCTTATAGGGGTACTAGCTGTTTGTCTAGGTCTTCCTCCCCTTTTCAGGGTGAAACGAAGCACGTTGGACTAGGTTGGAAATACAATTCGACTTAGAGTACACATGGCTAACCTAGAGTTTTGCTCATCATGCAGTAGCCATGCATCTAACCGTCCCTCTACTTGTACCCTTGAGCTCGTGTAACAAAGCTAGACTAATCGACCTCATAGTTGTGGATAGACATCTCGATGTGACACCTGCTGTGTTATGAACCAAGGGCAGAATGACAAGTACTCAACAAATATCTACCCTGAAGAGCTTCGTAACCCGGTTGCAAACAGTAATATTAAGGCATGCCTGCTGGGAAAGTTGTACGGGATTATAACAGTCACAAAACTTGCAGCTTCTCAATTTCCCTTCCTGTCTTTTTCGGTGGTGATTTACACGAGTCGTTTCCTCTCGCCTCTGCAAACCGCCAAGTTTGATCAATTCTCTAATGAAACATCAGAGTCTGACAAGACGAGAGGGACCCATCAAAAGCTCGAACCTCTCATCACGCTGAGATTCTGGAGCTGAAATAAGTTAGTGAAAACCAGCTGTCGGACAGCCTGGCCCCTGTTCCTCTCTCTGTAGAAAGGGCTCATTGTTCCTCTCATCAATCTCCTTCCTGCAGTCGCAGAGCAAAACAAGGGCCCCCCTCTCCGTTGACACAATTCCGATAGGACGGGGACGGACTGAACACTGTCCTTGTCTCTCACGCACCCGGCCGCGCGAATTCGAGCTGTGGCAAAAATACAATGGTCACTCCGGCTTGCTATTCCCCCAGCGACGCTGGCAGGCGATATAGTCGTGCTTGTCCTCCATACCCGAGCCCATACTCGGATAGACGCTATCATCTATCCACACAAGACGCTCGATCATCAACTATGACAGATCGCGAAATAGACTCCGAGTCATCACAGCCTCGAAAGAGGATCGCAGTAGCAGTAAGTCAGATAGCTATCTTTAATCCTGCTTGGCTATGGCTAACTAGAAAACCTCATTATGAAGTGCGGTCGATGCCGCAAGCGCAAGATCCGATGTAGTGGCGACCCCGGGAACGGGCTCCCATGTTCCAACTGCAAGAATGCAGGCCATGCGCCGTGTCTCTTCTTACGGGTAATCCTCCGCCGATCATATCAAGAAAGAAAAGAAAGAAGAGCACGAGAGAATATGGAGAAACATTTCTAACTTTTCTGATGATTGTCCAGGTTTCTTCAACTGAAACTCACCTTAGGCACGATAGCAACGACTTTGGGTACAACCTCGACGCGGCTAGGCCATACAGCAACCAATCGAGGGTAACTGTATCTCACCTCAACTCAGTCCCTCAGTATCCCGCTACCATATCTGGCGAGGATGTTATAGCATCGTACCGCCATAGTCAATACCCTTACGCGAGTAAATATCACTACACCACCGTGCCGGGGTGGACGAGCACATATTCGGACGAAGGCGTGGAATATAGCGGCCTCAATTACCCATACCAAATTATAAGCCAAGAGCCTGCTCACATGGTACAAGGATACGGGCGGTACGGCTCAGCAAAATCTGTTTACGTCGATCCTGAAAGTCCTCCGTATTCTTTCGGAAGCTTGGCCCACCGCCCAGTCGCAAGCAGCGAGTCTCCTACTGGGTTCTCGCTGTCCGGAATGGCCGCTTCCCTTCCTAATGCCCCTGACCGCGTAGTTCCGTCAGACCGTCTTCTGCCCCAGGTGAACCGAACCCTAACAAGTTCGTCAAGCTATCGCGCGGATGGGATCACAAGTTACTCCGGCTCGAAGACGTCCCCGAGTAGTTCGTTGTCTGAAGTCAGCTACGGCAACTTAAACCCTAGCTTTGAGTCTCAGTACTCAGCCCCTAATACGCTCCCGACACAACGGTCAGGCAGCCAGAGTGATACAAATCCCTACCAACCAAGTGCGACTCCAGCATCAGATGCCTTATACACATCTAGTGATCAGTCACTTCGATCTACCGATGATACCAACACAAGCTTCAGTTACATCTACAGCGACAAGCTTGAAAGTTCTCGGCGCAATTCGCAATCGAGCTGCGGGGCAAGCGGCGGATCTGTGCTCCCCAATGGCCATGTTTATGTCCCGGACTCGCATCATACTCACGCCCCTTCATCCCAAGGGTATGTCTCTTCGCAAGATAGTGCAGTAGATGGAGCTACCACGTCGTCCAGTCGAGGAGGTAGCAGCAACGGCCCCTCGCATATGCATATGGACGGCCACCGACGATCTGCGGGAAACCTCCGTGGGGGATGATATCTATCGCCCTATGTTTAAGCGTCCCCGGTTGGCTGAAGAGCCGGGTGATGGCGGTATGCGGTGTGACGTGCTCAGGGGGGGGGGGAAGAGAGGGAGCGGGACCAATAAGTCCCAGCCAGCTCAGTCAGCGAGTATTGTACGAGTTCTTCTGGTCGACCAAAAAAGAAAAGAGAAAAAAAAAAACCCCCCATAATTCATACTGTTAGGAACACGGCGATGCCTAACGAATTTACCTTTCTCGCGATCCGGTTCTTCTTTTCGTTTGCCCGAGTCGACGGCACCAGAGTTTTCTGCCTGAAGACAGCTCTCTCTTGGTCCTTCACTCTTTAATATCTTACCACTTCATTATCCAGTCCCTCAAACATCCTCACCGATTCTTCCTACTCCTCCTCCGATTCCTCCTCTCCCGATAATACGTGTCATTTCATCTTGCATGCATCGGGTGTTCCTTGCGGCGGACGAACGCCTTTATGGCGCCTCTTCCCACCCTCCTCATCTCTCCTAGGAATTTTAACACTGGGAGTACAACAATCCGGAATTTCTCCAATCCAAGTTGAATCCGGCGATCTTTTGGCTCTCTACGCTACTCTCAAATTCCGAGAGCCCGGATGCCGGATAATTATTCCTAGTGGACGGAGTAGAATCCAGAAGATAAGCCCGATCGATGTATGGCGCTTCGTGTTCTGGGGCTGGTGGGTTGCGCGAAGATGTAAGTTACGTACGGGTGCATCCCACTTGGGACTCGTCTTCGGTACCCCTACCGCACATGCATGGCGGCTCGGCTACATCCCCCCCGTCGACCCATTGCCGCCCCTTCTCGTCGAATCCTTATCCGCGTGGCAAAGCAGGCGCTGCGTTCCTCGTCTAACTTACGCAAACTCATCTCGGAGAGGCTTATTTCGAGACGCTAGGAGTTGGAATAACTATTCTTTGTACGCGGCGCAGGATCGGTGTTTGTGCCTGTGTGTCTGTGTATGTGTGTATGCGTATGTGTGTATGCATGAGTGTGCGTGCGTCTTTGTGCCGGTCCGTCTGTCTGCATCCGTCCCGCCTTCGTTTTGCTTTCATTTCTTCCCAACCCCACGGGTCTTGTTTTATCTCTGCTTGGTCAAAATACCATACATATTAGGGTGCGGTCTTATTCATCTGGTTGGATCCCTAAGATACCTCTTTGCCGATTTTGGCGGCATAGAATGGATAGCTAAGGACGGGAAAAAGAGACTGAGTGGGAAAAGATAAAAGGCTGGGAACCCTCCTATTATTTCTGCCATTGCATCCAGCAAGTTATACGGCTAGTCAACGACAGGAAGGCTCAGCATTGGCTTTTATTGACATTTCTAGGTTTGGGGGCAACCCCCCAGTCTGTACCATTTGCTTTTTGCTTTTACATTTGTTTTACAGGAATACCCAAGAGTATCTAATAAGGCCTACTCCTAGTAATGGCCTAGTCAGCACAGCATGTTGAAAGAAAGAAAAGCACCCATCATAAGGGAAAGAAATGATGTGAATCAACTATAAGAGATTGTCATAGGTCACCCTAGCATGTTTAAGCCAGATAGGAGAGGAACTGTGGTTTGTACCGTCCCCCTTCCGAGGTCTGAAGTGGGACACAGTTTATGACATATTAGATCCCATAGAGCATCTTAAGAACATAGTCTTATATCCTTTCAATTGAACTTGACAATATATCCATCTTGCCTAGGTCCGTAATGTATCTGGCTGTGTTAGGAATGGTAAGAGGTAGCTAGCATTGGTTTCTTGGTTGAGAAGATATATCTTAAACGGAATGATGTAAGAATACTAATTCAGTTTTTAATAGTAATACATGTATTAACGGCTACTCCTTTTCACTGGCAAGGTCAATTAGGTGACTACTACCTATTATATATACTAGGTACCTATACTAGTTGTCGGACTGTGGTCCCCTTGAATGCATATCAGAAGCCACCGAACATCTCACCAACCAAAACGTCGTCCGGGATTATGAAATCTTCGTAATCTGTGTTATTGATGCTATGCTCATCAGATTGGGTTGGCGCTACAAGCTTTTCGACAACCTCGGCATGTTGCGCTAAGCAGGTATCGCCAAGGTCCCAGCCTGAATTGTCTCTATGACGACGCAATGCTGTGATTAAATCCCATGCAAGTCTAATGGAGCTACTTTTGGAGAGTTCGTTCGGAGACTTTTCGGTTTCGAGCGCACAGCGCAAAAGGATCGAGACCGTTGATGAAAAAGCAAAGGCGCTCATAGGTAGCCAGAAGTCGCGCAATTGCTCTTGTTGGAGTTCTTGGACCAAGAAGACAATATGCTCAGCCGTACTCCGAATACTTATATACTGATTGGCTAAGCTATCACTATTAATCTCGTCCTTAGATCGAGCATTTTCCATTCGAATGCGATGAGTTAATAATTTAATGGATAGATATCCTAATCGGAGGTTAGGCTCGCCGGGGATGTTAAGAAGAACGCCACGAGTTATGACCTGGCGGACATCGTCTCCTAGGCTCTCTACCCATCTATTAAGGCGAAGCTCTAGACTATCGATCGGCTTATTGGCCTCCTTTCTAACCTGATAGAGATATTGCAGGTAGTAATCAAGAACATCGGTTAGATCCGAAAGGGCGACGAAAACGGCCATGGCATCATGCTGCCTTTGTGAATCTGCTCGATTAAGTTGATGCTCAACCTTCGGCTGGGGAACGTCGTAGAAGGACCTTTGAATATGCGGTGGTGTGCCGCAAGCTAAGCTTAACCTACACATCAATAAGCTCAAACTCGGTTTTTCTTTTGGCTCTATACGTGGGTTTACCATTTATCGTGAATCAGTATTGTCCACCATGTATACATTCGAAGCATCTTCTCGGACTGCGGTATGTCCCAGGAAAGGGGGTCATGATTCAAACCAAGCGAGTAGGCCAGAGACACCGCACTCCCGAGTCGAACACCATTACCTACTATGGCAGTTGTTGGTCGGCCTCCAATATTTAATAATATTGCAATAACAGTGGAAATTCCTGGCGAGAGAAAAAGCTCAGACTGGAGAGCTTCGCTGGCAAGGTTCCAGATGAAGCGAACGTCCGGAGACCTTTGTTCTGCAAGTTGGGGCTCAGATTTCCAGTAGACTAGACTATGCGCATAGAGAGAGGAAAGGAGAGCTGGGGATAATCGCTCTTTGGTAGTAGAATATTGCCTTCGGAATGATTCCTCATTTAAAAGGGGGAAGCAGATATTTGCCTTTTGAAAATAACTTAGGCAAGCAATTAGTCACTCAGTAATTACTTTTTACCTGGCAAGAAGACTGCGCTCACAGGTTAATTAATTGCTGTGTCCATGGCTCGAGTAACTTTTCAACGACTTGACACTTCGAGTGTGATGGATTCGCATTCATCGTAAGTCCCAAGGGGCGCTTTTGTACCACTGTGAAAAAGACTTGTCGGCTAAGATTGATTCGCCTTGGACGAACCTGGTGTATATCGCAACCGTCGCCAGCGGTAGTAGATAAGTAGTCGGCCAGGACTTGACTATCTCCAGTCATTGTAGGGCTTATTATATGACTTTCATGTTCTGTTTCTTCAATTGATAGGGAGGTTGATTGGGGCTGAGTATCATGACGATAGTTATAAATAACGGGACTTGTCCTGGGAATGTCATTCCTAGCCCATGCGGCATTGACAGTGATGTTGACTTCATTATCAACAGCGGTCGAATGTTCATTTACCCCATCGCCGTAGTCAGTAACATCTGGAATGGATTGAGGCTGTACCGTGTCTCTTCGAACATGAGTCCTCTGAGTAGTGTGCCCCTTAGTGGAACTCGTCTGCCTCTTGATCGGAAAGGAGCACTCAGTCCCATGGACCTGACACATTAAGCATGATGCCGAATGGGCCTCGATCTTACAGCGGGACTTCCTTTTCCGACAGGGAAGACAAGCCGGGCGTAAATGAGATCGGTAAGGCCTTTCCCGTGGACTCTGCGACTGCATGTGGAACATGTATTTGGCCGCGGAAAATAGTAACTGAGGTCTGTAACTTTTAACACGGTGCTGTTAGGCCGAGAATTCTCAAGAAAAAGGGGAAGATGCTGGTTACTCGCGAGGTGTGAGGAGAGAGTGGTATGTGCCCGAATTTTAAATATACGTTGTTTCGAACCGCAATTGCTAATAGCTTAGATCGACGAGGAATAAGTACCTAGACATGACGCATCGAATGAACCCAACCCATTGATATCTATTTCTCCAGATGTGGATCTACTGGACCAATACTTTATGCAGCTTTCATCGGCAGAGCTTCCTACTTGTGGAGACTTATTGTGCTGTTATATGAGTTTCCCGCGGCAAACCATACTCCCCTCGGAATCGAATCGAGGCAAGGGAGTAGTAATATTTCAGATCTCTCATAATCGTGTAGATGTCTGTGTATTAGGCCTATAAGAAATACCTACATAAGGCTTATACCTATACAGATTAGGACTCTCTACCCTAGACGGTTATTAAGTAAGGTAAGCTTACGGTGTATAGATTATACTCAAGTCCTGTTCAGAAGACAATGTCATACTACTTGCTAATATAAAGGCATAGCGCCCGGTGTAGCAGCAAATGCCTGTTCTAGCAACTGAATGCCCTCCTGTATCTGCTCTCTTGTGACGGTGATCGGTGGGGCTATTCTGAAGATTCCACTGAAGCTCCCGTGGCTGCTTAGATTAGCCCAAACACCGAGATCGTATGCTTTGTCCGCTATAGATCTTGCTAACTCTGTCGCCGGTGCCTTCGTCACTCGATCGGCCACGATCTCAACACCAGCCATTAATCCCCTACCGCGCACATCTCCAATGCACCCGTACCGCTGTTTTAATACCTCAAGACCTTCATGCAGGATCTTTCCCATGGCCCTAGAATGCTCGACCAGATGATCACGCAATACGATTTCTAAGACTTTGTTACCTACCGCGGCAGGTAGGGGATCATTCACCTGTTGGGAATATAAGAAACAGCCAATTTAAAAATGCAGGGTAGATTCAGGTACTTACGTGAGTTGTATAGAAGCAGTAGTCTCTCTCAATGCACACCTTCTCAATCTCTGAGCTGGTCACGACGGCGCTTAGCGGAAGACCATTTCCAAGAGTTTTGCTCAGCGTCAATATATCCGGGACTACGTCTTCGTGAAGGATGGCCATCATATCACCGCAGCGCCCGACGCCGGTTTGTGCTTCGTCGACAATTAAGAGCATACCCCTTCTCTCGCAATGATTCTTTAGAGCCTTCAGGTATCCCTCAGGGAGGACATGTATACCCGCGGAGGACTGGATGCACTCTACTATGACAGCAGCGAGCGACCCGCAGGACGCTTGATCGATTAAACTCCAGCCATAGTCGAGCTCGGTCTCCCAATCGTATGATCCGTCTGGATGGCGAAATATGGATCGATATGCGTTAGGAGCTGGTAGCATATGCATTCCAGGCATGAGGGGCCCTTGACCTTTTCTTCCGTAATGATATTGAACACTAAGAGCTTGAGCCGTCACCCCATGCCACGAGCCATTCACGGCTACAATTTCAAATTTGCCGGTATAAACTTTGGCTAGCTTGACTGCCGCTTCGTTGGACTCACCCTAGAATATAAGATTAGTATTGGCTTCATAGGAGCAGCTTGGTAAACTTCAAGGGAAGATATTTGATAGCCGGCATTGGGATATTTATCAAGATCAGTACTTACTCCGGTGGATAGGAAGAAAGCCTTGTCTAGGCCCGGTGGAAGTAACGAACAGAGTCTCTCGCCTAAGCTTATAACTGGGGGCGAAACCATCCCCGAAAAGAGGTGGTCAAGATTTGCTGCGTGGTCGGCTATTGTCTTTACAATCTCGGGATGTCCATGGCCCAACAAGCAAGACATCTGGCCTGATGTCCAGTCAAGGACTTTGTGGCCTGCTACCGTATATACATAGAGGCCCTTAGCACCGCATATGACATCTTTCATGAACTTTGTTCCATAGTTGAATAGATATTGCGACGTTTTCTGCTGAAGCGCTGCTTGATCTTCGTTTCTGTAGAGACTTGGTACTATGTCGTAGGATTGTGTCGTGGTTCCAGTGCTCTTGTCAGCGAGTTCAGTTTGTACTGTTCCGGATGCCATAGTTATTTGCTTCGTTTGGAAGAGGTAGTAACCCCTCTCAACGTATGCTGATATACTGTTGTAAGTCCCCAGGGGGAAAAGAGCAGCTTTCCAAGATTTCCTCCTTTAGCGATTATTGAAGCGGCCTGCTTTATATAGATAAGCCTAGTTGTTGAGGAAGCAAGTGGGTTAATCGGGGGGTTTCCCGCGGACTAGCTACCGGACCCGCGGAGAACCAGCCGGGCGAATATTGGGGGGCGCACTCAACGATGAGGAGGTTATTGTCAAGCAGCCTCCTAGACCAAAGCCTAGTTCTGTAATAGTCCATTTTTCATTATTTACTGTATGTGGCAATTATCACTAAAATACCCTATACATTAGGGAAGTATATGAAAGGGAAGTGGCTTAATATGTTATTTGCTTGAAATATTATTTAAAGTTCTAGTTTTTTCTGCGTATTTTCAATAATTAGGTACCTAACTATTTAATATTATGAAAGTAATCACATGTTTAGAGCCTTGATCTTGCGTTACGGGTAAAATTACTTGTCCCTATGATATTATTAGGTATCATATTAAAATAATCTCGTTTGAGCCTCTATTAGTACGTATCTCTTGTGTGACAAAACGTTCCATTTCCGTCAAATACATTTCCGTCAAAGAACACAAAGGGCCTTTTCAGTCTACTAATACGAAAACGATTGGACAGAACTTGTCAAAAAAATCTTTATTGATTAAACATATGATAAGGGAATCAACCATCCACAAACTACATTGTTAGTTACCATCAGTGCTAGGTACCTACTTACCATACTCAGGTCTAATTATTAACAATACTCGAGAAGTGAAAGAAGAATGTCTGACTTGGATTTAGAGTACGTATTCCGTTCCTCGATCTTCGCACCGAGTTTACTTTTGGCTGTTCGCTTATACATATACGGTATTTTATAATAGGAAAGGCTAACGTGTATCAAGTGAGGACGTCCAGGACGCGAGGGACCTTTTGACAGAATATTTTGAGAGTGAAAAGCCGAGACGATTCAAGTTTGAAAAGGTTATCGGGGTTGGAGCCTACGGTATAGCATGGAGACTGATATATAGGCCGAGGACTTCTAGCGGGGGGGTAGGCAAGGCACAGCGCCTTGTCATGAAGATGGACCGCACCCATGCAACTAGTGGCCTAGGAGAGGACGGAGGCGCCGGTCAAATTTCAGATGAGGGCAGGTATCTTTCGGTTCGTCGGAGTCCAAAAGCTTGCGGAAGCCAAACTCACATGCTTGTAGATTTTGCAATGGGCTAAGCACATCGTCAAACTCATACAACCACCAAATGACCCTCTTAGTCGACAAGTTGAGGGCCTCCAGCCCCACGGAATCAGGCAGGGGGAATGGATCTACATCGAGTGGCTAGAAAAGTAAGTAGCTGAAGTTGTCCAGGGCAGCGATATGTCAATTCCATGCCCCTAGGTTTCCTTGCCGAAATTCTGCATCTAAGATGACATTTGCTTCAGTGGAACCATTGGTTCGTTTCTCGATAGGGCTTATGAGAAAGATCGACAGCTCCCGAATAGGATGTTATGGAGGTTCTTCTTGTGCTGTAAGTCTTAGCGATCTAAGGTGGTAATCTGCAGTCATTGCGTCGATCTAGAGGTTAATAATTGGCGTCGCAGTAATCCGTATAGGAATCGCCATGGCATGGCCACCCGCCGGGCCTGGGAGTGACGGCGAGCCGCAACTGGAAACTATCGGACCAGGGCCAGGTAGGAAAATAGTGCACGACGATTTGCATGACGAGAACGGTATATCCCGCCTAGAAAATCCCTGACCTCCAGATAGCTGACCAACGTCTAGTCATGTTTGGCTCTTTCGAACCGGACAGTGATGATGAACACGACTTAACTCCGATTATAAAGGCGATCGACTTTGGACTTACGAAAGAATTTCCGGCTAACCGCCAGTAAGTCACCTAGAATAGTCCAAACATTGAGCAAAAACTAACCTAGGTACCTAACGCATAGTGATTTTCGGCACAAGGGAGAGGCTGATAACGTTTTTGATTTCGGAGTCGTGAGTTCTTTGAGCTTCATATTTCCCTGTTCTTCTAGTTCCCTTTATTTCCGCGGAGATAACCTAATAATATTCTAGCTCATGTCCGGGCTGGCAACACTTGACCGCAGCAGCGCACTCGGCCTTATGCCGAGAAGGACAGGCTCGGAATTCTATTATCCGGGAGGCGACGAGATGCCAATCATGGTCGCAGCGAAATTTATGATTCCGGATACAGAACCAAACACTACTCTAGATCCCGAGTTGCGCTATTTGATAATGGCTTGCACCGCAGTCAGACCTGATGACAGACCGACACTGGCAGATTTGGTGGACCGAGTTACGAACGTGATCAAGGAGCGAGATGAGGAGTGGTACATATCGCAAAACATGAACGACAGGGATGAAAGCGACGACAATATTGAAGATATTATTCAAGAGTTGATATTGGATGCTTAAAAGGCGATACTTGTCATACGTATACCATTTACTCAAGCAAAATGTATAGTAGTTACTCAATCTTAACCTTCTAGTTATAACCCTTTCATTACTATTATTTGGGAGCAAAAATAGAACACCACGCCAACCAAATTATGATGTAATAATAGTGTGCTCTCTCTTTGTCATGTAAAAGTCATTAGTCCACTTTGCAATTTGAGACACAACATCTGCTTGGGTCTTCTTAATATCTGGATTTACCGCATTTTGAACAAGGAGGTCGTTACAGTGACGCGAACTGGGGATTAGAATACTGGGAACATTTGGCGTGGAAGCTAAGGGGCCTCTAGGCCTAAACTCACTAGCGACGGAAGCTGATCTCCATGGATCAAACTCGCCGTTCACCCAGAGGAGCCGGGACTCGGCGTCCAAGTATTCAGGTAGCTGCCAGCCCTTGGTATGGGCATTGATGTCTGACGCTGTCTTACCCAAGGCGCTCCCATAGGTGAACTTACCCTCCTCGGGAAAAAATAACTCGCACTGACGCTGCCAGTAGTCTGCGTTGGCGAGACGTGAGAATACAGTAGAGCGGTTTACCGGTGCACCACTGATTTTGAGCGTTAGGTAGTGGAGATTGGCTAATGATTGAGACAGGGGGTTCTTACGTTTGGTAGTAGAAGAAGGGGTCGTTACAAGTCATCCATACCCAAGTACGACCGAACCCATTCGCTCCAGTTTGGTCCGTGAACATTGGGCTAGAGGAATTGTATGTGTCGAAGCACGCGGTGTTATAGTCACCCTTCCACTCATCATAACCGTAGGAGGTACAATCTACTTGGTTAGATTGCGAACGAGTGTGATAAAATTTGCAAACTTACACCCTGGCAGGTAATGAGCTTTGAACCACTCAGCAAAGTTAGGTAAAGCAATTTCGAGGCCGACTCCACGAGGACTACTACTGTTAAGTGGAGCGGTTGAGTTTGGGAAAAAACCCTCAATGGCATCACACCTATATAGGCTGTGTGAGTTTTGCTGAATCTGCAACTATAGAGTTGTTTCCTATATGAATGACTTACATCTGGTAGAATTGGGAATAACCAGAGGTGAATTGAATGCTCTGCCAGGCCCAGATTGGAGATGATATCGCCCTGGAAATAGTGTTAGAACGACTGTACTGGATAGAGGAAGACTACGAGAATACGTACGCAGCTACATCATCTAGATGTACGAGATCTTGAAGCCCGAATAGTTGCTTTAAACCGGCCGTATCTTTTTGAGATCCGTTGGTAAAGACCTTGTCAACATGATCAATAATGGCGGCATAGTCTTCTGAGCAGTTCTTGGGCATGCCTTGTTGGATAGGGTAGAAATATTGCCAGTAATCGAAAATCGCCTCGACGGGACCACTGCTAGAATGCGTCGCCCAAAAAGTCCCGGGTGCAAGACTTTCGATCCAGGCACCTAAGGCACCCGAGTAAGAACCGCCACTCCAGATCCAAGGGGCATTGGATGCGTTCGATGTGTCATCCGCGTCAAACGGTAGCTTAACAGTTTGGGCAAAATGAACGAAGTCGGCAACAGATTGGTCCAAGTTCAAGAACTGAAGGTTCTTCGTTGTTTGGATTTCGTACGGCGTGCTGTTGCCCCAGTATCGATGCTCAACTAAGATAACTGCACCACCAACTTCTTTGGCGATTAGACCGGTGAGGGCTTGGTCAGTCATGTACGACACATAGCCCGTAGCAGCGACCTCGCCAGGGGTGAATAAGATAACGGGTGACCCCGGGCCTTTCCAGAAGGTAGCATTATACCAATAGGTCTGGTTAAACACTCCGAAGTCTGGATTATTGTGATCGATGTATTGCTCAAAATAGGCAATGCCCGTGGCAGACTGCCCGGGATCAGCGAGTGCGGCTAAAATCTCTTCACTGACATTATCGGATGGCGGATAGGGAATAGGAGGCGTTAAGCTGAGCACAACCGGTAAACAGACGAGGGAGAAGAAATATTGAACTATAAAACATATCATTGCGACAATAATATCGACCGAAAGGAGAGGAAGAAGGGAACGCGTCAACGTCAACGTCAACGGCAACGGAACCCCGAGGGCAAAAAGAAGACAAGGAAAGGCTTGCAACTTGGGATGACCATTGTGGCGGGTGAGACAAGATATTTATTATTATTTACCTCTTATAGATTACTTATAGAGCATGGATAAACGCCTCTACCTGCGGGGGTGGGATTCGAAGAGATAGCGACGGCAAGACATAGCCAGTGGATGATAGGTAACTAATATTAGAATTGAGGTCATCATTTATTGTAGGCGAGGAAAGGGGACGCAATTATCCGTAATTGTCTACATGATACAATAATATGCATGATTTAGAGTGAAGATTGTGCAATCTTAGCTTGCTGATGTATGGAAGCACTGATATTGACGGGTTGGTATCGTAGACCGATTGGCGGGATTAGATACGGAGTCCGGGGGTGAGAGGCGGGACCTCACTTAGATAATATCAGCCACATGCGGGAAGCTCAAGCCACAACAGAGGCTTTAGCTTGTACCAATCAATCAATCATAGAACTTATCGTCTTCCGTTCATCGAATTCCAACGTCGGATCCGGACCACTTCGAATCTATTAGCCCGACTCACGTCGCGACCTTCTATTTAAACTAATTGACCATCCGCGCGTCTGACGTCTTTCAAGATGGGTCTCCTGAGCGGCTCGTCCGAGGCTCCTCCAAGTATGCATTCCATTCCATTCCATTCCATTTTCGCATCTGCAACTGCTGACCGGAACCTACAGAAGCTACACGGGAGGAGATGCGAGACGCCAAACTCCCCCTGGCCTACCGAGATAGCTGCGCGAACCTCCTCATTCCCCTCAACAGATGTCGTGTCGACACATACTACCTCCCGTGGAAGTGTAGCGTACGTGGTGTTTCTTCCTTTCCCATGTATGCTCCAGTTGGTATCCGGCTAGGCTAACAACGTCGTCGTTATTTGTACTGAACAGGACGAGCGACATAGCTACGAGAAATGCCAGTACGACGAGTTCAAGAAGCGCGTAGCGAGGATGGACGAGCTGAGGGAGGCCAAGGGCGGGGCACGAAGCAATTGAAACCGGCCTGCATTTCCATGTAGGTAGAAAGGGAATAAATCGACTTGTACATATCCTAAAAAAAACCCTCTACTAGTTGTAAGAGGTATATTCGTCATTGGCCAAAGGGCTACCTACTATTAGGCTATTCTCCGAATCCTCTCCGCGTTTCACTCGTTAGGTAGTAATGGCACCAAACGCCCGATATACCCTTCTGTGATAATAGAGCTACGCTTCTGCGCGACTACATAATATACCCATATACCCATGGGTACCTAATGCTATGCACCTTTCCCTGATGTTAACCTTAAGACAAGGGTTATCACCAACGTTTGTAGAAAGAATCCTACTTGATATCTTTGCTTAAACTGGATATTCTCTACTGCTTCTAATTATGAATCGTGCTTAAGACTTCGGCCTTCACTATGAACAGACTCTTTCATTTTCGGTTGTCGTGTGATTTGTTTTTATTTGCTCTAGCTATTAGTTGAACTGAAGCAACTAACCTTATGGAGGGGTGTGGAATATGACACTGGTATACTGGTTCTTAGCTACCTAACCTAATATCATCTATTAGACCAACCTTGTGCCTAAACAAAATCAACTAGAATCTTGAGCTTGTTTTTCTCCGAGGTTTAATTGGACTGAAGGTGGAGATCGATGTTGAGGGAGAAGTCGACAGAGGTCCCTGCGACGAGGAGATAAATTTCCTCCTTTTTGCCGGCTGAGGTCTGATAGGCGCTGTCACACTTCTCGCGTTGCGATTTTTGGTATCAATCCTCTTATGTACCCATCCGTTACCCCTAGGTAAACTGTCCGGATCGGGAGAATAAGTCCCATCAACCTCGTCGTCGGCATAATTCTCGGTATAGACAGGTTCTGAATCCGAAGACAATTCGACTACCTGCGTTCCAGGAGGAAGTGTGAACTGGGATGACTCTTTAGGTAATTTCCGTTTCTTCATCGGTGGAGGAGAGGTTTTGATTGGTGGGGACTTTGAAGGCGCTTTAACAACGCCATCCTCCACAACACCGTCGAGACTTCTTCTTTGGCTGCTCTGCTCGAAGCTATCCGGAACTCTTGAGGAGCTTGTTTGATAATCTGACGTATTATCTAACTTCCGCATTTCTTCTTCGTAGTCTTGCTCCTTTTGCGCTCGGGCCTTTTGCGATCCATTGAAGGGTAGAGACTGCGACTGAGACTTGGATGGACTCTGCGTACTTCGCGAAGTGAGCGAAGTAAGCGCCGTGCACCATACGGTATTAATTGAGGACAATGAACTAGGAGTTGAGGGTTCTGCTGACGATCGTAATTCTGATTCTTGCGCCGTTGTCTCTTGTCCGACGGCCGACTCTTCTTGGACAAAGGGCGTAGGCGTAGGGGTTGAAACATCCTCATCTGATTCTAGATCCTGTTGGTATTCAGTATCTAGAGCAGTAGAGATGCCGTCATCTGTCATTTTAAGAGAATCCGGCTCTGTAACTTCCATGTGTAAAGTGTAATCTAGCTGCCGTCCACTGCGAGCACTACTCACTGACGAAGGGGGGACAGTAGCTTTAGACCTCACAACTTTCGGTGTCCCGGTAACAACTTCATCCTCGTGACTATCAAATAGAGGGGCCGATGACTGTCTAATGCTAGGAAGTTCCGATTCTAGAACTTCGATGTCTAGCCTAGTAGATGGACCATCCGAATCGATATCGCGGCTGGAAATATCCTGAATTGGTAGTTGACTAGTTTGTATACCTACGAATTGGCTGGTACTCTCGTGTAACTGTTGGGAAGGGCTATTGACCTGCGAAGGATTAGACGCTGACGTACTGCTGTGTTGTTGTGCCTGACCCGATGAAGAAATCTCGACGCAAGTAACGCCGGACGTGTTTTCCTCGATTGATTCTTTTGTGCTAGACCGTTCTCGTTCTGAGTGTGCGTCGACTTTTACGTCTTCGGCGATGGCTGGCGGTTCACTCCTCGTATTTGAGCTAGCTTCAGGAAGGGAGCCAGCTGCACTAGGTGTCTCATTAGGCGCCATGATAGAAAGCGGCTGTTGAAGAATTCTAGGCTGCTGCATTTCGGCAAAGCCAATAGTCCGAAATCCTTCGTCCTCTCCTTCATCTTCGTCGTCGTCGTCATCGAGATCTGGCGCTTCAAATTTGTCATATATCCGCTGGCCGGTACTCTCGTCATATTTCTTCTGGTTTCGATCAAGATATCGATCTCTCTTAGCAAGACAGACTTCCAAGCCAGTAGCGTCGTCATCGATTCTAACCACTACACCCGTCACGTTAGAAAGCTGCGGCTGCCAGTTAGTCGCCGACGAGCATGACCACTGCTGCCAGGTTATCACCATTCCAACTTGAACTTCCCCGGGACGTAGAGCGGGAAGCGCCGATAAATCCGATGGCAAGGATGGAAGATCATCCATGTCTGTAAACTGGCTCGCATCATTTATAGGTCTGTTGGCCTCGCGGGGTTGGGATGCCTCAGTGTCATCATAGTTGAGTTCGACATCGGCATCATTGGTGTAATCGTCCATACCGTTGAATGTATCATCGTACCCTTCTTCGTCCCACATGTCAGATTCTTCGTGCTTCCGCTTCTTGCTTGGGCGGTTATCTTGATAGAAATGTCCTTGGTTTCGCTGTGCTCGCTTACTTTGACCGCCACGCTTGTTTTTCTTCTGGGACCATGAGCTTTGCTGTTGAGGATCCCAGCGCTGAACGAATGGAAATGGGGGTTCGCTGAGCTGCACCCCTTCGTAACAGCACTCTACGGCTCGATATGTGATTTTGTCTTTCCAGGACTCAAGATCATCCTCCACCGTCGGGCCGTCTTCATTTATTTGCCGTGTACCATCCTTTCCCTGGCCGAGTCTTGGGTTGTCGAGCGGTCGAATATCCCGCATTAACTTTTCCCGTAATTTATCCTCGTCTTCTTTTGTTTTGGGGTTACGAAGACCTAATGCACCGAAAAGGAGTCTCCGACCGGCGCCTATATCTACACGAAGCTTCTTTTGAACAGAAGCTGATGAATCCGCGTCTTCGTCCACAGGTGTCATAGCCGACGTGTCCTGCTGGATAACCTGACGGTTAGGTTCGTCGCGTTCATCAAGCTTCCGTTTTGTTGATGTGGACATTCTCGATGACTCGTCGAACCGAGGAGGGCCAATTTCTATTCCGCCACTAGCGATCGCATTTAGCAGCTCCTGCCGCTTAGCTTCAAAGAGAGCGTTTTCGTCTATGACAGACAACCCAGTTTCCTCGCCTGTAGACGTCGCACCCATAATCGTACCCTGTTGCGCTAACTTTTTGGCCTTGTTTGCGGCTCTTCGGCGAGCATTTCGCTTTTTTGTCCTCTCGTTACCAGCTCCGGGAGGCACTGGCTGAACATGAGGAATCGTATTTGGTGGTGGTTGTGAAGGCTTAGTTTGCACGCTTCCGGTGAGCGAAGTTTGGACGCATGCTCTAGCTGTATCGGTGTTGTTGGAAGTCTCTTCTACACCTTCGCTTTCTGACGCGGAATTTGATTCAGCTCCGCTAGATTCTCCATCAGAACTTTCATCCGAGGATATGTCACTGCTATCGGAAGTCTCGTTACTACTTCCGATTTGGTTTAGGCTGTTATCATGGCCGAAACCTCTTTTTCGGCTGAGTTTTTGGCTATCGGAAGACTGCCGCTTCAGGGAGATTTCTTCCGGACCATCGTCACTATCATCGCTACTATCATCACTCTCATTGTCCGAATCGCTTGTCATATCATCACAGGAACTCTTAGGAGAGCTATCCGCCGGACGCATATTACTATCGTTATCGTCATCGTCGCTATTGTCGCTTTCATTGTTGCTATGGTCGCTACCATTTGATGACATATCCTCGTCGTCGTTATTGTCAGAGTCATCATCTTCGGAATCACTATCACTTGAGATTTCAGAATCTTCATTCTCCGAGCTGGAACTTGTAGCGTCGCTCGATGTATCGTCTTCCTCAACTGTCTTTTCAGGGCTAGTTTTATGGCCGTTCAACGTTGCGGACGTAGTTTCGCTCTCGCCGCTCGCCTTATTATTATCAAACGAGCTAGATATTGCAGCCATCTGCGCTAGCCCCCTGCCAGAAGTAATTGATCCAGGTGGAAGGCCTCGATGGTCAAACTGCCGTACAAAGGCAGATACTTGCTCTTCGTCGTCTGCATCGGACATATCCTCGTCATCGTGGGCGATGTCGTCGGTAATCTCCTCTTCTGGGTGCGTAGTAGGAATATCTTTTGTTGGATCATCTTTTCGTGATTTTCGTGATTTTAGCTTTGATGTTGTTGTCATAGACATTGACCCTGCTCGTAATGCGGATTCTGGCAGCTGAGGTGCGAAACCACTAGCTAGAACATCGTATGCTGACTTAAGGTCATCGCCGGAGGTCGCCAAAATCTTCTCGCAGATGCTTACTGGTGCCGAGGGGAACGCAGCTTGTAATGCTGACACCTTATTGCAATCTTCCCTTGTTGAATCCTGCGCATCTGAAGGCTCCTTATTTTCCACAATAGCATTATCTTCCGCCAAATCCCGAAGCTCCTGCTCAAGATCATCTTCGTCGCTTGGCATTTCTGAGTTCTGCTGATCATAATCGTCGGACTCAGAACCGTCACTTTCATTATCTGCCTCTGCTTCATTATCAAAGTCACCGTCTTCTGTTTCGGCATCGATGAAATCGAACTTCGGACTAAATTTGACGTTCGGGAAGGCTGATTTATCCGCTAGGCGCTCGCCATTCGTGAGAAGTAACATAGGTGTATCTTCGTCGTCGTTTAGGCTATCATCTAGGCTCTCGTGAGGGTGTAAAAGTCTACGGCGCTTCCGCGGAGGGTCGATTGGAGGTCGGCCGACCGGGACCCTTAGGAGGCGACGCCCGAAAGGGATACCATCGACGAGGTGTCTGCCGTCAGAAGAGATCTGATGTCGACCGCTGATTCGACGACGCCTGTTGTCATCTCGATCGAGAGCTCGAATGAAGACTCGATCATCAGGTTTAAGGACGGTGCGCACAGGCTGAAAATGGAGGCATTCGAAACTTGTACCGTCTTGATCGCGCAGCTCGACGACGTAGTCTTCTAACCCTTTCTGGCCGATCTCTAAGGGAAAGGTCTCGTTAACCTTCTCGATGAGTTTTGAGATAGTCGGGTTGTCTTCGAGAGACACATTCCACATGAGTCGTTCTTCCGGAAGGCCATCCCTACGCACCACCAGGCGTAGGCGCATGTCTTTCTCAGCCATGATTAGGTGTGCCCCAGACACTAGAAGCGAATACGCAGCGAATACGCGTATATCAGATAATTAAAGGGTATAATTATAAGGTCATGAGGATGATTTGTGTTATTTATTAGTCTTTGGTGTAGAGTAACCGTTGACCCGAAGGGCGAAGGGGCGACTTTATTTTGGGGCGGAAAAGGTGGTAGATTTCATTGCTCAGGTAGACCACCAGATAATTACACGATGCGAAGTCTCAAACAGAAAGCTGCTAGAAAGCGCGTTGCGAGAGCTTTGCAGCTCTGGTAGAAATCATTTTTAGGGTCAAGGCGCATAGGAGGTACGTACTGCGGATAGGTACGCAGATTTCATTGGCGGTAGATGAAGATTATGGAGCCTACCTCTTAAAAGCTAACCGGTCTAAAATTTTGGCAAGGATCGTGGGGTACATAGACCCTGGGAGATGCAAACGCCAATAGATTTTGATAACGGTTCACTTATGTACAACCTTAGGTACCTAGGTACGTAATGTACCTACATATGTACGTCTGGTGAAGCTATTGATATTCCATATAAACGAAGCGCATCTAGCACATTCATAGGGCATCAACGTAAGCGTTGCAAATTTACTCCTTATAATCTTACTCCTCTTCATATGTCACGTAAACCCAAAAATCTACAATGTCGTTCTATGATTTTTGAAAATACAAGGCTGCCGAGCGTATTTAGGATAAGCACATAATGGCGTATGTGCGCATCAAGGCGGTAGGGTACCCATATCCAGCATATGCCCCATCTTCTCGATCTATAGGTGATTACGCGGTTAGCTGCTCGATATCATATCTTCGACAACTATTTCAAAGAAGGCAAGGGAGAAAATAAACGAGAAAACACACACCTTTGTTTTTAGATAGCCTTCTACTTCTCGACTCCTAAATCCCCCCTTACCCTTCCAGCTTAGCGGCACCATTGCGACGCGCTCCGTTACTCTGACTTCCCTATTCGGTCCTTCGACGGCTCTAATCTTGTCCGGGTTGTTAGTCAGCAACCGAATCTCCTTCTGCCCCAGATCAAGGAGCATGGCTGTTGCCAACCCGTAGCTCCGCGCATCTGCTGGATGCCGTAACAGCAGATTTGCCTCCACCGTATCGGACCCTAAGTCTTGCAAGTTATACGCCTTTAACTTCTCGCCAAGGCCAATACCGCGCCCTTCTTGCCGTAGATAGATGACGATACCCCCGTTGACAGCGGTAGGTAGCGACATAAGTCGCGCCGCCTCGTCTAGCTGTTCGCCGCAGTCGCACCGTGCAGACCACGCCGTCTCGCCAGTATAACATTCTGAATGTATCCGAACAAGAGGAGGTCCATTAGGGTGTGAAACTTCCTCTGTCGGGTTATTGTCAGTAGAAGACGAGCCACTTGCCATGCCGCTTTTCGTCCTTCCTGGGTAAAGGCGACCGGTGTATGCGCCCCTCACCATACGGTCCATCTCCGTCTCTCCATCCCTCGGCGCATCCAAGGACCTGCTTCGGATATGTGGACCAAACACTATCGCAAGATGTTCCTTGTTGTCGATATTATTAGTGTATAGATGTAAGAACATTTCGGTTCCGGATACTGTCGGAATACGAGCGCGCACGATGCATTGAACTTCGGGTAGCGTCTCGAGAAGCCTTGGTCGCTTACTACCGCAACCACCAGATGGGATAGAAGAATCAACGGGAACGCCGGGAGGCTGTTGTTCGGCTAGGGATGTAGGCGTCGCATTACCTGGGGTAACAGGAGGTGTAAAGGCGGGAGAGAGGAGTGAGGGCGGCGGCCGGCTTGCATCGTCGGTCTGCGTCGAAGCTGGATTTGAGGTAGATGAAGGAACTAGAAAGGAGAGGGATAGCTCATCCCGGTCTAACCTAGGTGCGACAGCGCTACCTTCGTCTTCCCGAAGCGGCCGCGACCGCGGGGAATAGAAAGACGGGAGATTTGTCGTATCCTCGTGCGTTTGGGGATCTGGTACACCACGTGGATTTCCCACGGAAGACGAATTGGGGCCTGGCATGCCTTTATATAAATCAATTCAAGTCTCACTCTAGTTTAGAGTATGCAAAAACATGCAGCGGAAAGAAGCAAAAGAATGGCGCTGACATATGTAGGAACCGGTTGGATTTTGGCGGGGTGTACATAAGATATGTATCAATATGTACGTAATGACATGGCGAATTTGAAGTAAGCGGCTGAGAAACCGAGGTATGTATACATAGGTACTTCATTTCAATGCCGCCAGGGTTAGCAGGCACATTCCCTGTACGTGTACCTAAGATAGGTACGGAATACTGTGCGTCTTTGTTTACGGATACAAGGACTCGTGATGCAGCATTATTAATTGTAATGGCATCTAGATGAGTCTCGTAGTAGGTATCGTTATTGATTAAATCTATGTAAGGATTACGAGAATAATTATGTGTACTTCGTACAACTATAGCCATTCTGTGGGCGGTGAGGCTCCACCAGTGGCAGGTCCGTGCTTAGAAGCGGATCCACAATACTTCCTAAGGTATAATAAAAAAAATATCTCCTCTTCACCTTCCTCCGGCGTAGATGTGTTGTATGTACACCTTAAGAATTAACTTTTATTAGTTAGGTTATGTATGTGCGTTGTGTACCTAAGGTAGGTCGTAGTCATACATGTACCTAATTTATAGGTCGCATGTTGAATAGAGCCCCTCACCTTCCTATGTGCTTGTTTGTTTTAGAGTTCCTTATGTCCTCCTGTCCTTTACCTAACATCATTCTGGAGTTAGCACCTTTCGTCTTCCCAACTTCTAATTCAACTTAGAAGATTAGAAGATAGCAACGAATGTCTCTCTTCACCGATTTATAAAAGCATTGCAAAACCTTACCGTTTTCAGGATGCTGCCACCAAGCCTTGTTAGTACATACCAACAGTACAAGAATGACACCGATTCTATTGCTGGCTGGCTTGCCTCTACGGCAAAGGCTACCGGCTATGTGTCCGACCCCTTAACTCAGCAGCTACCCAAGGGGACAAGTACACGACTGAAAGGTAAGGCGAGGGCTGAAGCCAAGAAGAAGCAAGCTTCCTCATCTAGCAAACCGGCGCCAGTCAACAAGTACATTATCAAGATCAAGGACTTCATACCCCTAGCAGAGTTTATAGCTTCTAAGCACGACATATCTATCCCGAACTCACTCATCACTACCCTGCGTCGAGTCATTATTGCCCGTGGAGGTTTTAGTGGCATGCTTGCCGAGAAAGGGGCCATTGCAGATGAAATATCGGATGTCAATCACGGCTATTTTGTAGGCGTCCTTGAGAAGGTACAAGAGATTCTGAAACCCCAAACGAATACCACGTCAACTAGTTCCACTGGTTCCTCCCCTAAAGCTTCTAAGGATAAATCTCGCGCGGGGGTTACTGACGATGAGTTCTCCAACCAATTCGCCGGCTTAAAGGTGTATGAGCCCTCAGAAGATTTCCTCAATGCACCTGACATCGAACGACCAAAGGTCCGCGAAGGCGATAATGTAACATACGAAGCAGAGCCACCTTCGTCCCTTGAAGATCTCTACGTCGCCGTGACACTGTTGATTAACGATATCAACAAGATTCGATCTCGCATCGAATGGATATGGACCAACTATCGAGATGGTTTTTTTGAGCTGGCTGCTTGTGCGGTTACCACTAACACCGCTATTGACCTAGCGCGGAAGCTCAGTAAGTCGATTATGATCTTGACTCTTCCATATTCCCAATCCTTCGTCTTATAGGGTGTTTGCAATACTTCCCCAAGACAGTTTATAATAATTTCAATCCAAATCCATTTCCTACTTCCATTTTCATACACAATGTTAACAATGTACCGCAGTGGAAGACGTAGTACCAATGTTCAAAGATCATGGTGGGTTATGGAAGGTCTTAAATCAGTTTCACATCGTCCAAGTGATGATGAAAGGGTACGAGCCTTTCAGTCACTCGCCCAACGGCGCCGATAACTTCAACTACGACACGTACGACATTGCGGATGGGACCTACATTTTAACCTGCAGAATCCTGGATGCGTTCACCAGGGTAGTACAGCCTGGGGCTATTCCATTATACAAGGAAGGAATGTTTGGTTACTACGATCCTCGAAGCGCTCGAGACTCTAAGTCCGGCTATCAGAAATTCGAAGAAGATCGAGTGTTACTCATGTCGTTCTTCACAGAGCTCATGGCAGTGGAACGGGGGGTTGGCGACTATCCAGTTGAAGACGAATTCTTGCGTGGAATTAAGGAGCTAGCCAAGACTAAAGAAGTGCCATTTTATCTTGTCTTTGCCGCCCAGATATTTCTTGATATTCACTATATCCTTCGTGGAAATGCCAGTCGAGGGTTTGAGACACTCCAAATGAACCTTCAATTTTTGGATCGAGAAATTGAGGAGCATTTCGAATTCCATAAGGACCTGAAAATTGATAACTGGCCCACCAGTCACAACCAGATGATACGACACCTTCAAGCAAAAATACAGTACATACTGGGAGACCCCGTATACAAAGCCAAGACTCAAGCGTACCACGCACTCCGCGAGCCCGTCCCAGCGTCTATGGAGCCCAATAGAATATTGAAAATGTCACCGGTTCTCTGCGGCCTTTTACTCTACCATTTTCGCTCGTCCACGTGGGAGATCGGCATCAGGCTCGCAGACGCTTGGGGATCTATTACTTACTCATTGCATCTGTATAATTCCCTACAGAGCGAGAAGCTAATATCGAACTGCTGGCCAGATATGGACTTGGTATGGGCGGTACTCGGTGATAAATTCTTCGTTGGAGATACGCCAAAAGCTCCAGAAGACTACTTCAAGAAGTTCTCCCTCCAAATGGGTACAACAGCAGCAGCGTTTACTAGCAAACGCCGGAAGAACACGGCGTTAACCTCCCGGTCGGGACCTCGAGGGATCAAAGATGGCATACCGGTCTCGTCTATGTTTATGAACCGGTACCGACATGGAACGGGACAGGTCGACTGGACGGCTGAGCATATTGCTCAAATCGTCGACCTTAGCCTGTGGGAGACAGAAGGTTTAGAGGAAGAGGGCACTTTGATGCTGGGACAAGTCGATACCAAGAAGCTGAAACAGAAGTCGAAATCAATCAAGGCTAACAAGTTCTCGGAATTGCCTCCAGAACAACTCATCAGAGCCTTAATGTTCGCATTACAAGGTGAGGCCCTTGAGTTAGCTCTCCCTTACACCGCAATGCACCGTGAATGCTGGGCACTTTTACGAGCCGTACGGAAGCAGTGTGACCCTCTACTTCGACAGATGTTCACCTCAAAGTATATGGAGCGGGAAACAGAGCTGCCTTTTGTAGTGGGCTGGATATTCACCGCTCTTTGGGAAAGACGGGATACGAAGCTTCTAGCAGAAGCCGGTGTTGCCGTTGCTGATTTCATCCGATCAGATGGCAATACGGTCCTGGACTTGCTAAAAAGCATCGGAGTACCAGTGGTCTTCGGGGGAGAAGAGGTAGTATAAGCTGTGGTGCGAACTTCAGCGCATCCCTTTTATTTAAATCGCTAGGGTTGTCGACGAAGCCTCAATACGGTAATTTGATGTAAACGCCTCCTACTACGTTTGTATTGTACGTGATGTGATAGCTTCGCCTCAAGTATTCTTTTGGTCGCATAAGCAGTCGAAATGAATAACTCAAGTCCTCTACACTCTGGCCTTGATTTATGTATTATACCGTAGCTTCTCGCCCAGGAGTCTCTTGCCATGCATTAGGTATATATTGACCACGGAAGCCTACTAGCACCTTGTTAATTTTATTTAGATACCATGTAGCGATTGTTGATACTTATTGTGCCGTCCGCAAGGCATTGTGAACATATTTCTAAGCAATGCGATGCCCCCGCTCGTCTTCAGGGGGACATCAACTCACCATACGATCTAGCGAGTAAAAAGGAAATGAATATAGCAGCAACCCGTTACGGTGGGTGTTAAGGTGGTTATTTTGCCCTCACTGCTATAGAGAACTCGAACAATATGAGGCAACCCGACTATCTATCTAAGGGAGGTTTTAGCTAACTTATCTCCACTACCTTAGGATAGGTTAGGTTAGGTACTCACTACGTTAGCCCGAGGGAATAGCTTTCTATATACCTTACCTAGGTACCTACCTATCTTGCTCCCCCTATTTGTTTAGCCGCTTGCGGACCGATTATAGTGTTCTCGGAAAGCGTTGATCTGACGGTACGGTATATAGGTAGTCATCATTGTTCCATTCTACAGCATCTTTAGTAATATATAGGTAGGTACCTAGGTACATATGTTCGATTTTGATTTCCGATTCCTTCCATCTTCGTCTATGTTTTCGTAGTCGACGTTGGAGTAAGAAATGCTGTATATTTAGGCTAACTCGTCGAGTCTACGAGCATATCTAAATTACAATTCCATCATTATGTTCCATTAGTTCTTCCAATCTCCTGGCCTTCCTGTATAGTATGATATGTAACTATTGGTATGTGTGGCATTGGCTGTGCCTTCACTTTTATAAGTAGGCGTCAGTTTTGCTCCGTCTGAGATGACAAGGTTCCCTAGTACTCGTCTGAAAAGCTCTAGAGAGGCCTTTGGCTGATAGTATGGCACTTCATGCCCCGAGTCATAAACCCGCGTGAAGCTGAAATTACCGTACTGCCTACTTTCTCCATATTCAACGCCATCAACTACAAATGGGGCGTAGCCTGCTTCTTTGAACTCCTTCTTGTGCGTATAGTTTACCGCCAACGACACGGCTTCCCCACCCATCCAGTTGCATATATAATCCTATTAGACAATCATTAGCATCGTCCTTATAAAGCTATACTCCGTGTAAAAGGGCGCATGCGGGTGTGGAGAGAGATGATAGGGGTCTTACAGCATCACCGTATATCATTGCGATGCGGACATCGTATGCAAGGAGAGCCTCGAGGTCCTCCAATAGATTTGGATAGACAAAGTCGCCGGTATAATCGAAGCCTGTGTATATTTGGTTGCTGCTTGTAGATGTGTAATTGATATCGACGCCAATAGCATTCTGGACTTTCGGGGTATTAAGGTAGTCGGCCCAGTATCCGGGCGGGATACTTGCATCGCTCTCGGCGCGGATGTCATAAGGATTTCGCCCGCTGACCACGCTGCTCGCCGTTAGAATTCTTGTCAGCCTCAAAGAAGAAACAATAAGTAAACTCACTAATACGGCGATTCCACCAAGCCCCTGCAAATGGCCGTTGCCTGTGAGCAGGCGGCCTTGCCATCTGGTGTAGAGCGGTCTTGTTCGAAGCATAAGTCGATTGAATCGCGGCAGCCACCAGGGAAATAGTAATTCGTCTTCATATAGTCATAGATGGATTGGTTCACGGCCTCTATCCCATACGTATTCTTAAACGCCATTTCGGCGTAATAAGGTGCTTGGATCCTCTCCGATATAATACCATTTATGACGCCAAGCGTATGCATGGTGAGTTCGACACCAGGAATACTCCCATCCTGAATCAACTTGTTCTGATCATAGAAATACTTGAAAAAGGCTGGACCGTAATGGCCGCCGTAGCTCTCCGTCCACAGGTTGAAACTGCGAGACTTGACGGTCTCGTCTAGGACTGGCAGGTTCTGGATGAAGGCCTGTAAAACTTCCCAGGTGCCCTTTGCAGCAAGATCCGTGGTGTCGAACCGGTATGGGTCGACGTCGCTATACCGACCATCGGGATTGGATGAGTTCACAGGTAGTCCCGTGGTTTGATTCACAACACCTACAACGGCATCGGCGTACGAAAACCCGACTCCAATGGGCTGGGAGAGGAAGAGAAGATTGGTCACTTCATTCCAAGCATATGGATTCACGACCGAGGTGCCATTATGAGTGACATTACACGGTCCGAGTTCTATTTAATAGTAGTTAGCGTATCAGCTTCCGGCTTCCAGCTAAGTTTAGGTATTCATTTGAGAAAAGTACCCTCAAAAAGTCCAATCAACGAATCGCTACCAGGTCCACCGTTAAGCCACAACGTCAGAGGCGCTTCATCGGGATTTGACCTGGCTTCGAAAAACCAGAAAAACATGTGTGTATTCTCATCGAGGTCGACGTAACCCGAATATGAATTAACTCCAGGAGTTGTCTCGCATACACTTTCAAGTTCTGGTTCCTTGTAACGGATTGTGACTCCTCCCGGAGACTTGATGGTTGTGACGTTGGAAGGCTCAGCAGGTACTTGCTTTTTGATCAACTTCTCAATATGATTCGGCAGCGAGCTTGCTGATGCGAGGGAGGTACAGAGAGAAAAGAGCTGCAGAGCTGCCGTAGCAGTCCCCCGCCTGATAACGTGCATAGTTTTCCCTGGTCGTTGATGAACTCGAGGGAGAAACGAGGACGAGCGAGGGGGAAAAAAAAACACAGAGAACTCGCAGGAATGGGAGATGATGGCTCAGCTCACCGGTTTTATACCGACTTCATGTTTACATATACCCGACTGCCCCACTCGTTTTTTCTTTTTTGTTTACATATTGATAATACATGTACATATAATATGGAAGTACCTAATGTAAGCACTTGCTGATAATACAACAATTATTCTGTAAGGTGACGTGCTTGAATACCTACCTAAGGTACCTAACACTACAGATAGCCAGGGCTATCTCATCCTTACCGGTGTTGATCAACTACCGATTTCAAATATGACGCTTTTTGAACTCGATGTAACTTTGCCTACGACTGCGTGCAGAAATATTGGGGGCCGTAGGAATTTGAATGGGAAGGTGAGTTGTTAAAGTACAAGGATTCCGCGGGATAAGCGCTATCATACCAAGGTACCTGATTAGGAATCTACGTCGTATCGGATATGGTTCCTGCTTTTGCTTCCCTTTCCTGGTGGGGGAGGGGGAGGGGCGGGGGGAGGCATCGAGAGGGTTCTAAGATAGGTAAACAACATTACATGTTCGTCATTTCTTACTTCTTAACAATACCTACCTACAGGTCGCCAGGGTCTTCAATGCTATTTAATGGAGATGTTACTTGAAGCAGTTAATAAGTATCTTACTATCTTATTTAGTTATGGCAAACTATAAACCTATTCGAAGATTCTAGTCTAATCTCTACTTAAACCGGTAATTTTAGATGATAAAAGTCTTCCCGAAAACACGAGATATATTTACAACTGTATTTTGCCATAATATTTCGAGTGTCCTGATACTTCGCTCTTTTCAGTAACATCTCTACTAAATACCTAGCATTGAAGATCCTGGTGACCTGTAGGTACCTAACATACCACTAAAACTCGTATATCTCTCCAATATCTATTCCCAATTACATATGATAATTGGTGGCAATAGGCAAGTTTGCATAGAGCACGTTATCATTTCGGGAGCTTGCTGCAACTATACGAGAATCTACCCACTTCACCAATAGCTGCATGTGGTGGCCGCGCCGCTTCAAATGTTTGCACTTACATAGGCTAGTTGCAGGTGGGGAGCATGTATTCCGTTTCTAGGCTGCCACATTTTACTCATTGGTACCTACATGTAGTTTGCGTTCTCATCTATTGCCTTGGAACATAGGTACCTACATAACGTGGAGGCTCTTGATGTCAATCACCTACTTCCAAAGTGTCACCTTAAAGCACTTGTAACTCGCAACTATAGCTTAAGAACGGAACTCAATCGATATCCTAGACTTGTAATAAAAGACGTGGGGCATTAATCCATCCCAGGTTCTCGCCACCACCGGTTTCGATAATACACGACATGCGGCGCAAGCCCTTCAAGCCGGCTAATCCATTCTGGCGAGATGTTGCCATATATTTGGATGAGGTGAAGTCCCTTTAGAGTTTCTATCGTGTTGAAGAACTCGTCTTCCTTCTTCGCGTTCACGCGACCAGTCCACCCTATGGAGCCGACAGGCCTAGGTGCCCAATCAATCACCAAGGCTTTGAGATTTTTAGTACGCTCAATAACCTCTCCAAAAAACGACAACCAACTATTCCAGTTGGGGTGCTCTGTTGCCATAAGCAGCCAGAGCTTTTCCAGCCGGTCGAACCGAAGTTTCCCACGGACAGCGAAGCCAATTCGCCGGTCATTCCATCCGGAAACCTGAACGCGCAAGATAGCTTGTCTGTGAACTATGGGAGAAAGATCGCGATAAAAATTCTTTGAGGCTAGCATTAAGCTAGGTAACGACCGGAAGTATGCTGTATCACCCATATATACAAGATGGGGACGTAGTGTATCCTCAAAATCTTCGTGGTCAAAGGTGAGATAAAAGTCGATAATACGATCAAGCACTTCTCGTGGGAGGGATAATAGCGGTGAGTAAGCTTGCATCGTAGTCAATGAGTATGAGTACTAGGGTTTAGAGCAGCGTCCCTACTGTCTTGAAAAGATAGAATATCATAATAATACGTGACATTAACAAATTTCCATTTCAAATCGATTTTTCTTAGCTACCATGGGTAGAAGTTGATGTTAAGTTGCCAAGTCGCCAAGGCGAGATGCGGGGTGTAGGGCTGTGAAGTAGTGTATGAATTACGGATTACATCCGCTGCCAAGCTTTGCAATGCCTATGATGGGAGGTAAGTTAGATCCGAAAGATTACAGGGGTTGTTGATTACTTAGCAGCCTGTCTTTATTTTCTATTTTGACTCTGTAATACTAGCCCCTTTCTCTCCCTATCTTATGTATGTGTTCCTGAGTCTTGAAAGTCCCATCTAATACCATCCAGACATAATGCCACCAAATCGGAATAGTAGAGCGAGCTGCGACCCTTCTCCGAGAGGGCGGCACCGTACTTGTTCTACTAATGATGATACAGCCTAGTCTGGGTATCTGACTTAGACACCTCGCGGAAGCTGCTTAGATCTCATATTGCAAAACGTACCCACGCAATTGTTAGGAGAAAGCGGGTTATCGAGTATCAGCATCAAAAAGAAACTCCAAGTAGCGTTCCCGGAAGTACTAGTACTGCGAATCAGGATCCAACACTGCCTCTCAGTTCCGGTATGACTACCTGCGAAGAGTCACATCGTAACCAACCCCTTCCAACATTCTACACTTCATATGAAAACCGAGCATATGATTATCATATACCCTATTAGATAATAACACATACGCCCTCGCCACGCGGAGATTTATTTAACCATTTTTCAGTTCCATTATCGTCGCTTCACCTTATGCAGTTCGCAGCAGGGGATGCTGCCGCGCTGAAAAGCCATGTTAGTGCTGTGAGCCAGATGGTCTCGTTAAACGGAGGTTTGGAAAATATTAAAGGAATGAATGGCTTCTTAAAAGTGATGATAAACATTCTAGTTTGTAAGCATCGACGAATGATTGAAGCGACTCCCTTCGATAATCAAGATCGCTCTAGGTTACACACTCTAGATTATTTCTTTAGTTATCTAATTTAATATAGCGACATAGAATATAAAATATCTTCAGTGAGAGTCTAAGGTGAAGTTATTTAAACGTATATGTGAAGACATTTGATTGCAAAATAGAACCGGATAACTCAGGCACCCGCGAATTAGAGGCGGTGCAGGCGCTTATTTGATGCAGGGAGGCATCAATTTCATGTCACTCACATTTCTATCACGATTGCTGCTCTTCACCTTAGGTCTATTTCATTTCATTTTATTCCATTTCATTTCAGTCGAGCTTAAATTGACAAGATTCTATGATGGAAAAACCACTTGCCAAAATTAAGCGCACTGCATTGTCACCCCTATCTAACCGACCCTCATCGAGCCAAGCATTAAACATAGCAAGTAATGTTCGGTCTGATTGTAAGGCCATATTATTGATAGAACATACTTCACATGGGAGATTCAATCAATACTCATCACACCCATCTACCTCCTGGTCCTTTTCGAAACGTCAAGCCTGACTAGCGATGACTTGACTCTCGTGTCCATGTCTGCTCCTAAATGTTCTAGGGCAAATCTTAATAATGTGCCTTGTTCGCATGCCTCATCAAGACATAAAGGATCAACAATACCCAGTAACTGGCGATAGAACTCGTACAGGGCGAGTCGCTCTCTTGTATCGACATGCGGGGAAATCCCGTAGGACTTTGCTGCATCCTTCAGCTCTGGCATTGAGTCGATGGCATTGAGTTCGCCAATTGCTATGTACTGCAGTAGCCTCCAAATATGTGCACGTCTCTCCGGTTTGGACGAGAAGAACTTTCTGAAAAGGGGCCAACTATCAATCCGATCGCCATATCCGTACTTATCAAAGACAGACGGTAGTGTGTAGGAACTCCAGGCCCTATAAAACTCGTCAAAAGAGCATATTGGTGGATCAGGAGGACCATCGTATGGGATTCCAAGGCTTTTACAGTAAGCCCTTTTGGGCTTGTGCCCACACAATAACAAAGAGTATAAACCTCCGAGCCTGCCCTCGGCGTGTTGAATCCCTTCGGGAGTTAGGTCGCGACCGATGCATGTGGCGAATCCGAAGTCATACCAGAGGTCTAAACCATGTTCTATAGGCGGTGGGTTGGAATTTTCAAGTGTTAAGGCGAAAAAAACAAAACATCGTCGCTTATCAAACGGCTCTAGTTGTTCCATGGTCTTTCCACTGTCTTGACCCTTGAGATATTGCCTCGCTTCTTCAAACACTCTTTCTAGGTAAGATCTAGGGGATTCTTGGTTCGGCTCAACTATCTTGTCTTGGCTTAGCAGGTGGGTGTTGCGAAGAAGCCACGGGAAATACTTCCCACGCGATATTTCTGGTATCTCATTGTACGCCTGCACGATCTGATCCAAGAGGACCCCGTTCCTCCTCCAGGCGTCAACAGTCTCGCTACGAACGTCGAAATACTTGAACAAACCGATGTAGACACCAAGCAGATGCGATTGCTCATCCCGAGTCTTGCAGCGACTGAATCCAAAGTCATTCAATACTCCAGGGTCATCCGGCATCTCATCTGAAAGACAGTTTAAACATAGATAATCTGCTGTAGTGAGTGGCCGGAGATTACAATAGAAGATATGATAAATCCCCATTTGGCTCTGGCAATGCTCACTACAATACCAATCTCTGCCGCAGAGGGTACAGTGCCGTGATGTTATATTGTAGCATGTCCCACATTCGCCCTCAGTCTCGCGTTCCGCTGGAAGCTGGGATCGAGAAGGAGTCTCATCAAGAGTGTCCTCATTTTGCGGGGAGACCGGCCTAAACGAACGGAACTTGTTAAATATTCAACCAACCCATATTTTCGGGACTCCATTCTTACCTTATTATAGGCGCTCTCAAAATAGAATGCTCTCTATTCGTTTGCAGATGATTCCTTATCATTTTCGCCAAGTGTTGGTCCTCAGTATGCGGCACAACAGTTGCAATCGAGGAACCTCCGATAGTTGACTCTTTTATATGAGGTCTAGGCTTCGTATCATGCCGAAGGGATTTCGCGACTTGGCTCTGTAACTTCTTAATTGCCTCAGAGATCAGTTCGAGAGAGCCTTCGCTAAGCCCATCAAGCTCAGGTATAGTCCACAACTCATAGACTTTTCCGTGACAACCCCGGCAAGCAAATCCGACCATTGAAAGGAACCTGTAACAGAGCAGACAGGACCGTTTACTGCAACCGACGTATTTAAACGTATTATCCAGCTGCGTACCCCTCTTAGACAAGTCCAACACAAGCTGGACTTCGGCGTGGACGTTATTCTCGGTCGCCTTGAGCTTACCAAATCTATTTGCCAGTTTGTCCCTGGTCCACTTTGATGACTTATCCGTCCCTGAATTCATTAAGACGCTCGTCTCCGCGTCATTAAACTTCAGACCGAGCGACTTGAAAACTTGACCAATGGTCCAGGGGGGAACCACAGGCTGTTTCTTGGTGAGTGGCGCCTTTTTCATGAAGGACGTGAACTCGACCCATCGTATACACAATTTGTCAAACCCTTCAATCCTTTCGGTGGCTCGAACAAAGGTTAGGAAGGCTACGTGAGGTCGGCTCAATAGATAGACCAGATCGCCAATTTGCCGGCCGACTGATGGCTTCTCTGGTTGAATTTTCTCAAAAATGGAGATGTTGTGGAGGGCTCGTATGTGATATGCCTCGAGAACGATCTTACTTAGTTCGTGTGGTACTTGGTTCAAGAATAGAGATAGTGCCTCGATCTGCACTGCAAGGTTTCTGGTGATATCCGAATCGGACTGCTTCATTAGGTGGATCTGGCCTTGGTTCAAAGATTTTTGCAAATCTGATATATATCCCTTTACTCTCGGTGTGTATTGAGTTAGTATTAACTCCCACAACTCGGCTGTGTCTTGAGGCGAAACTATATGCTCTGATAAGTATCGGGGTAAAGCTACACCCCCTGAACGGAAACACACTTGGACAGCCCGCCATGCGCACCAGGACCTTCTCTAAGGCTATTATAAAGTCCTTATCCGTTTGCTTTAACCCAGAGTTCTTAGCGACGACGATCTCAGGGACTCCCAAGTTCTCTATCATCAATGCCGCAGCTACTTGATAACCACCTCTCGTATGTGATAGAATCTCGGATAATCGGTCAAGAAATGCGCGCTTAAGCTTATCATTGTCGAAGTTGGTCAACGGTTGACCCGTAATGGAATCGTCATCTTTTGCTGGCTCTATCATATCGGGGCCTACTTCATAGGCGTCGAATGTAATGGCATCATCAGCCTGTCCGCTATTGCGAAGGCTCAATATCTTGGTGTACGCCTCGAAGCGAGACTTATCTAGGCCATCTAGCCCCCAATGGAATGTATGGCTCATTGTCTTGATAAATATTGAATGTAACTGGGAGGAGTAAAGATAGCTATGCTAGCAGCGCTCGATCGAGGCGGGGAAATCATGGTTATATTTACGTTGAGAAGCGGTAGGCTGCATTCTGCATAGGTGGCCAATATGATCTATCATTAGCTGGGGGGTTGCATACCTACCTAGGTACCTAACATAAGAAATCATGCGACCAAACAGTTGGTTACTCCAATACTATAGGTCTAAATACACGTATTGTAGTCAACTTTCAAATTAATTATGGTATGTGTTGCTAGGCGCCATATCACGCACCAGGTACCTCGGGTAACTTAGCAGTAACAAATAGCTTACCACTTGCCTACCTCACTTAAGTAACCTGTTCATATCATTAACAGTAGGAAGAGAAAGTGAAAAGTTTCCATCTCATCAATACTAGGTATAGTCTGTCGACGGCGAGGTTTCCATATACTAGTAATTTGAGCCTTCTTGAAAGTCGTTAACCGTCTATGGAAGCAGCAACAAGGCCTACCCAGGACACTGTTCGCATACCTACCTCCTATATCCGACCGATCACTATTATTTAACAGGTAGCTAATCCGGTGAGAATTCTAAAACAGCAATGAAAATAAACACGAAACATAGAGAGCTATATTATACATCAGGATAAATATTTTGTATTATACCTGTTAAACTAACCTTGAAAACTCCGATGTCTTAGGTACCTGGTAGTATTTGGTCAACAATGAAGGAACCCTTTGTCCTTGTCATAATTCTGACAGCGAATATTTTCTAGCAATATGCGACCATGTTGTAGTGTCCTTTTTATTAGAACTCGGCGCATTGCTCGTATTTCCCCCCATTTGTTAATACAAGCTTCGTATCTAGCTTCTTCTCGGCTTGAACGTACAATACACATTTTGGTAAATATCATATTTTCCTGTTTCCGTTTATGCAGGTAATCCGGTAGATGCTTCTATGTTCTTTATCCTGGATCTGGGTTATCTTTCTGGTTTTTGACCAGGCGTCGTGACCATATCCTACCATTTTCGAGTTATGTTGCGACCGAATTTCCAATCCCATACGAGTATAAAACCCGATACGTGCTAAGTTGTGACGGTATTTCGAACGCTTATTTTCACGAGTAAGGAATTTATATATTCTTCGTTCGAGCGCACGTTCTTTCTCTTCGTCAGCTTTATGTGTTGCACAATCTGATGCCGCTATATAGGTATGTATGAACGACATTTATATTCTGAGAAGGGATTACGGGTAACTATGCAAATGGGCTTGAACCCATAGGGAATGGTTTTATTAAGCCGAGTAAGAGTGTTTTGAAAGCGCTTCGAGTTATCTGAACCCAGAAGCTCGTTTTGTGCGAAAAGATCTCTACTAGTGAGGCTATCCGTTATTATTGTCAACTGCTAACGGTGTTTGTTCGTTATCATGATCTTTGTTTTCGTGCACAAACTTGTGCTTGTTGAGGTCTAGTACGTAATGAAATAGCTAGGTACAGCGAAATAGACAAGAGCTATTATACCTCGGTAGCTTTACTATATGGCCTCATACTGGTATTGGAGATAGCTTGCTAGGCTGAGCAACTAAATGTACAAATTTTACAAGTTAATCGTTATATCTGCCATTCTCTTATATCAACCGTGGTTCGTATCACCCGAACCAACAATCACAATCATTACTATAAAAATACTCAGCTATTAATGCCTGCCTCAGCTCGTGCCGAATTACCGCATATCCACTAGCAGCTTGTCTAAGTAAACAACTGGCCTTGGTGGACCTTTTTGATGCCTAACAACTGACTAACCTACATGCTTGGTTTATTAGGCCTATTGCATGGCTTGAATATTGTCTATTGTAACCCCATGGTTTCTTCCGGAATGGATATCTCTAATATATATTCTCGTCGATATTATAGTCGGGCTCAACCTAAGAAGACGCACTCCATGTTTAGTAGATATTGAATAGGGCGTAAACATTCGAGGTGACTGGCCAAAAATATTGATTCTAGCAAATGATCTCTAAATTGTCTCTGACTGCCAGTTTAGTCAACCTCATTGCGTTGTCGCTAAGGCCCATGCCTTGCGCCAGCATCGTATGACGTGGATATTAGAAGTTGGTTGGGTCTTATTGAATACTAGTAAAGTCGGTGAACCAGGACAGATACTGAGAGGGCACGGTGGGGTTATAAAATATCGACCCATTGGCAATAATTTCAACTGAAAACATAAAAAAAAATATTGTTTCCATTAAAAGCACCGTGTGAAGGTACAGCGGTGCCCGTTGTTTTAATCTTTCGGAGAGTGTTGAGATATGTCTCGATGATGGGCATTGAAGATTCTTTCAAAGATCATGTCGGCAATAATCGATCATCGTGATATGGAAAAGTTCTAGTCTCGGCTTATGAAGAGGAGTATAAGCAGGGATCTGGTCTCACCCCCCGCTACAGCCCACTAGCTCTGAGCCTCTGCGTATCAAAAAGGGGTACTCAGTCAAGTCCCCATTAAAAATAAACGTATCTTACCGTGGATCTCGCCAGCAAGCCTTGGTAGCGAGCTAGTAATGGGTTAGATGGATCTTGGTTGTTTTTATCTGCATAGGTATGATAAGAGCATAGTCTAACGCAAAACAAGCATGAGTAAGTCTGATTGGCGGAACTACTCTAGGTACTAAGCTATGCCTCATATTTCTTTTTTTCCCCCCTCTTTCGTCTGCCGCCTTTAAAAGCTTTCTTTTTTTAAATTTTTTTTTTTTACTGGGATGGCCACCGACACTTTGCAATGTTTCATAGTTGAGACAAGAGTCAGTAAACAGTTTTTAGCCATGAAACCCTTATACTTTCGCCCCTGATGCCCACAAGTTTTGAGGGAATTGTTAGGTGTAAATGATACTTAAGCCCATAAAGTCACATTCATCAGGTCGCCTTTTAAACGACAGACTGTTTCTATAGGCTACCTAGTAGAGATAGCGGTCAAGGGAATGCCTTAGGTAGCTTTAGTGTATATTGGAAGCCCATATGGCTCCTCACTCCTGGCTTTTTCGATGTATAAAGCTCATTGTCATTCTACTAATGAATGGACTGATTCGCTTTACATTCGTTTGAACGAGACAACATTATTATTACCATTATTATTTTGATAAATAATACTGCAACATATTGGGCAGACACGTGTAAATTTTTAAATGGAGAGATGAATGGGATCTAGGTATTTTGACCATCCGTTTGCAGGAATTTTCATGTGTTTATCTTAATAACCAGAGTGGTGTAACAAGGGTCTTGATATATCCACCTCGGTTTTTTTAAACGATATTCTATTGGTTAGAAGCCTTGACACATGCTTTCTAAAACCGTGGAACAGGGATGGCTCTCTTGAGGCCCCTGGATCTAAAAGGGGAAATTGGATAAATTAGGGCTAGTGTTCATGACTTCTACCAACGTACGAACCGTGCAAACTAAGGACCAGATTTAGATGTTAAGCTAGACCCGCTTCCAAGATCCAAACCCCAGGACCCCTATCCATTCTGAAGCGGACGCAGAACTGTGTTGAGGCTCATCTCAACGAAGATTTGCGCCCCAGACCCCCACGTGTAACTTGTAAAAGGTTTAGTGGAGTATTTATTATTCAAAGGGCAAGCAAGCCCCCTTTTTCTTAACCCTAGGCTACATATGGGGTTAAAGGGCAATACCACTAACAATAATCTTGCCCCGGCGAAAATTTTCGCAAACATTCAAAACGCGGATACGAGACCCTGAATTTCTTCTTTCCTTCTACCTATGTTCTCTAGAGACAGGTGAATTGCAGGTCATTCAAGGTCATTCGAGGAGTCTTCAGCTGGGAATACTGAAATCTCGCTTAAGCTGGTCCATACTGCCATCGGCTTAAGGCAGATCCATTATGTCGACAGTTACTACTCAGACTGAAGCGCCTGTCGCGAGGCCTCGTGTAGTGCAGTTGGTATGTGAAGATACCCAACAGATGGAAGACTCGATGCTAATATTTTAAGACAGACAACTAAAGCAGAGCAGCCGGCGTTGCCAGACATCAACACTATCCGAAAGGCTATTCCTCCTCACTGTTTCCAGCCTTCAACATGGAGATCGTTATCCTACGTTGCGCGGGATCTCGTGATGGCCGCCGTACTTACCTACGGGGCCTTGACGTACATCCCTTCTGTATCTAATCCAGCCTACCGTACTTCTTTGTGGGTTGTCTACGGATTTCTCCAAGGTCTTGTCGGTGTCGGCCTCTGGATCTTAGCGCATGAGTGCGGGCACGGCGCTTTCTCGGTCCATCGAGGTCTCAATGACACAGTTGGCTGGGTTTTGCACTGCGCTTTGGGTGTGCCTTACTTCTCGTGGAAGTTCTCACACGCTCGGCATCACCGCTTCACCGGCCATATGCAGAAGGATATGGCTTTCGTTCCGCAGACGAAGCCCTCCTGGTTTGTTCAATCGCTAGGAGATGCTTTGAGTTCTTTCGTCAACTCCGAAGTTCTAGAGGATGCGCCTCTGGTGAATCTGATTCGCTTACTCGGTCAGCAACTAGGAGGGTGGCAGGTATATATGCTTCTCAACGTAACGGCTGGGAATGATAGCATGCAGAACTTAGAGGCCAAATGGTGGAGGCGCAGCCACTTTGATCCCTTTAGCGGAGTATTCCGCCCTCAGGAAGCTCTCTACGTTCTTATTTCGGATTTGGGCCTTGCACTTGTAGCTGCAGGCCTCTACTACAGCTCCTTGGCTCTTGGTTGGCAAACCGTGTTCCTCTTATATGGAGTTCCGTATCTCTGGGTGAACCATTGGCTAGGTAGGTTATGGATTGCAAGATAAGACAGTTCGAGCACCAGCTAACATCATACTCAGTTGCTATTACCTATCTTCACCATACGCACAAGGACGTCCCTCATTATGATGGTGAACGATGGACTTTCGTGGCCGGAGCTCTTGCTACTGTCGATCGTGATTTTGGCTTCATTGGCCGCCACATCTTCCACGGTATTATCGATACCCACGTTGTGCATCACTTGTTCTCGTAAGTAGAAACAATTTTCCTAATATACTTGCTAGAGACGGAGTTAACTAATATTGATTAGGCGAATCCCTTTCTATTACGCCGAAGAAGCCACCGAAGCGATTAAGCCGCTTCTCGGTGATCTCTACCATAGCGACGAGCATTCATTTATGGGTTCATTATGGGAAACATCCCGTACTTGCCAATACGTGGAAAACGACCCGGCCAACCCTGGAGTTATGAAATGGGCTCAATAGGCCTATTAAAGAGTTAGAAGGTTCAGCGCCAATCACGATAAACTCCTTTTAGAGTTTAGAACACACTAGAGAAGCATAGACATGGAGTAACATTAGGTGTAGACATCAATAAAAATTTCAAGATGTGTTGTGTTAGCGATCTTTTGTCATTGATTAGAAAGCTAGATGATACGACTTGTACGATTTTAATGACAACTAGTCTAATAAGTTTACGGGATTATGTACTCAACCTGGGAACTGCGACTTAGACAGGTAGTTAACAACAAACTCCTAGAAGGCCAACCGCATAGTGTTCCGATCATCTATTCCGAACTTACAACTGGTGCGTTTCGGTCGTTATCACCCGTTTACAATGACTAAAAATGCGACAAGCAGGTGTTTGGATATTATGTATCTGTCAGAGATCACACTTGGTATGTTATACCAGCTACAGAGTGACAGGGAGCTAGTTGGTATAGAACCCAAGTATAGTATATTGAAGAGATATCTCAACTCCCACTCCTACATAAGTCAGAAGGCACTGAAGTGCCCTATATATTTAATGCCTATCCTATAGCTACCTAACTGGTAGGTAGTATTGTTTAGTCTCAGCTCTTACTACGGCATCTAACTACATAGTTTTAACCTCTGTATCCTGACGGTATCGTCTTGGTGGTTTCTGTTGCCGTCATGGCACACTCTCCAATGAAGCCTAACCTGGACCTTCTAACTAATGGAATTGGGTTTAATCCATCAGCTGGCAAAACGAGATTAGGTCTGAAGTTCGCTGACGAATGTAAAGGCCGTGCTAGTTTCCGCCGTCTTAGAGTTACATACTGTAATATTATGGGCGCTACACATTGCCATTGCGGTGCTACGACTACCCAAACTGGAATCGGTTGCATATAGTCTGTTGGCTAGGTAGTTAAGACACAGCCGTGGTGATCCATTAGATCTTCACGGACGTGCCGCAGTGTTAGGATCAGCTAAAGAAACTCGAATTAGCCGGATTTAGGTCTTGTCTACTATAGATATCAAGACATGCGCTGGATGGGCTATGGCTTCTCACGCTGCATGGCGGGAATTGATTAGGCGGCATCGCTGATCTAGAACCAATATTACTGGGCGGTTTCTGAGAATTAGATGATATATTTGAGAACAGTGAAGGGTTGATTGGTAGTGCTTAAGGAGACTTGACATGGGAGCATATCCCTTGAGATCACATCAAAGCTTATCGTTCATATTAATCTTATATTGGAACTTTGCAAACTACCGTAAAGAATCTTGTTATATAATTTTTCTCCTGATTTAGCACGTGTTATTTCTTGATTACTTCTAGGTCTGTGGTTATGCGCATGCCGTTGCAGAGTACGATTTCCAATTCGCAATCACGCAGCGTTTCTATCACGACTGGCATCAGGGAGTCTTTGGTTACCGGCTCGCGAAGATGCTTGCCGGCCGCGGGGTCCCAACCTGGAAGACGGCAAATGCTAGGTACCACAAGCCGCAGCGTATTACAGACCGTGTCTGCCGCATTCCGCGAGTCCTGCGTCGACTTTGTCAGTTTGCGTTTCGAGGACTTGCCTACCTGTCTTATCAACTTATTGACGACCACAAGAACTATAGTGAACTAGAGGCGGGCCTGTCTAACCCCTTTTCTCCCTTACAATAAGATTTCGATCTTGCTCGCACGGGCCGGCCTCATGCGCGATATCGGGCGCATCCACGCGGAAGTCCTGCGTGACCTGGACGAGCATCGCGCCATAACAGGAACAGACCCTAAGGAGAAGGGGCGTCTACGTAACGCTGCAGACTTGAACCTGGACGGTCTTCGTCGCTGCGGCTGGGCTTCGCGGCCCGAGTGAGCGCACAGAGATTAGGCTACACTCGAGACTTGGACGTAGGTACGGTGGTCTTGGAGTGCAATATGCTGAAAAATGGGGTGTTGTTGATGTTAAAAAGGAGAATGAGTTGACGTACCCGGGTCCGACGACATGGAAGTCTCGACGTCGAAAGAAGACCACTAAAAGGGACTTGGTCTCCCGTCTCCCCCGCTAAGGAGCGTTAGGGTTATCTCACGAGGGCTATCGAGCAAGTCGTTACATAAAATGGTGATAAAGTGGTAAAATGAGGTATGTGGTAGGGGAATACATCCTTCTTTTTCAGGGATTTCTTTTCTCATTCTATTATTCGGGTATTATGGTTTTCTCGTCTGTCGTGTCATTAGGTAGTCTGTATTAGTTTCTGGTATTCATTATGTTTGAATTCTCAATATTTGGGAGCTGGGCACTCCTCACGTCTGGTATAAACTCACAAGGCGACACAATATATCATGACACGCAACACTGTGAAACTGAAGGGACTCATATTTAACCTGGGCGCCCATAATGAAAGCACGTATATTTACGCTGCTATGATGCTGCCACAATGATGCCCGGGTGATTCCACCAAGCCCACTATCCTTTGACGCCACTGTATGCCGATGACATAGTTCCTTGCCCTTTAATTGCAGCCCACTTGAGCTTGAAGCCAGAAAACGAATTCATGATGCTGATCGTAATGTGCAACTTCAATTCGTTTCGACATGCGTTCGTATAGGTAATGATGATGTGCACCCATTCTCTTTCTCGCCATTCTCCCCACATCCATTGCATGCGTCTGCCTTTGCTGCGGCAGAAAACCCTGTGAAGGGACACGAGGGAGACGATGGAACGCCCTCCTCGATGTCCTCTAATATCTTCTTCCCGTGCAGGAATCCTTCCGGTTCGACTATCTGCTTCTCTATCTCATCTGCGAACTCGTCGCCGTCGCGCACATACCACTTCGCGAAAAGGTCGTTCTGGACCCAGATGACCTTACCGATTGCCCTTACTAGAGCGATCTTCTTGTCCGACCGTAGGCGCGGGTGCGAAAGAAGCGCCTCTGTAAAAGTGTCTTGGATGAAGGCGAGACATGCCCCAATATGGACATATTCGACGTGTAGGGGGTGTTCACGTCCACGACCAGTATGCATCATACTAGAATTCATTCATCGTTAGGAGATCTTGATATTTGACCAAGCGTAGATGTATGTCACTCACCCTACTTTGTCCAGATACTCCCAAAATTCCATCGTGCTAGGGTCTGAACATAACTTCGATAGGTACGCCCTCAGGAACATTTTGCGATGTAATATTTGCGGGCTATTTTCGTCTAGATTCTCATCCACCGGTCCCTCATAGCTAGTACTCCGGGTTGCTAAGGCTCTCGTCGTAATGTCATACTGCAGAAGTTTCTGGTAGACAATATTGACGATGGCCGGAATAAGCTGTTTTATGTATCTCGAGCCTGTCACCAAGGCTTCGATATCATCTTGGACTCTGTTAATATAATAATTCGTGAAGAGTTAAGATTGGGCTTCATACTCGAACTGAAATCGATAAATGAGTGGAGATACTGTATTCGCGCCTCGAGATTTGTATACAGATCTTTCCGATCGATATGCTGCCGAGGACGTGCTGAGGGTCCCATTGTGGAGAATGTTAATCCTTGAAGCCGAATTTCGTGCTTGAATAACTCTAAATTTAGTTGTATTTAAGGAGAAGCAAAAGTTCTACTTGATAAAGAAGCTGAGCTGTAAGAGAGAATAGCAATCGACAGTGAATTAAATAAAAACAGAAGAAACTGAATTCGAATTTTATAAAGCACCTGAATGAATATGGAAAAAGAAATACCAATTCTTTTTTTTCTGTAACACTAGGAATGAAGCGATGATGGGTGATGATGGGCGATGATGGGCTGACATCGTGTGGGACCATCGAACCATCGTGTCGGGCGCATTCGGTCTGGGCTGACCCCGCGGATAAAAAGCCTTATTAGAATTGAAGCGTCGCTTATTCGTGGGGTCATTCCCCGGTCGCTGAGCTACATCAGGCCAATATGATGTCAGTGTCAGTCTATGCGTGCTTTATTTCTATTGGTTTTTACGATAGCATCAGGCTGTACTTCATACGAAGTATTCATATTTTAAAAGTGCCACGACCTTTTTATCTCAAAGATTTCCTAAACCCAGGCACGAGTGCATTACGCGTGATTGGAATTGATTTTTGACCAATCACCTTAACCTGTTACTTGTGAGAATACAACTATATTGATATTAACCTAGCCAAGACTGTATCGACTCTTATATATTTCATTAGTACTTAAGGCATTGTTTGCAGATAAGTCATGTCGTACAAGGTGTCCATCTTCCAACAACCCCAAAGTGATAAGTTACCAACCTGGATGCTAGAGCTTGCACGAATTTGGTCCCTTCCTACCTAACCTTGCATTGAAATCAAAACTTCCCAAGACGAGTAGAAACAACCTATTTTACACACGATTCTATCGTCCTATAAATTGAAAGCACAAGTCTGTTTTCGGTGATTTCATATAATGGGCGCACAATAGTCTCAGGTTTTCCCCCCCTAAGCCGACCTTCATAGAAGGCAACGTGGGTCCCCAAAATGGCAAAGTATTTCTCATCACCGGCGGGTACTCGAGGATAGGACTCGAGCTTGCGAAGATGCTCTATAAGAACCATGGTCGCGTGTACAACTGGCAACTAATTGCCTTGGACCATTCTTGTTTACGCGACTGCTTCTACCCTTGATAGAAGAGACCGCCTCTACTGAGCCGCCCGGCTCTGCTTACTCGAACCTCTTCCGACATACACCGTCCCTCTACTTTTTCGCATGGCCTTTGCTCTATGCACCAAAGATGACAGCGTATACGGGGCATCACGCTGGGCTGTCAAAGGATATAAGCTTGAAGACAAATGGGTGCTATATCATGCCTTTTGGGAGAATTGCGAAGGAGAATGACATCAGACAGGACTTGCTAGACGCACCGAAACAGAGAGAAGACGGGGGCTCTGGAAAAGCAAAGGAGTTTTGCGATTATTGCGAAGATAAGGTCCGTGACTATTTCTGAGTTAATGTGGAAGTACTACGCGTCAAGGTGGAATTGTAGTTCTACTATTATTAGTTTGAGCCTTTAAAGACTAATAAACATGTGGTTTAACTCCCGAATCCGCATAAAGGTGTTACCTATCATCTAATTATTGAATTGTATTTTCTCATGTATTGATTTAGAATCTCATCGACATATGTCTTGCATCTTGCTTCAATGTTTGTAAGTTAAAAGGTAGGTAGTTTTGCCAACTCCCTTCCTTCGGTTTCTTTACTCCCCCGCCTCGGAGTTTGTGCAAGAAAGCCATCGAAATAACTGGTATTCCGTATACCAACATAATATTTCACGGTTAGTTACCTATTCGATAGAGGTATCTTTCTGTTTGCATGTACCTAGATTAGGCACCCGGGTACCCAATGTGGCCCTTGCGCGTTTCCCTCGTTTAGGTATTTTTAAGCTCAACTTTCCCCGCACCATACCTCACATAGATTAGTTGAAATCCACAACCATACCTAAGCTTCACACTAAAAACTACACTAGGTACCTAACGCAAAGAGATTATGAGATTGTGGAACATCTAAGCTAACATGTATTGAGGATTACAGCCAAGGATCTTCCTAATACCTACTATCTACTCAGATGAACAAGATGGCAGGCTTGTCCTTTCGGAAAAAGCAGGCAGCGACACCGCCAAATGCTTCGCAGCAGATTCAATTAACATGGCCTGACGACTACGTAACCGTGGGTGCAGATGGCCAATTTGTGTCAGTCGACCACGAAGATCTATACCAAGGAGAATTTCACAAAGATGGCAAGAATCAGGGCGAAGAGAAGCGTATTCTCTTCCGCCCTCAAGTGACGGTCAACGTTTTCGGCAACAACGGGTCGAACTCTGGAACTACAGGAGCAGAAGGGTCCGAGCCGAGCAGCACAGAACCAATCAAGGAAAAAAAGACCGAAAAGCCTAACGATACCATAGCCGATTTGACGGCCCAACTTGCAGCTTTATCCCGAAAAGTTGATGAGCTCTCCGAGTTGGCATCCGCTCGGGGACCTCGAGTTGAATGCGGTTTGTGGAACACGGGAGAGGTTCGCTCATCGGATTATCCTTCGAACGACACCAAAGCGCGAATCTGGTTTGAAAAAGAGTTCAAATCTGTCCCAAATGTGACGACTGGGATGTGCTCAGCCGACGTGTCTAACGATGCAAACTTTAGAGTGTCCGTCTATCCGACAGAGATAGATACGAGAGGGTTTAAAGTCAATGTAATTGGCTGGCATGATACGGTGATATATGCCTGCGGGGTGTCGTGGGTCGCAGTAGGCGACTAGCTTGTGTACGTACACCGCCACATGTACCTGGTGTATAGGAAGAGGCCATCCTACTTCTACGACGTCTATTGTGACCTACCATGGAGACTATGGCGGCAGAAACTCGAGAAAACATGACTTCCCAGTTACCTTAGTTAGCTAGACTGCCTAAACTACAGCTAAACTACCTCGTCTGAAGTGGATATATGAATTTGAAGTTCTTGTGAACGATTTTCGATTCGATTTCAGGGGTCAAGGGACCCACTGTTTCCTTGCTGAGGTTGTAGAAAACCGTTGTATCATCGACATCGACCAGACTAACATACCTCGCGCTGCTATTATTTCAGTTATCATATTTTGAGGATTGATTTGCGTATTGATTCTCGTTCTCAACTATGTCCTCGCTCTTCGACACGTCCGGGAGAGTTTGAGGTGGGCTTTGGACAGCATCTTTGTCTGAAGACATGGCTCGCGCTCGCAATTAGGCATAGCGGCTGAGAAACAGTATAAGTATCAGATATGCGAAAGTTTAAAGATTGATAGCTGCTTAATTCTATTATTTAGTTGACGCTCGCCGATGATGCATAAATATTAGGAGCAATACGCCTCAAGGTCTTGGCAGACAGACATCGAGGTACACGACATCTAATTGGAGTCTATGCCACCAACAGAGGCGAGAACCTTAACTCCGAATATACTACTAGAAGCATCTATCGCTGTGCTCGTGACTTCCGTAGTATGTTCGTTTTATTTTATATTTACTAGGTACTCTGTAGCTTCTTAACTACTTCCTAGACCTAGGGGGGGTTTTCTTTCTTCCTTTTTCCGCTTCAAAAGATTCTAATCTAATTACTCTGAATGTTAGGCCATGCCTACATCTACACGTTTCGAGAACCATCGTGTCTTTCTTCAAGTCCGTTACCCTGAAGAAGTCTATCGCGTTATCGCCAAAACTCACGCATATATCATCTATTCATCATGAAACGACCGTAGTGAGAATTTCGAAAATTTTATATTAAAGGAGTGACATGGACTATCATAGAAGTAACCCGACTCAAAAACTTCAAGTGAACGTGAATGCGAATGACGTAGTAGTCGTGACTAGGAAACCTTTAGGTCCAACGGCCCAGAAGCGTATGTTGATGACAGATAAGTAAGCTGCCGAAGTGTGCTGACAGTCCGAAAGGCAATAGAATTTGATACCCTGACAGACGACTCGGTAACCCATTCTAACGTCGCCATGCCATATCTCGTTGCCAAACTCTGCTTCAATATAGCCCAACCACAATATCACCACGGACCCTAGCCGTAGCGTGTACTTCAGCCTCTAGATCTAGCTTTATTCCGACCAAGAGGGCAGCATCCTTGAGCTTACCGGACTCGTCAACGGGGCCCTTGAGCAGGTTGCCTAGTGTGATAATATTAGCACAATAATAGGCGGTGTTATCTACAGCTGGATTTCTGGGATAAATATCATACCAACTGGCCCGTTAGCACTGCCGGATAGTCCTGGCATGGGGAGACTATGCTTCAAAGCTCCACCGGCTTGTCGTTCCGCTCCAGTGAGCGAGTTTCCACCGGTGGTGACGGGACCTCCAGTCCTATAAATGAATAAATGTTAATCCAAAGATACTTGCTATACGGGTTAGAATCACTGACGAAGACATGATGATTCTCTGTAGTTTGTAGCGGTTGATTCTTAGAAATTGTTAGCGGTTGGGAGGTTAGCCTGTGACTTAGGAGACAACCTACTCTATCCCCTTTTGACAGGGAAGTGTATTATCTCCAAATGTGGTATTAAGAAGTTCACCGGGCAAGTCTTGACGACAGAAATAGAGCGGATGGAGTTGAAATTAGGTAGAAGGTGAACTAATTGCTGCCAGGTAAATATTCTGGGCACTCCAAATTCTCTTCTAAGAGCTATAAACTGTCTGCTTCTTCAAGACAAATATTACTCGTCACAAGAGACTGGAAGAAGCTTTTATACACATCTTCAATCTTTTCAAAGTTGCAATTATGTATAGCCGCAGACTGTAGTGACTGAAAGGTGAGCTACAATATCATCGTATATCGGTTAGATTCTGAACCATGACGAGTGCTGTGCGAACTCACCTCCGTAAAGTCATCCAAGCCTCATGAGATCCTAACGTGTTGGTCGTCGTATCCTAGATCCTCTATTCGTAATCCCGACAAGAGGATAGGCCTGCCCTAGCAATGGAGAAGACCGTGTATGCCTACTAATCATACGATTTAGGAGAAAATGGGCTTTGAAAGTCACACTTCGGCACCTGCAATGCATGACAGTTCACTGTCGAGGCCGTTCTGTGACGACACGGAGGAAGCGGGGGCAAGTCCGGAAATCTTTAAAGACGTCTAATACTAGCATTGGCGTTGTGCCTCTTTTCCTTTCAATACAAGGTGCATCGTTAGAGCACCGAACACATGAACCCAGCTCAGGTTACTCCCGAGTAGCATAGCGGTTGGGTATCAATACTTCCGTGGGCGGGCAAAGATCATTAGGAGATCTGCTGTATCGCCTCGCACAGATACGCAGGTCCTACCGGCAGGGCTATCGTTTCGGCTATCCACGAACATAGATATGAACTCAATGAGAGCATATATACCCCGCGTTCAATTGAATTTGGTTTAACGCCGTGAAACGCTCAATCAGAATAGCAACTATGTCTCAACCCCTCACATTTCTCGTCGCTTTCTCTGCTGTCGTAGGCACTTCCGAAGCCATTCGACAGATTCAGTCGGATTCCAAGAGAAAGGAACATCGAAGTCGAAAGAATAATCTGATAGTGCGGTGCCCTAAGTCGTCCCAATACAGTCCTATACTGGAAGGGAGACGTGTAGTCCTGTCTGGTGACAAGGTGAACGGCTTCCAAGCCATTTTCAACAAAACATCAGGTACTCAAGTTAACAAGTCTCCGGTAGCTATACATTGATACAGGCACCGACTATGACCAGGCCTTCGGCCATCCGTTTGCTGGATATTTCCTTCCGTATCCTGATTCCAAGTACTCTGGCCTCGTGTCGACGATCTGCGACGAGCCACCAATCATGAATTGGATATATATCGATCGAAATACATATGAGATCAAGTTCGGCACTCGTCCATCGGCACAGCCCAATTGGCCCGGGCCTTTCGATTGCTCTCGACAAGACCGCAGGTTGACATTTTCTGGATGGGAAGGTTTCCTTGCCGTCAAGGAGGGCGACTTTTGGGCATTGTACTTTGACGTTGACGAGGATAATCTGAAGTCAAAAGTAAAGAGTGATACCCTAGTACTAGATATAGAACTCTTACGCGTAGAGATGCGTGTTAGGCCTTCTAAAAAGGAGGAGCCATCTGCTGGGGGCTCAGAGGATACCGAATCCAAAGAAAACCCTTCAGGGTTGGATGCAAAGCAGTATGAGCAAAAGAGTAACGAGAAGGAGGAAGTCACTCAAGATTTTAACCTGGAGTCGCCAGATGTGGATTGAACTAGTGAATATACGCCAGATACTTGCAATAATCCAGCTCCCGCCTCTACGCAATTCATAATAGAGTCATTTGAGGCCAACATATCAATTAACTACCTAATCCTCAGTAGTCTCGATCCTAGTATTCAGTTCGAGGTTTTAATAATTTTATTAGATACCTTTAAATGTGACCCTTCTTAATTGTTCGTTTACGTTTCAAAGACTAAAGAAACCACAAGAGCTTCTAACTAGACGATAACTGTAAGAGAATCTCATAAAAGAAGCGATAACAAGGTCTACGTCCGAAACCATGCTAACAGTTAGCATACTACGGGAATCTGCAGAAAATAAACACCATTCCTAGGCAAGCTTCGCATCTAAGACAAGTTCATAGTTCTTCACGCAACAGTAGAGTTGCTTTCCCAATGTACGCTCGCCTCATCACAAGACCACCTTCCTAGGCGATAGATTAGAAACAGCTACGACGTGAGAATTGAAATCGTTACATATCCAGACTACCTACCCCAGACTGCCCTTCTGTCGGAACCGAGAGTGCTACTGTAGTTGTACAAAAGCCATACGATATGCGTGGTATGTGATCGCGTACAACTACACGTGTCCTAGTTAAACCACTTAACACGCAGGGCTATGCCGTAGTTTGAATAAGTAGGTAACTATATCAGCATATTATGTAGGCGAAAAACTATAAGGCGGAGATGTATACGCTCGGCAATGGCCGCGGATCATGACCTAACTAACGGGATAAAAATAACACAAGAATTTTGGAGTTGCATAATCGCGGTCATATGTGACCTGGATCGTTCGATACTAGAGTGAGGAAAAGTTCAGGTCTTTCTATTTTATTACTTCTTTTAGGATTATACGTAATCACGATGGAAAGTGATGTAGCATTGTGCGAAAATACATAGTCTACCTAGGTTACTACTAAGCTAGATCGCGTGGCACTGGGCATACTCAGATGATCATGTCTAATGGGATTCTATGCAAGCCAGGCAATAATTACGCCAAAGAGGCTCGCATTTACCAAGAATGAAATTTCGCAACTTTCATCTCTTCTATAGTTTCAATACCTTCCGTTAGGACTACCTAGCAATTAGTAGCGGATGCTACTATTATTTCATCACTAACTTGGAAAGCGCCTGTATATACCTACAAGCAAAACCAAAACTTGTAGTATTGACTAAGAAAGGTAACTCAGTTATATAAGGTCATTTACAATGATTAAATTTAGAAGAGTAAGATACTACTCAAGGAATCAATAGGCAATAACAATACACTGGTCAATTTATGTATCGTATCATCAGTGTCTACTCCCCGAGAAAGAGTATTTTAGGTAGTTAGCATTTATGTACAAGGCACCGGTTAGCCTAAACAATTGGTCCAAATACGGTTCCTTCATCAGTAGGTACCTACCTAACCTATCTGCCGTTATATTCGGGTCATCATTCATCTCCGAGATTATATTCATCATTCACGGGAACCTCCCTATTCACCCAATATTCCAGAGCCCTATCTGTCTTCAGGGTGAATAATTTCCCGGATATGCTTTACCGCGCTTCGGGAATACACGATCCTGAATCCTTTGATCGACTCTGATACTCGCCATTCCCACACCAGATACCGTAGTTGGTTTAAGAATCTGGACGGCCTATGAGAAGTCCGGTTGAGATACCATCCTGCGCAAGCATGTGTCGGTAGCAGGCCATGCTCTGGGCCCATTGCCTGCCCACCCGTCCCAGCGAGAAGTTTATGGTTCAGACAATACGTCTAAGGACGCCTTCGTGCCTCTAGGTGACTCAGTGGCCGATAGATCTAACTGAATATAGAGCCGCCGCAATCTGTAGTATACCTATATACCGCGTACAGAGCGCCTGGGAAACTTGGTGACGTAATATCTCACGTATTAGGCGGTCGGTCGAGACAAGATACCTTGCTTTCGAGGAATTCCTATGCCCATATGTGACTGGTACGACTTAGGCGGATAGAACGCGGGCGGGGTGATCGTGCACCTTTTAATTCGGATCCTTCCGCTCGATCCAGGTGACGCCTCGGATTATGATGACGCCTCATGGTTTCACCCGTGCTGGTGATCCATAGCATAAAATTGCCCATAGTGATTAAGAATTAATACCATACAGTTGCTTCCTTGCTCCTATCACCAATCCCTCAAATATCTCTCGCTTCCGAAATGCTTTTGTCGTGGTTGTTCATGCGGTCTCGCAGCCGTAGTTACCGTATTGTCGGTAGTGATTTTAATGTAATTACTTCGATCCCTATTTTGAGAGGAGCCCCCTGACCCTAGGTCAGATGTATTTGCGCCGCTAGGAGGAGTGACACGCAGCTTGGCGAGCGCGAAGTCAGAAGTCAAGGCTCTGTTGTTGGCTGATATGAATCCGCTTCGTAGCGATCGGAGGAAGGGCCAGAAGTAAGCAGCACAGGCGGCCGATATACTTGCGAATTGGACGAATTGCATGCTAAGGTAGTATGGAAATCCTCGGAGCGTATAATCGTCTTCGGCAAGGCGGGGAAGATAGATGAGTTGGCAAACCGTCGCTGCAATAGCACTTAAAACTTGTTAGAGATGCGTAAACGAAGGCCATAAAAGATACGAGTAAAACTAACAATATCCTCACGGAGAAGAAGCTAAGAGCTATGATTCGTGTCCTAGCCGAAAGTTTGAGCGGATATATGACGATTGCCGGAAGAGCTATGAGTGAAGCGTCCGTTAGAATATTCGTGATGTCCACGTATTCTAAAAATGCTATCTATATGATTCATTAGCAATAAGTCTTCAGTATAGATTCTCCAGCACCTATCAGCTTATCTCTTACCCTATCGATGCAGCTGGAGTCGTTGCTTTCCCATGGACCGTGGCTCCCGCACTGAAAAGCCGTTCCGACGAAGGCTACTAGCAACCAGATTATGACGGTAACAATGAAGACAGACGTGAGGCGACGGTGTCCCGATTCCGGGGACAAGGCAGATAACCCTATGCAAACCGAGAGCTTCGCAAGTCCGAGGGCGAGGATATATAATAATTGCCCGGCGTATTGCACCTGAATATGCGCAATTAGCTTCGATATTAAGCCGACACGTTTCGCGATAGATGCATACTTTAAGACCTGCTGTAAATTCATCGTCGGAAATGAGACTTCGCGCTTTTCCAAATATTTTCCCCTCGGGGACGAGGAGCGTCACGGATTCGCCGAGACCAGCGAACTGGTTATCACAATGTTAATCCAACTGAAAGCTATACTCTCGTTGAGACGTAAGTTAACGTACAAATGCCAAGGCGATGAGCGCCTCTTCCCATCCAAACCGTTGGTTCGTTTTCAGGAAAAACTTCGTCAAAAAGCGGAAGCAAAGCATAAGCGATGTCAACGCGATCAGTAGCCAAGTGATCATCTGTAGGATAGGGTTCATATCCGAGTCTGTAACGACGATCCCAGTCGGCGGCGAGGGCGCGGCATCCACGGCGGCGCGACGGAAAACCGACGGCATCTTCAAGAACCAGATGCCGGCGGCCCTATGGACGCGAGATGATATATCTCAGGATAGGCCGTCGAAGAATAGCAGCGGGCCGGACATTGGTAGGGCTGAGAAGCCCCAGCGTTTCCCGCGCGACGATGTGTATTAAGATTATGAGCTATGGAGTTTGAAAAGACCTGGGGAAAGAAAGTGGCCTTGATTCGCGCGCGCTCCGTGCGTATGTATTTTCTAGGATAAATATGATCAGGGAGTAGAAACGCCAAGCGGCCAACCACTGGCTCTAACGATGCTGACGGGTGGCGCAGATTTGCGATCGAACCATGGATATCCGCGGCAGTTGGCCCCATTAGCTTATTTGAGGAACAGTATTGCGACAGGATCATCTATATGAGAATATATGTGTTGCACTGCATAGCCAACGAGGCCAGCTCATAGGTAGCCTCTGATATTCCATGCGTCTGTTGGAAAGGTTTTTTTTTCTTACTTATTTTTATCTCTGCCACCCTCCTTTGGTTTAGATAATCACATTCTCTATGATAGTCTCCGCTTAGAGAATTAGAGCTGGTCACGAAGGACTAAGGATGCAGGGGACCTAGGGATCTACACGGATGAAGGCGGGAACTACATGGAACTAATGCCAGTCAGACCGTGGGGGAGTACCCATACACGTGAAATTACGGATGGCCTAGATGGATCGTGTACTTAGGTAGGCTGCCACATGTATGTATACAAGGTAGTTAATGCAAGGGTATCTGGATAGCCCAGTTCCTTACGATGTCACTGGTTGACTTAAGTAGATTGAAATGCCTACACATGTACATAGTGCGCTACATAGGTAATACCACAGTAAGATATTTCTAGCCAATAAGTGGAAATGAGTAGAATAATAATTAAGACCATGTCTTTGAATGTTCCAAAACCGCGGCACAACTAGAGAAATTCGTCGTCTCCTCATTCATCCGAAGGATTCACTTGAACCGAGGCCACTAGCGATCCTAATACTACGAAGTACGTAGCAACTGAACTACCTAGCCTTTTGCATACGAATTTGAAAGACCTACGCAGGACCACGTGCTACTTACCTACATCCTAAGGTAAGATGGGTTACTTTCATGCGATACGCAATAATGCTACCCATAACGTACCTATCTTACCCAAAGCTGAAATTTGGAGGGGCCGTATAAGGAAGCAAGGCACTAAATTTTTTATGGTACATAAGTGCTCGGATGTTGGGGGTCTGAGAGACCAGTCGCTTCGATCCCTCTCAAAACCTTTAGTGGGGAAGCATTTATCCCATGTCCGTTCACGCAGGAGTAGCGAGGGTCGCCAAGACGGCCCGACTCTCACCAATATCTTGGTCCAGCACATTGATAGGTCTAACAAAGCTTGATGGGACATGCTACCAGTCTTCCGGGCCATAACTTAACGATTATAAATAGGTGAGGGTGGTAAGTATGAATATACAGTGGAGTATGATGCAAGACAATGGGATATGACGAGATAAGTCCATGATGATTTTAATAGGCTTTAAATCAGCATCGTGGTGTATGTATCCTTTCTCAGTTAATACCTCCTAAACCGTTCCAGGGCATTGTAAAATGCAGCTGGATGCCATACAAAGCAGGGTTGGTTAGCTTTACTTAAGGCTCGTCAAAGGGGCACGAACACCACGTTATTCAGCCACCAAATCCCCGAAGCCAGTCTTTCCGACAGCCTTCAAGATGTTAGGAAATAAACGATGTACATTGATATAGTAAAGAGACTCCCAAGTACGTTCCACAGGTTCAGCCTCATCGGCATATAACCGTTATTACTCTTAGATCTTAGTTAGATCTTCAGTATCACAGTCCAGTTCCGCCAGTTCTTACATCCGCATAACGCCACAAGAAGGATGCAAACCCCCGTCTTCGGTGTACGAACTACCCTTTCTGTTAGACCTGATTTTCTTGATTGGACAGGGATACCTAGTTAAACTCTGGGCCCGGTGCATGTCAGCATTCTACCTTAAGCTCATGTACCTTGTTGCCGCCGGTAGGATCAAGCTTTCCAGGGTAAGATTAAGTTTAACCCTCAAAGGATTTATTCGGCACGGAGTCCGGATCATATTAGGCCATTTACTATTTATTAAGGACTAATGGCCAATATAGTTTGAACTTCATTGAATAACCGCCCCTAATTATGGATGTGTGATGAATAGATACTAACAGTCACTTATCATTGCGAAAATTAGGCCAACTTTCGTTGTGTACTTTGTACTTGTTAGGTAGGTTATACCGATCGATTTATGATGAGGATGGTTTTAAAGCACTCGTGATAGATCATTGCGGACGAATACCGTTACCTAGGTATGCTAATTGATGACTTTTCGGGGCTTATTCTTTAAAATCTCTAGGTAGCTTAAGCCTAAAAAGACCTTACTCGACGTGGATATCAATAACATAACACCTATCTACTCTCTTTCCTTAAGGGTATATTACCTCGTGCCTTCCGTGGAAGAGGTAACTTAGATAGTCGTGAGAGGGTGTTGTGCAATGCGGTACCTCTACCAGTTTATAAGATATCTAACGAGACAAGTGTACTCCTCAAAAGATTTATTCTTTCAATCAAATCAGTCTCTCTAGTAGCGACTGCCTTGAATGTTGGTGCCATCAAATCGTTTATGTTATCGCTATCGGTAATTGGGGATGGATTAAGGATCTTGATGATGAAACTCATCCGCTGCAGGAGATGCCTAGCCAGTTGCAATACCAGAGTGATTTGAAGGGCTGAAGAGTTTGGTAGGGAGAAAGATCCGACCTTCACATCGGGCATCCGAACATAATCCTCGGGTGCCGTGACCGAGGAGCGATCCAAGCAAGCTTGCATGTTGCCGAAGATGTCGTTATAAATTTCGATTAGTCTCTGATAACAAGAGAGAACTAATAGAAAAGATGCCTGATCGAATGAAGCAAGTCGACTGGTGCTAGACTCACGGATAGGAGACGTGATAGAATCCTGAGCCGAACCTCCTGGCTGACGGGGATATAACTTGTCAAGCGCCTCGATGAACCTCTGGGATAATTGGAATGTTTTGTCTATGGCGAAGTCCTTATCCTTCCAACTCAATGGCTGGGATGTAGAGATCGGAGGTTTAGGAATGGTAGAGGAAAGTGAGAATGTTTCAACGTTCAAATCAGAGAGGCTCTGGATAATATCCAATGGCAAGCAAAGAGGTTCTTGCACATCATCCCGCAAGGGATCTTGCTTTCCCGCTGGACTATCATTCTTAAGAGGAGATTGTTGTTCGGTAGACAGCATGGCCCACTCCTGATTGAATCGATCTTGCCAAGTATTAGAAGCATCTTGTGATGGTACCTGTGACAAAGGCGGGCTTGTAGATGTGACAAGGGTTGGCGAAGAACCGGAGGTAGAGTCCTCGATAAGGGGTGTCTGCCATAACGCCGAGTCGCACTGGAAGAGGTCGCTACCAAGGCTAAAATTCATATCAGAAAGAGAAAGTTGGCAAATAGGGCCGGGAGTAGCAGAGGTAGAGTGCGGAGGGCCGTTTTCAGTAGTTTTGACTGAGTCGAGATTATCCTCTCTGTTGACGGAGCTGTGCCGATCATCGTGATGGTCATTCATCGCCTTGGGTTTCAACCCCCTTTTACTGCGAAGCGACGGGCTCCAGGTACAGATTGCTCTCGCTCTAGTACAACGGACACAGGCACCTCCAGACGCACTTCTCATGCACCTTAGTTTCTGTCCGTGACATCTATCGCAAGCAGATCGTTGGATGGGGTCAGGCATACTAAGATCCACCCGAAAGCTATTAATAAGACGAATACCTGGGTATGAAATAGTATAGATTAGGTACCTAACCTAGGGATTTAGGACAAGCCAATATTAAAGCATTCATCGGACTTTGGTCTGTGTTTAACCATTTGGAGAGACTATACTGTAACGAAATCTGGGATTAGGTGATTTCTGGGAGAAATGGGTGGATTTCGTTCTAGCCCAAAAAAACTCTAGAGCTGAGAAGTTATGTAATCCACTTCATCGCGATGAGGATATGATAATACCTAACCTAGATAACTCTTCTGGTATGACCCGCCTTATCCGGGGATCTGACTTCACGTAGCTTATTTAAATAATTCGATTATAACCATTAATGAGGTCCCGCCCTGTATATATAGGTATATATATATATATATATTCGAGTTATTTAGGAAGATGAAGACGACACCGTCTTGTAAATGGTATAGTCGTAATATAAAGTCCGACGATTATGTGATACTAATAGTGGTTCTTCGGCCGAAAACAAAGCCTGGCATCACCAAGAAGTTCAATTCTCGCTTATTAATATGTATTGTTCTAAGTCTTCGGTAGTTCCTTGCTATGTAGAATTCGGTAGTCCCACAAATGTTCGGAAGATAGTGGGTCCCTTCGGCGGTTGGTAATCCCCCCTTGACCGGGACCCTACCGAAGAGTATAATGATGGTTTACGAATAGCAGGATGCCTTACGTTACGTTTACTTATACTCGTGAACGGAAAATAAAAGTGACCAAAGACACAAATACTTGTATCTAGTTGTGTTATTCAATTCCTATATGATATAATATCTTGATCCCCCCTGCGTTAGTCTATTAGACATATCAGCCTCAGATCTTATACCGGATAACATAAAAATGAGCAACGGAGAGGAATCACCGATTTCAGATCTTAATACACCCCAAAATGACCAAGTACTGGCATCTCGGGAGAAGGATGAGGAAACCGACGAGCAACTTAGTCCCGCAGCCACATTCTTGCTCGTTCTATCTTTAACGGTAAGAACCCCTTTGATCGAGCGAATTAAGCAAGTGGGATCGCTGACATTCTAAAAGGTGTCTACCTTCATTGCTGCTATCGAGCAGGTATGTTATTATCTACTATAGAAGCCTCATTGGAAAGTTTAGAAAATTTAACTCACCCTTCAGACGATTGTCGCAACTGCAGTGCCGACCATAGCCAAGTCCTTCCAAGCTACGGAACTGGAGTATGCTTGGATAGGGACGGCATATCTCTTGCCAGCAGCCGGTACGTCGTAAGCTTCGATGCTTTCGTCCTTATGAGTTAACAACTGATTAATTCATCTCGCAGCTGCTACTCCACCCTGGGGGAAAATCAGTGACATTTTCGGTCGCAAACCCATCCTACTCGCGGCCATTATTGTGTTCCTCATCGGCTCTCTCGTAGGAGCGCTTGCGAATAATATAAACACGCTTATCGCAGGCAGAGTAATACAGGGAATCGGTGGTGGGGGAATATTGGGATTGTCAATAACCATCGTAGGAGATGTTTTCAGTCCTCGGTACATATATGCTACTCTTTATCCGGTTGATAATTAAGCTAACATTTTGGTAGTGATCGAAGCAAGTATTATGGTATACTAGGTGTGACTTGGGGATTGGCGTGTGGCATAGGCCCTGTCGTCGGCGGTGCTTTTGCTGAGTTCGTATCTTGGAGGTGGTGCTTTTGGATCAACTGTAAGTTCTGTACGAAATCACCGTGAAGGCATCTAGGCTAACTTGCCAAAGTACCAATTGCTGGCCTAGCTGGCATATTCGTGATCTTCTTCCTCAAGGTCCATACGCCCAAGACTCCCATCATCGAGGGACTTCTTGCGATGGACTGGCTTGGCACGATAACAATTGTAGGTGCCACCGTGATGTTCCTACTAGGAATTGGCTACGGAGGGGCGGCTGAACCATGGGACTCTCCCGTCGTTATCTGCCTTATCGTCTTCGGAGTCGTGACGGTTGGCTTGTATGTTCTCATTGAGTGGAAAGTGGCCAAATACCCAATTACTCCGCTCAGGCTTTTTCAGTCGACTTCCAATATTGCCTCGTTCGGAATTGCATATATCCACGGCGCAATCTTTATAGCACACCTTTACTACCTTCCTCTTTACTTCCAGGCCGTCCTTGGTGCGAGTCCGATCATGTCGGGTGTTTATCTCCTACCAGTTGCTGTCACACTGTGTGTGGTATCGAGCCTGACAGGTGTCTATATCAGCAAGTCGGGTAGATATCGACCGCCAATCTACTTGGGATTTGGCTTGATGATTCTAGGAACTGGTCTCTATATCAATCTCCAGGATTATCCTTCGTGGCCACGCATTATTATCTACCAGATTATAGCAGGTGTCGGTATCGGACCCATTTTCCAGGCCCCTATTGTGGCAGTGTTCAGTCTTACAAAGCCTGCAGACATTGCAAGTGCAGCGGCGACACTCCTTTTCATGCGCGATATTGCAACAGCTATGTCAGTCGTTTTCGGAGGAGTTATTTTTCAGAATCGTATGGCGGCACAGTCAGGAGAGATTGTCGCAGCTCTCCCATCTGACAAAGCCACACAAGTAATTGGGGGCGAAGCCTCCGGTGCACTAAATATTATCCCAACTCTACCCTATGATCAAAGACAGGTGGTAGTTGGGGTATATAATGAGAGTCTACGGGCTGAATGGATTTTCTATACTGCACTTGGAGTTGTTGGAATGTTCCTGAGCTTGCTTATCAGTAAGCAAGTATTGTCTAGGGAACATAAAATCCACAAGACGGGGTTAGAGACACAAGAAGCAGCTCGATTGGAGGAGAGCGAAAAGAAGAAGCTTAATGCAAATATATAATCTACTACGGACTACTCTAAGGTTGTAGCAGATGTCAAGGCCCTTCAGCGTTTGTCAGGGGTAAAGGGTACGTACCTGATTCAGGGGTCGGTTGAAGCTCGGAACAAGGCAGAAGCTGAAGCCGGCAAGATGCGGGTCAGCCTTGATTCAGCTGGTCTCCACTACTTCGTCATCGTAACTTTTTAATCTTTTTTACCTTCACTAACAAGTAGCTACTTCACCTTTTTTCTTCTTTCTGTATATAAAAATTAGCGAAGAATGGAGTCTTATTTGTGTCAAATTATCTACTCAGTAGCACTTTAATCGAATGCCGTTCCCATCGAATAATACCGGCCTCATCGCGAAGTGTACAAACACGATCCTCTGCCATCTGCGAGCTGTACCTCTCTGGGGAATCGCCCTAATTATACTACTCCTCGGATTCCTTCGGACGCAGCTGGTGGCTACTATTACGAGTAGTAGAATATTAGGATCGAACGGAATACCTAAAAAATAAACATCATGGCGTCTGCTGCCGGCGCGGCTAATAGAGTGCTGAGGGTCACTGGACCGATACTCCTACCGGCTGTCGCTTATGGTGCCTATAAAGGGAACGTGCTGGCAATGCTTCAGTCATTCTTTACAGGCCCAGGCAGAACAAGCCGTGTTGTAGCTCTAGTGGTCGTGCTTGTTAATTGGAAAAGCCTGCCTTTTGCGTGGACAGTATGCAACCCCTGGGCCAGCCGTCCTACATTCGAAAAAAAGGCATTTACTAAAAGAAATGCTCATAGTTCCGCGTTTTCGGCGCCATGATAACGCACCTAGGTTTTAGGCGCTTTCATACACACACTCCCGACCAACTCTTCCATCCAGTGATTACGCCGTCTCATGTCTCGCTGCTCGAAGTCGATTATAACATCCACAAGTCCAACTCGACCTACTTCGCCGACCTTGACGTCAGCCGTTCTCAACTAGTCTCACACTTATTCGCTCGCGGCTGCCGCGAACTTGCTAACAATGCCTCAACACGCCTGGTGATGGATCCGTCGGACCCTTCGAAACCAGCTAAGGGCAAATTCGGCGTTATGCTTGGAGCCGTGCAATGTAGCTTCAAGAAAGAGCTACAACCTTATCAAAAATACGAGATGTGGTCCCGTGTTCTCAGTTGGGATCGTAAATGGCTTTACATCGTAACGCATTTCGTTGAGCATGGTGCCGTCAAACCGCGGTCTTGGGACGAGGGGAACTTCGGCGCGACGAGGAAAGACAAGGGGAAGCCCGAGGATTGGGAAAAGAAAATACATGCTACAGCCATCAGCAAGTATGTATTCAAGATCGGACGATTAACAGTACACCCCGCTGTCCTTATCGACGCCAGTGGGATGCTACCAGAGCGGCCTGACGGTTGGGTCACTACAGAAAACGGAATGGCCCCTCCATCTCATCTGATCACTGGTCATGCCGTCAGTGAAGCTGAAGCTAAGGACGGACATGGCAATTGGTATTGGAAGCGAACGGAAGAATTGCGTAAGAAAGGTTACGAGTTTGCAGCACATTTCGCGGCGCTAGATGGTTTACAAAGCCAATTTAATAGCGGTGAAGATGGGGCTCTTGGTAGATTTGGCCTCGCGTGATTCATACCGCATCTACACACTAGACTTTCAATCTCACGATAGAGACAGCTGATCGTGTATTATACAGATTCGGATTCATATCCTTAGACTCGGCCTTAGAAGAATAGACATCGAAGACAATTAGAGACTATCAATTGACTTTTAAGCTTCCCCGACTGCTCTTATTGATTTAAGTATACACATGATCCGAAGACCATCAAAACGTTGTATAAAAGAAGTTTACTATTAACCACACCATATCGTGCCAATCATTTATAGAGCTAAAGCAGCCATGGCCGCAGCAAAACCGAGACCGGCAACGGCCCGGTTACCGGCTCCGGGTGTCGCAGTCGGGGTCGAAGCCGCATCGGTAGCCGAGCCGAAGACAACAGAGCCGATCGCAGACGTGGCAGCAGCGCTAGCACTCGATATGACCGAAGAAACAGCAGCACCACCGGCGGCAACTGCGACATTTGCGCAGATCTCCCCGGAAACTTTTGTCGTCTCTGTTTCTCTATTAGTCATTATGTTCCTCTTGCCAAAGTATTACACAGAAGCACTCGGTAACTGGGATCTAGAACATTCCAAGACAAAGGGTAAACATACTAGCTAGGTCATCGGTATTACAAGACGTCGATACACAGGTAATAGCCTCCTTGGTCAGGTCGTCGATCTTGCTGCATTGGCACTTGTTGTCGGTGGTCGAGCAGCCGACCTTGGTTGAGGCGCTGTCTAAGCATGGCTTCGCGCAGGACGGAATCTCCGAGATAAGCTCTTGCAGACTCTCGGCGGTGGCTGCCGCGGCGAAAAGAGCGATAGCGAGGGTCTTGAACTGCATTTTGAATAGGTATCGATGTTTTATTTCCACGTAAATGAGTGTATGTTTGTTTTCTTCGACCGGCGATGAAAATAACGAGTAGTCGACGTGGTAGAGTAGAATGAGCAAATGAGCGAAGATATTCAATAATAGACGGGCAAGAGAACAAACGTCCAGGGTAAACAACTTTGATACTGAGGCGTCGCAGCTTTTTTATCTACATAGTACGTTTGATGAAATGCCCTGACATAGATTCTAGTATCATTGAATGATACCCACCTCCATAGGATCCTACTATACCTTGGCGACCCTTGACTAACTTAGCGTATAGACACCAATACCAAGATCGGCCAGAGTTTATCTCATCATGGCCAAGCTCGAAGTCTTTCTGTACATATGGCTATGTGACACCAGCAAGGTTTCTCCCCCGTCTTGTCCCAACAGAATCTTAGCTTCTCTCTTTCTAAAGAGATACGGCGTGAGGGGTAACAGATAACAGATACAAATAAGACAATGCGATACTTCTTATATACCTATGACTCGACGTCCCGTCCGAGGTGATAGCCTATTAACGGCAGTTCAGTTTTGTTCGAGAACGAGGAGTTGGAAATGCGCCCCTTAACTGCGACATCTGCAGGGGGGAAGATACCCTCTATTCAGCCCTCATTCAATGCCGGGGGGCCCTGCAATTTCATGCATTAGCTCAGGGGTATAGCTTTACGAGGCCTAGGGCTATCCCAAGCGACAGCTATATCCATGTCAGGTTTGAAACGGAAATTTTCCATTTTGCGGGGATCTCAGAAACGCTTCCTATTGATGGATAGGCGGGATACATAGTTACATAGCTGGTAGACGTAGTAGGTAGTAGTTCTTCCGCAGAGTCTTCGCACTTCAACAAGTCAACATGTTAGGACGTCAGCAGCTCTATCAAAATGAGTTTCGCTATAACCTTCTTTCTACAGAGCTACACAGGGAACAAGGTGCCCTCCGCATTGTATAATTCACTGTATCAGATCGAATAATGGGAAATGCTTTGCTTACAATTATCAGCCTTACAGGTGACGCAAACCGCGAGTGGTTTGCCTTAGAAAAAAGCCTTGAGGAACAAAGCTTAGATGCGAAAGGAAAAAAATATTTTCAGGTGCTCGAATCATTCATAGCTAATAGGAAGAGATTCCCATGGAATACCTACTTGGAGGCTAACTCAAGTGCGGGGGTTCGGGGTATATCGGTATGATAGGCGACCAGAAGTGACTGCTAGTCATCGGCGAGGGCCGCTATGGATGTTCATTTCTGAGCAGAAGTTAGCCAGCGCCTGATAGCCTGGAGAGTGAGGTTTGGGCTCCTAATCCTCATCATCACCCTTATAAATCGCAGCCTGACTTGTTTGGACATCGTCCACATTAGCAGCTATACTCTTAGTAGTATATGGCTTCCAGGGAATCGAGTACAAATCGTTAGTATATTAACCATGGGTCGGGATATGAAAGGAAATATCGCTGAGACTGCCGAGACTAAGACGCTGCTCTTGCCGCCTCCTCTCCTCCCGGTTCCCTACGATGCCGCCCTCCCCGGCGACGAGCTATGCTCGGCTTGCGCTGCATTAAAGCTAACGACCCGGCGCTTTATCGTCTTCCCCGACGATCCCGAATACAAGCAATGGACAGAGAAAATCTCCAAGCCCGTGCATCACGCCTCTATCGCCGATATTCGGAGCCGCACCCACTGTCCTCTCTGCCGACTTCTTCTCATAGCGCTTGGCGGCGAACGCGTCCCCGATGTCGATCGTCGCAACCGGGCTGTGCAGGTCGGCATCAGCTGGGGCACTGACGGGCACGCGCCGTCGCTCGACGAACAATGGGCCACCCTCAGTGACATTCGCGCCATATGGCCTGAGCTTATCGTCGAGGGCGGCAATCCTGCCGACATCGACATCGAGACGGTGACCATTTCTCCACAGATCACCCTGCTGCTTAACGACGCGCCAGCCGACACGCCCCCCGCCGCCTTCCCCTTCCTCCCGCGCCCGATGCGCCGCGACTATATCGACTTTGACCTCGTGCGCTACTGGTTAGCCATATGTGAGACGCGCCATCGCCGAGTGTGCCACTCCAAGCGTATCATGCGCGAGATGGACTGGGGCTCGCCTGTGATGGTCGTCCCGGACTTTCGCTGCGTTGATCTCGAGGAGGACTGCCTCGTGCGTCTCCGCGGCGTGGACACCGACCTGCGGTATGCTGCCCTCAGCTACGTCTGGGGCCAGGGCGGTGCCGACAAGGACTTTTTCAAAACTCTAACTGCCAATGTTATCGAACGCGAGACGCCCGGCTTCTTCGCCCGTAACGAGAGCCAAGACTGCCTGCCGGCCACAATCCGCGATGCCATGACGGTGGTGCGGAGACTAGGCCTGCGGTATATCTGGATAGACAGCCTGTGTATCGTGCAGGACGGTCAAGGAGAGGATTGGCTTAAGGCAATCCAGAATATGGACTTGGTGTACGGCGCTGCCTACGTGGTCATATGTGCGGTAGGTAGCGCAAGTGCATTCGAGGGCATTAAGGGCGTTGAGAAGAAGCGCGGATCGCGTAGTAATGTGCGGAACATAGAGCAGATTGCTGACGGCTTTCGACTCGCCTATTGTAGGGGCATCGACACTGAATTGGAGGACTTGACATACTATACCCGCGGGTGGACGTGAGTTTTCGTCGACCTTCCCGCGAGGATGTCATTTTCGTGCCGGCTAACTGTTTCTCGCAGTTACCAGGAGCAGCATTTTGCCTGCCGCGCCCTTATCTTCACCGACGACTCCGTCAGCCTCCAATGCCGTTGCAAGGTACACTTTTCAGAGGACACATTTGAGGATACAACAGAGATCAAAAAGCCGCCCAGGGCGTCCTTCGCGGGCAACGACAACGACATTGGCGATATCGTTGAACGCCACATCCAAAACTATTCAGAGCGCCACCTAACCGAAGCAACGGACATCTACCGTGCCTTTGCGGGCGTCGCGCGTCAAATCTGCCGTAACTTGAAGTCGGATCTGTGCCACGGTTTACCGGCGCGCTTCTTCGACTGGTTCTTACTCTGGGAGCCACTGAAGGAAGATGCTCCGCGGCGTCGGGCCATCGCGCCGAGCTGGTCGTGGGCCGGGTGGCACGATCCTGCGTGGTCGCGCATCTGGGACTGGTATACGCGTGACATTAAGGTCGTGCGGCACGGTATTAGGAAGCGTACTTGGATCATGTGGTACCAACGCAAGGGACATGAGTCGACGAGTTGTGAGCTCGTGTGGAGACACTACAAGGATGGCAAGGGGAGGGAGTTGAACTTTTACGGCGGGCCGGTGCGCAAGAAGGAGCGCTTTGCGCTTGCCATTGATTGCTCGACCACTGAGCCGACAGCCCGGACGCTGACGGGAGACGGACTGCCGCAGTATACGGATGATATTCTTAGCGAAACCCCGGGGTCCGGACTTTTGCAGTTCTGGACCGTGTCGGCCACGTTCGAGCTGCGTCGGGTCGGGAAGGGCGACGATGGCGTCTACGGGCAGCGAGTCCCGAGACAACAGGCAGAAACTTCCTCCGAATCCTCTGATGATAATAATGATGATTATGACTCTGGCTTTAACGACGACGAAGACGATAAGGACGATGATTATGACTCTGACTTTGACGATGACGATGACGATGATTATGACTCCGAGTCTAATGATGATGAAGATGACGATTACGATCCTGATAAACAACCCGGAATCAAGCTCATCATAGCTGGACAGTCGGGCCTTGCACTCGGCCGCATTTACGTGCCGACCAACTGGAGCGGGCTCTCCGAGCTCGACGCGTCGAACGGCGGCCCGTACCGACGCGAGTTCGTGGTTCTCTGCGAGGCTCGCGACGAGCGGGCGAAGTACTCTAACCTCGTCGACGAGGATGGTGGGTGGCGCTATCGCATTATGTTGGTGGATCCCAAGTGCGGAGGGCAGTACTTTGAGAAGGTATCGGTCGGATCTGTTGGCTTGGGAGACTTGAATGAGGCGGTTGGAGGACTGGTTTGGAAGGAGTTCATTCTCGGGTGAGTGAAGTGGAAAAAAGGGGTTGGGACCGTGATTTTAGTGATAGTAGCATTTCTAGAATCTACCTTCTCGTCCTCTTTCTTCTGAATACGTCCCGATTACGTAGTAAGCTTCGTTTATCTCTTAATTCCTCTACATCCCTGAGTCTTGCGTACCTTTTCACAACCTACCAGGTTGTTCAAACGATACGGCTGCAAAGGTTACGATTTTGTGGGTAGTAGGTAGCTTCAGGAGCCAAGAGAAAAGGCGAGCGTTGAGGGCGAATCGATTCTTCTGTTCCAACATCACATTGTCGAGGCCTTCGTGATCTTGTTACCAGCTCTACCCACCTGTATGCACGCAAAGCTATTGGTTCCACTCGAGAGGCTCAGACAACACAGCATTAATAATGATATAGCATAGATAGGTAGGTTGCACAGAATCTAGGAGGTAGTAAAATATAATAATATTTATAGGAAATATTTGTAGGGTCGAAATTGTTTATTGTTGCTAGAATTTCAATGCCCTCTATTATAGTGTATTTACTTCATCTTGTCCGGTACTCGTCAATATTTATGCCCATAGATAGTTCATCTATTTTTTCCTCCGTAGATACCCCAAGTATATCGCCTAGCCTCACGATGCTTGAGCCTGTAGGAACCTATTTAAGGGGTTCTAGAAAAGGTAGAGTAAGATGATATTTACCCTGTCTCATCAACCAAGCTTCACCAATACCCTGAACACAAACCTTATAGATAGGTATATATTAATTAGAAGGGATGTATGCCACCCCTATGGACCTAAAGACATCATTGTGTTTCTTTTGGGTGGTATAGCTGTTAGTTGGAGAATATGAATCATACTCGGGGCGTAACTCCGCTTACCAATACGGCATATATGCCAACAATAATCCCATCCTCTGGCTTAAGTATGTCAGAGAAATATTCGTCCCTAGGCAGCTGGTCGGTGCAAGAAGGAGGGAATTCAATAGCGCGGCCGCGGTTAGTATAGAACTTGAATATTATTAGCAAACACCCACCACCTTATCTGAACGGATCTTGTCCAGTGAACTGAACTGCTTACCTTCAGGCCAAATATGAAAGTGGGGTCCTCATAAAAAGCTTCCAAGCCTGTAATGCGTTCACCAAGACCCGACTCAAGATCCATGTGATAAATCTCCGAGTTGAATAACCCCTCATCGGGGATTTGACCAAGTAAGATGGAGGCTTTGCCATCAACAGGACGGCTAAAAGAGAATTCAAGACCCCAAATATGAGTGCGGTCGGCGTACATACCAAGTTCTGTGTTGTCGACAACCCAGACTGTTATCCTAGTTAGGTGAGGGAGCTGTGTTCCATCTACTCCTCCAAAAAGTAGAAGGGAAAAAGGTAAACTGTCTCTGTAGTCCTTGAGAAGTGTATTGTGAGGGCCGAGGAATGATAATTCCTTATGGGGGATTTCGCCATGCCATATAGCAGTCTCTTGTAAGTTCGAATGTTGATGATGGAGGGGGGAGGGGGAGGCAGGTGATGTATCCTTGCCATTCGAAATAGACAGTGAGACTAATTTCAAGGCCTACAGAAACTGTTAGAAAAGGCATGTTGTATCTGGGACTGAAATAACCCACATCGAATCCTCCTTTGAGACATTGGGGCGGCAAGTGGGTAGGCAGAACAAGTACCCTCTGAGAGAGGTCATACCAATCCCCCATCCACTCCGAGAGCTCTCCTACACTAGATAATATTCGAATGCCCCGAATTCCTTTGCTATCGAAGGCGATGTGAAACCCAATCAATGTTATCAGCTGTTGGTATTCCCCCCAAGTAACATTGGCCCCATCATCAGTATTACAGTACCCGAAGAGAGTGCTCTGTTCGTTATTGTAGACAATTCGAATCCCGGAAACGTATCTTCTGTTCTTAATTTTGACAGTCGACACGTAGATATTTTTCCAGGTACTTCCCAGAGCGATCTTTCTCTCATACAGCGACCTGGCCCCAGCCCTGTATTGCTCAGTCGGGGCGTAGAGGGTAGGTCCTGCTGTGACCCAGTGATCACTGTTAGGTGCGCCGTTAGGTTCGAATAATGTACGAATTTTCTCGCCATTGCATGAGTTATAGCTTCGCCTACAATTAATGAGGTCACAGAGGTGATGAGCTAAGGACCAAACCCGTTTCCTATTCGCCATACTTGGTAGGCTAGCTAACAATTTTGTTTTTTGGAAGAGTTGTCGCCAGTTTCTGCCAGCTGAGTGAGTCACATTTGCCTCGAATACGTATTCAAATTCTCTTCCATCCCAGAAACGGGAAAACCAGAATCTATCTGGTAAGACAAGAGATGCATATACCGGTGAGACTAACCTGAGATTAGCTACGTCTCTCGAGTCCATCCAAGTAAGAATCATTTGTAAGATTTCGGTTGGTAGCTTAGTTAGAGGATCGCCTCCGGTAGAATAAATAGTAGGCATCTCGTAAGTGGCACTCGCGTCATTCTGAACATAGAAATCAATGCTATCGGTGAATAGACGGCGGAGTTCGGGAACGTCCAGTGGATCATGTGTGTATATGTCCGTCTTAAGGTTAGCCAGGGCTAGGTCAGGTTCCTCGCCAGGACAGAATAAGTCAATATCCCTAGGAGGACCAATAAGGCCTTCATAGTCATGGCCCCAGTCGAGGGGACCGTGTTTATATGGCTGCGACCTACAAAGATCAAAAATGACCTGGAGATCAAGGCAACTCCCATAGATAGGACAAGCGACAGATAGAATTTCCAAGCAGGAGGAGTGAAAAGGAAATCCCCATGCAGGTTGCGGTACTAGAGGAGGATTTGGTGGATATTTGCCACCAAATTTTGTAACCATGAGACGTATCCCAATTTCAGATTCTTCATAGTTGATACCAGGGAGATCCGCATCGACAGAATCGTCTAGAGGGATAACATCCTCGAACTGTCGTCGTTGTCCAATCCCTGAGAGACGGGCCTCATTCCAGTTTTGCAATATGGTATATACTATATAGGTGATTAATTGAGGACACTTTGGGGGGCCGTTGGGATACTCACCGACGCGAAACTTTTGCAACCAGATAACGGAATGAAATATATCTTCCACTGGGGCGCCGCATAGGACGCAAGATACGGAAGTAATTGGCATACCAATTCGATTTCATATATGGACGAAAGTTCCCAGATAATTACTCCACACGAATCAGTAGTGAGGTTGTATTGTTAAGAAAATAATTGAAGGAGTACCTAACCTAATCTATCTGGTAAATCGCAACCCCCTTACTGGGGCCCCCCCCGTAGAGACCACCCATTTTATATAAGAAATCAGCAAAATCGCATATTTATAATTAATCTAAAAAAGATTAGATAAAAATATACGGTCTTTGGTTTGGCTGGATTCATTTATCCGTCCTGACAACTGAAAATTCGACACACGTCAACAAAAAGGCAGACATTACACGCCTAACACCCTTCCTCGAATTATATATCGATCGTACCGGCTGTACGGATGATGACTTATGCGACCAGTTTGTCGATGCTTATCGAGTTGATTCACGCCAGCCTATATCGCGAGAAGACATCCGCAAAATGGCAAGGGACGCGCCTGCTACCTGGATTGACTCGCAATCTTGGAACCGTAGGCGGTTTATTAGCAGTGAAATGATTCCGCGTCTGGCAAAGTGGAACTTGAACCAAACCTTTTTAATATCGATAACAACTTCCTGGATGCGATGGAAACAAGCTGTAGGATGGGGAGAAATATAGCTTTGAAGCTATATGAACAGAAACTCTGGCCTGGAAGCCTTGAGCAAGAATCGGTTGGTACTCTATCCTTTAAGAAGATCAAGGGAATTGTTTAAGCAGTAGTACGGAATCTAGGTATATACATCAAAAGACATCTCCCTATTTTAGATTCGCGGCGTGACATAAGAGACTTTGGGGGACCAATCAAGAGGTTTGAGCTTATACGGGTATTAATGTAAAAGCCTTTAAGCCCTCTATCTAACTATACGATAAAATACATTGTTCGCAACTATTCTTATTAGGGGAGCCCTATTTCCTAAAACTTGTCTCCTTTTATAAATGCACCGTACGAATTTCCGTCAATCATAAACTCACTTTCTTCTCAAAGCGCTGGTATCTCTCCTCTCGCCACTTAGGACCCCATTTCCTTACTATTATAATGCACGGACTTGCTGCCAACACAATACAACCCATAAAGAGGTACGTAAAACCATAACCCCAAGCATCGATAATGTACTGCACCACAGCAGTCCCGACGGCGCTAAGCGCGGCGCGCGTCAAGTTGAACGTAGAAGAGACTCGCCCTGGGTTCATGGGATAGAGATCAACTAGCAGTGTTGTCAAGATACTCACAGGCCCGCTTAAACCAGCACCACCAAAGAATAGGACTACCAGCGGTGCAGCGAGGCTGGTCCCTGAGTCGACGACCCATCCCCATGCTATAATCATAGCTACGGCCAGAATTGTCCACGGCCACATCAGGTCTAGCCGGGCCCTCTCAATAGGAAATTTGCGCATATCGTCGCCCCGTTTGCGATCCGGTGACACGCCGATGCTCTTAGCGACTCGCGTATAATTCCAGTTTAATAGTTTACCGACGACGGTAGCTCCGAGGACTGACCCCACTGCGTAGGGGATGTAACACAACCCAACCTGTAGGTCGTTAAAGTCATACTGGCGGCGGACAACGTCTTGCAGAGGAACCAGCATCGCGTAGTTAGCCATGACGAACAAGGACATGAAGAGCATGAGGGAGCCGACGTCTTTCTCAAAGACTATAAGCACCGCGGCAAGCACGTTGGGTACGGGGATCTTCCTTGGAATCTTCTTCGGCTGTGGTAAAGTTGAATTGCCGGGCTGCGATTCAACGTCGCGACGCTTCTTATGCCATTGGTAGGCAGATGCCAAAGACATGTTTAGTCGTGGTGGGGGAATGGATCCATTGCCGACTATATTACGAGCGGTCTACGATCATGTTAGCTTAGCTCACGCATACTTAACGCTCAGGGGTAAACTCGCCTCAGGAACGAACGGTATGTAGATGAGCAGAAATACGCCGGCGGCAATGACAAGAAACCAGAACGACGAACGCCAGCCAAGGAACTGGGTTAATATTCCGCCTAGAACAGGAGCTAGAGCGGGCGCAAACATGACGCTCGCTTGCACGGCTGTGATATAACCGCCCCTGTCGGCGCTTGTAGTGAAGTCGGCCATGACAGCACTGCCAATAGCAACGGTAGCGCTACTACCGGTGCTCTGCAAGGCTCGTAGAACCATAAGAGCTGCATAGTTGTGTTGTAATGCTAAACCGATGTTGGCGCCGAGATAAATAGCAAACGTGAGCATGTAAACGGGACGGCGGCCGACCTGGTCGCTGAGATCACCGAGGAATAGCGGTGCAACGGCTTGCATAACCTGATATAGGGTTACGGTGAGATTGATGTCGGCAATGGAGCGACCGTATGATTCTGCGATGGGTGTGATAGCAGGTAAGTATATAAATGAAGAGAAGGGCGAAAACAGCGTGGCGAAAACTGTCATGAGGACGAGGAAGACCTTCATCCGAGGAGAAAAGACGGAGTAAACCTCCGGTTCATCGTTACCGGAAGTCTCGTTAACGGGACGGCTTTCTTTATTATCCACGACGTTATCATTCCGTACGGCAGTCGACTCGGCGTCGGGCGAGTTGCCATCGGGGGAGTCTAAGCCGTCATGCGGCTCCGTTGTCTTTTCGTCGGGCGCTTCGGCCATGACGTCACTTATCTTTTCTGAATATGAAAATTTATCTTTAAGACGAGCTGTTCTAGACCCATAGGCTCATACTGACGGGAATAACTAGATAGCTCTTAATATTTATATAAGATAGGTATATAGAATCAATAATGTCCGTGTTCGGAACCGACATCATTCGGAGCCGGCGTCGGCTGCGGAACGGCGAATAACAATCGCAAGTTGTAATATCTATAACATCAGATACGTGACTACATCCCGTGATTTGTCGCCATATGCTCATTAAAATGGTCATATATAGTAGTACCTAGTTATACTTATACCTCATACCCTATATTTACAATAGGTATTTTCAAGGCATGCGGCCTCTTTCATGTATGAGTTCTCTATAAAGACAACTGGGAACAACCCCATAATTAGCGCATTCGATTAGGCATTTACTTTCCTGTTTTAGCAACACTATTCATTTCCCATCTTCTGATTGGACAGATTTGTATCAGCGTTAGTTGACATATTGGAAATTTTTATGGTGGGAAATAGGTGCTCAGGGGTAAGCGGGTAGCCAAACGTTGGATTTGGAGAATTGTGATCTTTTTGAAACAATACCTAGGTAGTCCTATTGTGAATGAATTTCTACGTGATAGGTACGTAATTTCTAATTAGCTGGTGCTGGCGATCTAGACGGAGACTGCTCAATATTTCTACTTTGTCTGCAGCAGAGAGGAGTCCCTTCGTAGCCGGGCCAGATATTTCGCCGATAGAGATGAGGAGAGCAGAGTTAGATGAAGATATTGGTCTCAATCGACTAGGTAGGTGTTAACTGTTGACTACCTAGGTCATCCACGGACCACATGCTTCCAACTTAGACGGCGTCAGTTTCACCAGACCTTTGACGAATTATAATTTGCGACGTCTGTACCGGGCTATCTTAAGAAATAACCAGAGGAAATTAATGCCCTACGTACGGCCAGAGCCCAGGTACCTGCATGGTAAACCCATTAGATTGGCCATGAAAGGTATGTGCGCGGCCAGGTGACTTCGTATGGGAATACATGTAGTACTTGTGCGATACCTGCTAACCCCGCTATTATACAATTAATAATATCATAAAAACATTTAACTCGTCTATGTATAATAGACAATCGGGAGCCTGGCCAATGCAACTCGCTCAAGTGGCGAGATATACGCGCAATCATGCAGTTGATAACCTGCATCATGTCCTACCGAAATCCTGCTCACTTTACTCGTCCTCTCAACTCCCAAAAGAAAAGAAACCGCATTTTGGACAAGATTTAGGACACCCTTTGTGCCCTGCCTCAAAGTACAGCCTGCTGAATGTCGCATCCTCCTTCCTACTCTATTTTGTACGACCACTAGGACTGTGATAATATAACCGACAGCCCCTCGACCATGTGGATCTCTTTTTCCGACCTTCTAGGTAGCCGCTGGCCCTACAAAGACATGTCAGATCCATCTCCCGGGGCGATTAACGCTAATATATTTGGGGCCTTCGGAGCCGTTTTGGGATATATAGGGGCTGAAGCGGCAACGCCTGTTACGTTTGAACGCCTGTTATGGCCTCAACGTAACTTTTCTAATTTCAAGTGGGGGTCCATCGTGACCATGGCATTATTCATGCCAATGGGGGGGCCGACACACAAGGTTGCCTTATCAGTCCTGGACAAAATGTTCTTACACGGATTATTCAAAGGGCCTGGTCTCGGACACATGTTAGGCACCTCGTTCTTCCCCGAACAGCACTGGATGTATACGATGCATGGGGATAGTGGCGAGCATAAAGCCCACACGGAACCATTACGAAATTGTATATGGGCTAGGGCTTTAAGCCAGATTCCGATGCTAGAGATTGAGAATCCGAAGACGTCTACGTCGCCAGGACAGATCGAAAAAGGCAACATCCCCAACACGCAAGTCTTGCGGGCCCGGGTAGCTGTTAACCATCTCAGAATTTCTGGTGCGCTACAGGGCGACCGACATTCGGACCTCCCGTTTGTTTGGGAGGATACAAAAAGTCCATGTCCAAAAGTCTTTCTCGCTATCATAACTACAGAGATGACGGGTATCATACTTGCGCTTTGCGTGTCCGTCATATATCACTCACCTTGGGCTTTGCTATGGCTCTTACCTCTTTTTCTCCGCCTCGTCAGTGCATTTTTTGCGATCCATCGTGAACAGCTATTGTCGACTCATTCATCAGCCAGTGACGATCCACCTTGTGACTTCGTGATACACTGCCCGCAGTCGGAAGGCAACTTCATGTTGATCTCGGGGCCTCCTGCCCTAGTGCTACAGTTCTTCCGCCACTATGGGCACCCAGAACGACAACGCATGCGTGAAGTCGTGCAAATACTTTGTATTATACTCTTCGCATGCGAATTCCCAATAGCACTACTATCCTCTATGATTTGGATGCCCGTCGAAATACAATACATCTGGCTCACCCACCAACTTTATGTGGTAATTGTGATACATATTTCGCGGTATCTTTATATCGGACAGTCGGCCACAACTGAAGCGAAGATTGCGCAGGCATTTACTAAGCAGGTTAAAGGAAAGCAAACATATCCCACCGTAAGAGAGGCGTCGATTTTATTCGGCCACGAACGCCATGGGTCACAGACTCTGAAGGTTGATTTGATGGTCACTTATCATCAACGTAACAAGGAGGGTAGGGAGAGGTTGGAAGAACTACTAAGACTTGGTAAATAGCGTATTAGTAGTATAAACGGGTTAGGATCATGGGGAATTTTCAATTAGCAGTATAAAATGTTGACTCTGTAACATATGTCCTTAAATACCAACTTGGAAGAGCAGTCAGTACGCAACTAGCGTTGCTATAAAATAAAAATTCGAATTTTTGGTTTAAAGATATTTGAAATAACCCCTTTTGCCTTATGCTATTAGCCCTTCAAATTCGTGATTCGGGGGTAGTTCGCAATGAAAAACCGGCTCGTCGTCTTGATATATCTCAGTCCACCTTATAAGTCCAATACGTCTCCATGTCGTCGTGTTTGAAGCAGATATGTTTATATGACCAGTTATATCATGGTATTTAAACTGTTCAGTTGTTAGAGAGGGAGCGAGAACGATCCCGACATAGTCAACCACTGGCAAATTGTGAGGCGACGCAGATGCCAGTAACGCAATCTTGATTAGAGCCGAGACGTTATGTCTCCGGATACTATTTCGCTCCACCCAACCACTCACGGTCTGATAATACTGATATAAACTTCGCACGGAATTTAGCATGCTTTGCCGATCAGGAAAATAATCAATGATTTCCATTAGAGCAGATTTCGAAATGTAATGGTCGAGCATCAGACCTCGATAGTGTTCAGGATCTCCCGGACTGCACGGAACAAATGTCCTCGATCTCGTAGAGTTCGATGATTCCACGAATGTGTCGAGACACCAGGCCTTTCCTACGAATTGTAGATAGTAACCTTGCGGTTCCCCGTAGCTAGGCGTTTTAACAACCTCGAGGGAGCGATAGAGGGTATTAACTTGATGGTTGCCCGAAGCAAACGGAACCCAGAAATGATCATCAACTTTGCACTTCTGCGTGATGAGCCAACTCCTACGAGGAGTATCTACTCCGCTATGTATGAATAGTTGAGAGAGTACAGGTGATTTAGCAACCAGCTTTTCGCCAAACTCGTCCTCGAGTGCGTGCAGCCGAGAAATTGGGTCCCCTCCTGGTGGTAACGGTCCACAGCTAATTCCATATGTCTGAACAATGCCATGAATGCGGTCTTCGGGCTTCGACGTCTGGCGGTGTTGGGCTAAGGAATAAGCAGTATGTGGAAATTCGATGCTCAGCGCGTCCAGCCCTTTGAGTTTCTGAAGATTCCCCAATTGTTCTAGCCTTTGTAATATTCCAGCAGAGCGACTCTTATCCTGGCTCAGGCTACTAGAACTAGTGTTCCCATGGGAAGATATTCCGTCTTCGACATGTTCAAGAATTCTTCTCAAGTCCCGAGTCCTTAAAATTGAACGCAAGGAAAAGACATCAAACTTCAAGGTACTAAAGTTCCATGGCCTTAAGGTTTGATCATAAGCATCCCCGACTTCCAATAGACCATCGTCAAAGAGAATGAAAGCGTCTGGTCGCAGCACCATCTCTTGAAGAGTCCAGAGTGAGTTGAACCATTGGTGCTTGAGCATGGTAGTCATTGGTTCTACAATCGATTTTCTAAAGTGTCCAAGAAATTAGTTGCGACTTCCGTGTTATGAACCTTATTTTGATTCTCATTGAAGTACAGGATGAAATCGTCGATGGATATTAGCTTGCCACGACCTTGAATAAGATCGAGCTTTTCAAAAGAAGATAGCCATGCGAAGGCTTCCTGAGCGCGGTGAAATATTTCTACCTGCCGGGAAATTTCTTGGTCCCGAATCTGAGTTGCCTCTGGTGTCTCTTTATCATGCTCTTGAGGAATGCATGCAATATCGACCCATATCCATTCGCAGGTATGTTGGTAGCCATTGGCAGCACGACGTATTGCATCCCGGAAGGCGTCAGCGCTAAAATGGGTCTTCTGAATCGCAGGGACTAGCCAGTCGATCCCATGTACCAACAACGGAGTTTCTTGTAAAGTCCTGTCCATAAACCTACCCCATGTATAACTCAGGACGTTATACGGCGGTGCATTGAGGCCGTTGTAAGTGTTGTGGCCCTGTCTCACGTGCGAGGTCATGGTCTTGACATGGAGGAGACGGTGTGGCCAGACGGACCAAGTTATTAATGGCGTGATAGGAATCTTCTTCCGACCTGACCATGGGTTGGGGGGTGGCGGAGGTGGCGGTGGCAGCCGGAATGCCCGATCTGTCGTCGACATTTAGGGTATAAAACTGAATAAGCTGAAAAAGATCGTTTTCGAAGGGAATCAACTAATAACACTTACGAAAGAGCTATGTCGAAAGCGATCACCGAATTCGAGCGCTGTAGTATGATCCTATTCATTGGGGAAAAGCCGGCTGACCACCCAAATAACCATACATATTGCCCGGCTTACACGCAAGCCACACACCAAATTCAAGGCTGGTCTTGCAGGTAAAGAGTAATTCTATGTTACATTTTTAAAATCCCACATTGTTCAATTTTATCCTCAAGGTCCTTGATACATTCTCGAAGCAAGGATGACATACGCGGCAGTAACTTTTTACTTAATTGCAAATTAAGTATACAATTGCTTTGGCCATAATATTTGGTAACTCCGAATAAATACTGGAAACTCTTACATAGTAATCTGACATCTGACATAGCTTATCTACTGGTGGCGTAAGCCAGGCGAGGGCGCACCTGAAACTCAGACACAAAGAACTGTTTTAAACAAGTTTCAATCTCCTTATGACTTCTTCAACTGATTCAGGCCTGCTTACCACAATCTTAGCTACCTAAATCGGGTGATACTATTATTATACATGTGTTTATAAATACTTCTCCTATAGCTTGGGGCAAGGAGTATGTGCAATTTCATCTTCCAAGCCCCCCCTATTCTCTCTGAACACCATGCTGAGAACAGATTCAACAGGAGAGATACCTACATCTCCACAATTATCACTATATCAATATGAGATTCTGCCGTCAGAGTCTTCATTTCGCGTCCTCGAGTTATTCCCCGGCAAGACAAGCGATCCCGTCTCATATCGCCTGCGTATCGAAGATTGGACCTCTCCACCTCAGTATGAAGCGATATCCTACGCATGGGGCGATGTTCGAGACACGACATACTCATGGTGCGATGGGTTATGTCTCCCATTAACAGAGAGTTTGAAAGCTGGTTTGGTTGCCATGAGATACCAAGACTGCTCAAGATTATTATGGGCGGACGCTATTTGCATCGATCAATCAAACAGGGAGGAACGAGAACATCAAGTCAGTCACATGAGAGTTATATACAAGAACGCCAAACAGGTACTTGTATGGCTTGGGAAAGATGTCGATAACCAAGCGCAGAAGGCTATGGATTTGATGAAAGAGATCGCCGAAGGATGCGTTCGTCGAATTGACACAAAAGAAAAAGGACATATAGCGAGCCTGAAGGATACCGATGAGCTATGGGATCTATTACCGCAGCATATGATGGGTGGCGTTAAACATAACGACAGTCACGACTGGTCTGCGTTGGCTTGGTTTTTCTCACGGCCGTGGTTCAATCGCCTCTGGGTCATCCAAGAAGTGAACTCAACCCCTAACATTGAAGTGTTATGTGGAAAAGCTCGTATCAGTTGGGATCAAGCCGCCCTCGCGGCTACATATATTGAAAAGCATCCCAAAGTACGCCTCTCTAATGGATTTCCCGGTTCTTACTACGTGAACGCTTACTACATGCGTCGGCGGATATGGTTTCGCGATGTTACGTTGCCATCGTTCCTTAATTGGGGAAGGTCGTTCTGCGTGACGGATCCGCTAGATAGAGTCTATGGTTTGATGGGCATGCCTCCTTTTACTAAGATGAGTAGACCGTTTCAAGTGGATTACTCGAAATCAACAGTTGGTTTATACAAACATGTCACAAAGATGTGTATCCGTGATATGCAAAGCCTTCGGATATTATGCTACGCCCAGCATCTCGATGAAGAAGAGACATTTCCATCTTGGGTTCCACGATGGGACCGTGAAGAGCGATATCGGCCGATTAATGACTCTCTGACCAAGGTCCGGTGGAAAGCATCTGGTGGCACAAAACCGGATGTTAGGTTCAACAAAGATACTTTGACATTGAAAGGGGCCGTTATTGATATTATAATCTCTGAATTTTCACTCGGAAATGATATACGGTCAAAGGGGGATTTGGCAACTAACTGTATTCTTCAAGCCTGGGACACGAACAATGAGCGTCATATTCACCATGGCGAGGACGAAGCTATAGAATCAATTGCTTTGGCTCTTACAGCAGGATTGGGCTCGAATCTACGGAAGGCGTCAGAGGATATGATGGAATTTCGAGCTAATTTCACTGCATACCTGCAACCACTGTTGTATAAGTCAGGACGCGAACCACGAGTCTTTAACTCTTTTAATCCAAACGCAGACCTGGAAGGTTCTATCAAATACGAAATGCTTGTAAAAAGGCAAGGTCGAAATCGGTCCTTGTTTTTCACAAAAAGCGGATATGTTGGGCTAGGGCCGAACTGCCGTCAAGGGGATGTTGTATGTCTCTTATTCGGTGGAGAGGTTCCTTTCATTCTTCGACCCAAGGATGAACACTACCAACTTGTTGGAGATGCTTACATTAATGGGATTATGGAAGGTGAGAAAATGGAACAACTTATTATTGATATTTTTCCTATGGATATAACAATAATGTAAATGTATTAAATAGGTATTACCTAAATTAATAAAAGTGTTATAAATTTATATTTTCAATATATATTAATAATTATAAATAAAATAATAAAATATTAAATGTCCTCAAGTGCGAGAAGGCTACACCTAAACTCCAAGTAATAAATTGATTGGTTTAAAAACATCCACCTACGGATTACTCCCATAATAGATTAGATGTGTAGCCTTCTCGCACTTGAGGACATAGTCATTATAAAACTAATTCGTCAAAAAGATTTTTACCACAATAACCTTCCGTATATTTAAAACATTATTTTATTATAATACTCTTCGATATGTCTTCAACAACAGACTTGCAGCAAGAAGAGAATGCCCTTAAGACTTGGCCAAGGCGTCTTCTCCATGTCCCGACTATGACATCATATGAATGGCAGCCAGGAAATGTTTACGGGCCAGCAACGGCTCCGCAATATAATGCGATTACTTATACTTGGGGACGGTGGAGACTGGACGATCATGAGCAACCTAAGGTCCCTCCAATCTGCATTCACGGGGTTCCATGGAAGATCCCAAGAGTTGACCCGAGTCACTTCACAGCCGCACATCTCGAGATGATCATCCAGCGTGTAACGCAAGGCATTTCAAATCTAGCACAATTTCATAGCGAGACTTTAGAAACAGTGGACTTCATCTGGATTGATATCGCCTGTATCGACCAGCGAGCAAATATACCAACATCTACTGCTGAGATTGGTAGACAGGCCATGATTTTCGACCGAGCTAAACACGTCTTCGCGTGGCTAGGTAGCACCTCAAATAAGACTCTGAGCCCTGTGATAATAGAGTTAGATGAATTGTGCGACGAAATTTCAGGCCTCAGACAAGCACAGGACGACTTTACGTCTCCGTCATCTCAAGAAATATTACAGCAAGCTTACAACTGTTTTCAGAAGTTGTTCCAGGACCGGTGGTTTTCTTCATTGTGGACACTACAAGAAGCCTTTCTCCGGTGTGATGCTGTAATAATGAGTCAAGAGGGCATCATCGTGACAGAACCTCATACGGCATCAACGCCTATGCCTTTGTCCAAAGTGCGCTTACACGCAGATTTATACACGTTGATATCGTTCTGCGAAAGGGTCTTACAAGACGCACTCTGGGATAGCGCTCTTCCTACCGCTTACAAGGACATAATGGATCTATTAATAAATTCTGGGTTGGCAGCCCTCGCCTCGGCAAATTCATTATCAGTCTATACTGCCACAAGCCATCGTACCTGCGTGAAGGATGAAGATCGAATATACGGAATTCAACAGATTTTTGGAGCTCGAGTAGGTACGTCGTCCCTCTCTAGTAGGCCTGGATTATCCTATACACGGGCCGAGCTTGAAATTCAGCTAGGGGATCATCTTTTGCAGCATTATCCCGTTTTAAGTCAACTTCACCTATTCACGGAAAAGGCCCCTTTAGGGTTGGCTTGGCTTGTCAGTCCAAAGTCGGCTGTACCACCATACTTGATGGGCGTAACGAATACTGCTAGTGCCCAGGATCAATCCGATATCTACCAAGAGACCCCACACTGCAAGTTATCAACTGAGAAAGTCGGCACCATCACCTGGGGCAAGTTCAAGGGGGTTTACTGCAATTTCGCGTCCTTCATGCAAAAATGTACAGAATTTACGACACACGAACTCATTGAACATAGGTTCCGAAAGACAGACTTTGTTACAATCCACTTAGACGTTACGTCGGAGTTGGCATCATGTCCAGAATACCGTGGTAACGGCTTTGTAACCGTGCCCAACGGTCGACGTCAGGAACAGCTTGCTAGCTGGCTGCTCAATGAATTCTCTGAAGATGACTTACACGTCTTTCTTATTGGAGCGCGAGCCTCTACACTATATACGGGCTCTATCGCAATGATTGGTCTTTTAGTACTTCAGTGTCGCACATCCGGAATTATATATTACCATCGGATTGGACTATGTTGGTGGGATAGCGGTCTTGCTACAGTGGGAGGAACATATCTCCCGCACGGCAGATTCATAAATGGAAAGGGATCTCCTTGGACAAAGAAGAAATGTCTTTTTGGGTAGTTGTGTGCCTAACTACTAGGAAACTATCAGAACCGATAGTACAAGCGAAACAACAATATACTGCTTCGTCAATACATAACAGTAGCTATATGATATCACCGGTAGGAAAGGCTGCTTGAAGATGCAATAATAAGCCTGGACTAATTATCAAGCTATATCATAAAAGCCCCAGGGAAGATAGGTAATTAAAGTAGATGGCCACGAATATCCTGGGATGATATGATGAATATGATGATAGAATTAAGTTAGAAGCGCACTTTACTAAGTGGAAGTTGAAGGTCATTATTCATCGTTCTCTAACCATAGAGGCCTTCCAGAGAGTACCAATCATCACTGTCGCCTTTCAGTAACGACCAGAGAGGATGCACGTTATCTTCTTCCCGCATGTGGGAATAAAGCCATATGCAAATCCCAACCCGACACCAATGTCTGATATTTTGCTCTTCTCGTTCAAATAATATCACACCGCTACAAAATACCTCCCCATTGAAGCTACACTGACCTAGTAAAAATACTACAAGACGATGCAGGCGGGATTGTTCAGTCATCCAAGCTGCTAACTGATGCGATGATTCCACATTCAAAGTGTCAAGGCCAGGCGGCTGCGGATCTAGATACGTCCCACGATCCAGTGAGATCATGTGAATCGGTTGATCTGTACAGCCGTGCATCCTCCATAGTGATTGTTTGATTTTCTTGGCATGCTCTGAATTATCAGCATCCCACCAGCCTCTTCGTAAAGCTTCAAAAGAGCATGCTTTCCCCGAGATTTGAGCCCACAGAGTATCCCCGATCTTCTTAGTTGATAAATTGCATAGAGCACGAGGAGATATCTCGATATTAACATCAACTCGGTTTCCATCGTTCCATCCGAACATATCTCCCCGTTCCACCATCCACGGTATTCTGGAGTTTCCCTGCACCCGCCATCCTGCACCGATGGCGGGTGCTTGGATATGAACATGCATTTGACTAAGGACGGGATAGGTCCGGAGAATAGAGTCCCCGAATTCGTCTTCTAGTTCGCTAAGTGTATATCTGTGGCTTGAATTGGTGCCAACGCGGAAGTTGGTTCCTAGCGTTTGCATAATGCCGTAAACGCGGTCAAGCTCGTTAGTTGGGTTCCGGTTGTATGAGACCCCGAGGAGTCCCATGGGATTGTTGCAAAACAGGGCCGCCAGTCCTGTTCTGTGCACCAGGTCCATCAATTGGGATAACTTAGGATCGTCGCTGGGGGTTGTAGTGCGTTCAGACCATGAGATAATATGATATGTGAGCTGGAAAAGATAATTGAGTGAAAAGGTTCTAACTACGATCTTACTTAGATCACACGACACTCGTCCTTCTCGTGAGAGAATGATTGAATGATTGCACAAATACCCCTCTTGCAAAGTCCAGAGTGATTTGAACCATGGGTCATCGGTAAAACTACGAATGGCTTGGGTTGCTAATACGATCCAGTCGTCCGCATCATAGCGGAGTTCGGAATGGAATGGTTCTGCTTGCAATCCGGTGATGGCACGACTTAAATCATCAAGAAGGGACCCGATCTTATGGTGGGAAAGATGGCTCAACCAGACGTATGAATATTTAGCGTTCTGGAAGATGCGAGCCTGTCTTCCAATCTCAGCCATCTGGATTGGACCCGCGCGCTGGTCTATACAAGCGATGTCGAGCCAAAGAAACTCATATATCATTCTATGCTTTTCTAGCCATCTCAGTAGTGGCCTCACCAACCAGCTGGCAGGGGTCTTTTGTAAAGCTCTTGGACTCTTCATGTGGTCAAATTCGTAGTGTCGCTCCGCAGTCTTCATCATTTCATAGATTATATGCTGAAACTCGTCGACCGTGAAATGAACATCCGGATCTACCCGTGGTATGGTCCAAGGAACGCCTCGGATGGGCAAAGCGCCCACCTGTGGTTTTTCATCAGGGCTTCTGAGTTGGAATCTACCCCAAGTATAAGACACTGCGATGTATGAAGGATTTTGTTTACCACCGTAGCTGTTGCCGGGGGCCCATTTGCATGAAGTCATTGACGGGACGTGAAGCAATCGCCTAGGCCACGTCGAGTCGTTATCAAAATTAGGATGATCATCATTAACGTCAACCATTTATAAGAAGACAAGATTTAGAATTTCTGAGTTAGCATAGAAATGTATGTATAATGTATGTATGGAATGAAGTAATTTTTTACCTTTTTAAATTTGAAGCAAGATATAACAGGTATGTAGTAGCAGTAACTCCAACTGTACAGCCCAGCTTTTCTAATGGCACAGCCTATGTACTCTACTTTCACGTGAGATAAGCTGATCGCGCGCCACATGGTCACACTAGTATATGCGGTATAATTGCATAAATGGCGGGGTTGGCAAGTATCGCGCGAATATTACATGTATTCCCATACAAATTCACCTGGCCGCATAAGATGTTTTGCGCAACTGCGCACAAGTCCTAGAGGACGCGTATTAACCTAAAGTCCTATCGATAGAATATCGATAAGATAGGTGGACATTGAGGCACTGTGGCATCGAACCTTAATTTTTCACTCGTTAAGCTTTTCTGGTGGCTCTTAGTCGAGCTGGAAAATAATCTTATGACATCTTTAATGGGACAAATATGTTGACATCGCAATGGGTGTGCCGTCGTTGTATCAAGGCACTGGCACAGCCTCGGAATCGCCAGTTCATACGGTTAGCTAGTACGGGTATGTAATATATAACTACATTACATATATACTGTCCGCCATAACTCGAAGGATGACTCTCATTTTGGAACTAACATTGTCCAAGAATCACAGACAAATAATCTACCCTCCGTTCTCCTCCAACGCGCACGGAATATAACCGCCGAACATGACAAGCTCGCAACCGACCTTGCCAATGACTTCGACTCCAAAATAGCCAAGCGTGTCGGCGAACTGTCGCGCGTCGCCGAGGCTCTGAAAGAATGGGAAACCGCCCAATCCTCTATAGTAGAGCTTAATGCTCTCCTACAATCACAGGATACCGAATTGCGTCAGCTAGCCAAAGATGAATTATCCACGACCAATGCCAAGTTTAATTCTTTGGCCACTGCTCTATCCGCTTCTCTTACCCCACGTGACCCCTTCGCTGATATGCCTTGCCTGCTTGAGGTGCGCCCAGGGCCCGGCGGTATGGAAGGTCGGTACTTCGCAGACGCGGTATTCCGTATGTACCGGCAGTATTGCATGCGCAAGGGCATGCGTACGAACATTCTAAAGTACGAGACAGTAGACGGCGGCGAGTCCTTGACCGGTGGTTCGAGTGAGTCTCCGCTTCAAGAGGCGGTGCTCGAGATTTTGGATGTAGGCGCATTCGATCAGTTCCGCGGAGAGGCGGGGATGCACCGAGTACAGCGTGTTCCATCTACAGAGACAAGTGGGCGCACACACACGAGCGCCGTCGCAGTATGGGTCTTACCATCGTTCCCCGAGGACGAGAGTGAGATGCCTAACGAGCAGAGTTTTAACGATCCCAATAGCATCTTTTACGTAGACCCGCGAGAGGTCAAGGAAGAGAAGATGCGCGCAAGCGGGGCGGGTGGCCAGCACGTCAACAAGACGGAGAGTGCGATCAGGTTAACGCACGAGCCGACAGGCATCACGGTGTCGATGCAGGATTCGCGGTCACAGCACCGTAACCGGCAGTCGGCGTGGACATTGCTACGATCGCGTATCGGTCAGCGCCGGCGCGAGGAGCGCGAAGAAGAGGCATGGGCGCTGCGCAATAGCGTGCTAAGCAAAGACAATATCACTCGCGGCAATAAGATCCGCACCTACAACTACAGCCAGGATCGATGCACGGACCACCGAAGCGGCTTGGACGTACACAACCTACCCGACGTGCTGGAGGGTGGAGAAACACTAGACAAGATCATGGAGAGCACGAGAGAGTGGCTGGTAAAGCGAGACATCGAGGCGCTAATCGCTGAGGAAGAGGCTGCTGCGGCGCCCACGACTAAGGGAGCGAAGAAGACGAAGAAATGAGTCTTCTCTCATCTCGCCTGTATTAACAGCTTTGTGCTACTTGACTCACGACATAGACGGTGTAGGTATGTACATCTCGCGTGTAAGAGGCTTTTAGAGAGAGCCAACTTCAATAGAGAATCAGCTACCATACTCGAATTGCCATGATACCCAAACCTACCGGCCGTATCCTTAGATAAACCGTGATCTTTTGCTTTTCGCACACAAACCTACCAGACTAATTCCCAGTGAGCCGGTTCAAGCCGGCACCTCCCCAATGGGACGTTCTTTCGTCATTTCAATATCTTTTGTGGCCTTTGTGACCGGGGACGTACGGATCGATCTCGTATCTACGCTTTAACCTCTCTAACGAGCATGATGCTACCCACCTCGGCCGCACTCTTCGTTGGAATTTCTAACCTATATTATTAACCGCTTCGGGATAGCTACACGTACCTAGGTACCTACCTGTTATGTGCTAAAGCTAAAGCTCATTATCTCAGCCGAGGAAAACAAGCAAGCAGCACCATTGGTGGTAATGATCGCGTGGATTGCAAGGGCCCGTAGTGGCATGTTCTACATAGCTATTCTGTACCTACATACGTACGTGCGGTAGGAAAAGCTTTATCAGGAAGCTTGGTATAACGGTTCCTGGTGAGCTTCCTAATGAGGCAATTGATGATCGGTTCTCGAAAGAAAAAGAAGAAAAACGGTGGTCCCCCGCGTCTTATATTGGGGCGTTATTCCCGTACCCACAGATAAGACAGCTGTAGGTCGACGTAGTGGGCTGAGAGGGATAATATAATATAATTACATACATGTAATGTTAGTTAGGTACCTAACGTATGAATAAATATCAAGTTTGGCGTAGGATTTGGAGAAGCTGTCTCGTTGAAGAATTACGTCTTTTATTTTACCTATCCAGGCACAATATGTTCTCTGATTGATACTTCACTTCAGTTCTACTGAGCATTTCCTTGTTGTCCCCGCAGGATTGTCCTACGAATGGACGAATAAGACCACCGTTAGACATTCCCTATCTCAGCGTTTGATCTTCAGCTCCCCCAGCTCTCGCGCGGCACAGCCAGGAACCGTTCATTTCCCCTCACCTAAGGTCCTGCTTTCTTGAACCACTTTGGTACTCTTTGCCTTACGTAGGTATCTATGGGGTATAGACATGGGTGTGTAAGGTATGTATGTAATCCGTACAGAGGTAGTTACATACAGACGGCGCAAGCCCACGTAGCACCGATGGGACATTGGGTCATGGCAGGGCTCTGGTTGCGTGAACTCCCTATCTTGGCAACTAAGCAGGCAGAATACGAATAGACCGTTGCCGTAATCCCGGCAAGTTGTTGATTCACCCTGCCACCGCCAGCCACCATTGGGAATTCCTCGATCTCATTTATCTTACATTCCCAAATTTCTCCCAAGCTGCATCGCCCAGAGTCTCGGCGTAGCCACAGGTTTCTCGTTTTTTGGGAACGCTTGCTCGAAGTAGTTCAGCGTTGGCCTTTTTGAATCGGGGTCGTCAAGATACATATACATATCTGTATTCTGTATAAGCTAGGTACGATATAGGTAGCCATGCATTGGCCTAAGCTTGCGTCTGGGCTTCTGCTATCCGCCGTCGCCGTGACGGACGCGCGCCGGAGCTTGCAGCACGTGGGCAAGAAGGATGCGAGACCCAAGTCGACGATCTCGGAGCACGATAACTTCGCTACGCGTTTCTTAGCCACGCGACAGTTGCCGCCGCCCAAGTTCGCCAATGCGAATACCACGAGTATGACTCCCTCCTCCGTGTTCCACATGGCTATGAGACGTCGTGAAACCATGTGATGTGTTCAAGAGTATCTGGCTAATCACCCCGACGGTAGAATTCGCCGTCAACGGTACCGGTATCCCTGATGTCGACTTCGACGTTGGCGAGTCATATGCTGGGTATCTACCCATCACCGATAACCCTGACGACACCGATGAGCTCTTCTTCTGGTTCTTCCCCTCGTCCGCCCCGACGAACACGACCCAGAAGGAGATCCTGCTATGGCTTAACGGTGGTGTAAGTCACTACCACTTCTAGCTCTCGGTTGTAGAGCAATATATAGTTCTATGTAGCTAACCGTCGTTTGTTATTATAGCCTGGCTGCTCCTCTTTCGAGGGTCTCCTCCAGGAAAACGGCCCGTTCATCTGGCAACCCGGCACCCTGAAGCCGATCCCTAACCCGTGGGCCTGGAACCGGCTAACAAACGTGGTATGGGTGGAACAGCCCATCGGCACGGGTTTCTCGCGCGGCAAGGTGACGGCCCGCGGAGAGGAGGATGTAGCCGCCCAGTTCCTCGGCTTCTGGAAGAACTTCATCGACACCTTCTCGCTGCAAGGCTACAAGGTGTACATTGCGGGTGAATCCTACGCCGGCGCGTACTGCCCATACATCGCATCTGCCATGTTAGACAAGAACGACACTGCCTACTACAACGTGTCAGGTCTAATCGTATACGACCCCGTCCTCGGCGACGACGTCGTCCAAGACTCCGCCACCACAGTCCCCTTCGTCGACTACCACCACAACCTGTTCACCTTCAACAACTCCTTCAACGCTCACATCCACGAACTACACGACTCTTGCGGTTTCGCCGACTACAACGCCAAGTACCTAACATACCCCCCATCAGGCCCTCAGCCCAAGGGCTACACCCAGAGCGTCAGTCGCGAGTGCCAGAACCTGTGGGAAGTCATTCTAGAAGAAGCACTCAGCATCAACCCTTGCTTCGACGTATACCAGGTCGCCATCACATGTCCCTTACTGTGGGACGTGCTCGGCTTCCCCGGCACGATCGGATACCTCCCCGAGGGCGGTGAAATCTACTTCGACCGGGACGACGTGAAGAAGGCGATCCACGCGGACCCCGACACGAAATGGGCCGAGTGCGCCGACGGCGATGTCTTCGTAGGCGGCGACCGATCAGACCCGTCTTCGTGGAAAGTCCTCCCGCACGTAATCGACGCCACGAAGAACGTCATCATCGGACACGGATCTCTCGACATGATCTTACTACCAAACGGCACTCTACTCACGATCCAAAACACAACGTGGGGCGGGCAACTTGGCTTCCAATCCCCTCCCATCGAGCCGTTCTTCGTGCCGTTCCACACCCTCAGCACGGCAGACCAGATCGAGGGGGAAACCGACCAGACAAAGCTAGGCAGCATCGCCGCGGCAGGCGTACTAGGAACAGCACACACGGAACGAGGACTCACCTACGTGAGCGTCGACTTATCGGGCCACATGATCCCGCAGTACGCGCCCAGTGCCGCATTCCGCCATATCGAGTTCCTGCTCGGCCGTGTCGATAGCCTGAGCTCTGTCCAGCCGTTTACCATCGAGCCCAACTACCCACAGCCCCCTGCAGACGCGCTGGGAAACGGTACGGGACCTGGAACGTTCAGCACGGGCGCGGCAGAGCAGGGAACGGGTAACGTGGCGACAAGTGCTGAGGCGAAGAGCTCTGATGCGGGGAGGATCGGGGAGGGCTTCAGTGCGGTGCTAATGGCCGCTGGTGCCGTAGCTATGGTTGCGATGACGAATTTATGATCTGCTAGTTATAAACTATGAAGGTTTGCCAAGATTATAAAATGATTTTTTATTTTTTTGTTCATTCATGAAATTAGAAGCCATCAATATGACTCAAGATTCCCTAAACTGAGAAATTCATGAATAGTAAAATACTCGCAAGTGATTTTTAATACATGAGGGGAGTAGAACAACGAACTACACCATGTCCTACCCAACGAGCGGATAGTATCGTAAGCACTTCAAACCTCCAAGCCAGCCTACCAACCCCGCCCCCTCCCCCTCCTTTCTCCCCTCCCCATAATATTTCGATATTCCGATTCGTGCCGTGGTCATTCATAAAAGACGTAACGAGCCTCCCATCGCTTTTGCTGCCTCCAGCTAATTCCCCAAACGCCAGGCTAATTTGAAACACCAGAGATGGATATACAAGTTGTGTTATAACACGGGTATAGTCCTGAACCAAGGAAAAAGAATCCGGATCCATGTTCACTGCTCAAAGACGTTTCCCTCTCGCCGCCTGAGCTCCCTGAGTACGGCAACAACGCCATTGCTCCGCAGCCGCTCCAAGACGATGCGCATCCCGTCGCGCGATTTGAGTATCTGGTCGTCTGTCTTGTTCGAAGCGATGGATTCGATGCTGCTCTGGATCCGCTTGGCACCCCATCCCGAAATCCAGTCACCAAACCGTCGTGTGCTAGGCTCGTCATTTCCATCTATAGATTCTATCACAGCCTTTTCGTGCTTCTTTCCGCCCAATGTAGATCTGTAGGAGAACGTAGTCGTAACAAAGGTGTTGGGCGCCAGGGGTCGGTGAGCCGTAGGAGTACGAGAGCTTCCTACGCTTCCAGAACCGGAGAACGAGGATGACGTAGCTTGGTCGGGAGGGGTGGTTGAATAATGTTGCTCCTCGACTACACTCAGCACACCCGTGTAGTTTAGATTCCGACTCTCCGTCTTCATCCACCCCTCTTTAATGTCCACAACACTAGTCTCGAGGACATAGCTCGACTTGTCGCCACCTCCACCAGTAATGCTGTTAGGAAGTAGCTTTACTACGGCGGAGGGCAAGCGTGTCTTCTTCATGTGGATGCGAGTCGTGTGCAGGCGACCCGTTTCCGAGTCGACATGCGACGAGATGGTGTCTGTGGAAAGGACATGGCTGGAGAAGGGATTGAGACGCGGCGAGTAATAACGGAGGAAGAAGGCTAAAGTCACGGTCGGGAATGGGTGTGAATAGGTATGATTGGTCGTGTGCGTGAGAACCATCTTAACTTATATGCCTCGGTTGTTTGAAACTAGGTGTAAAGGCGAAGAGAAAAGCCTCAAATAATAGGTATTTCGGGTCTCGTCAAGGTGAAATATCAGACGTCCCTAGGATGCAGATGTCTATATCGACATGAGTGTAGCTCGTGAAAGGTTCCGATGCGGTTGCCTCGAAACCGAACTAAATTTTCTTCCTTTTCTTTTTCTTTCCCTATTCCCCGGGCTTTCGTAGGTGATAATGCTCTTAAATCTCGGCTAGACTAATAAAGTGTTAGACAATGATCAGCAACAAATTAATTGTCAAGGAGTGCTGACCTAAAGAGCAAAATAAAAAGGGGGGAAAGGGGAAGAATATAGAGGAGGGGAAGAGGTGGTGATGCGAGGTGATGTGATGTGTGTGCGATTGCTAATGGAGGATGGAGACTAAATGGATGCTCATCGAACGAGGGCTCATGGAATGAAACAACGGGTAACGGAGACAAGAACATTCGACACCGACCAATCCGCCCGAGCTCCGATGCTGCAAAAGTCAGTTTTTAATCTACATAGTACAACTAAATTGGGTCCGACTTGCCGAGAAGAACCATTAATCAGACATTTGATTGGTTAGATCTCGCTACAATGCGGGGAAAGCTTAGTTCCATGGGTGGCAATGCCTAATCTACCTCCTATCAGCCAATCAGCATTTGGAATATTTGGTCCCTTGATTATACTTTTACATGCATCTCTCGATTGGTTCGTTCCGTGGCTTGTCCTCTTTCAACTACCTCTTCTTGACAGAGTTGATGACGATCCGACTTAGGACAATAGTCTAGTTTCGCATCGAGATGGTCGTCAATATAGATCTTTTAAACTCTTTGTTTTAGCATCAGGTCTAACCTAGGCCGTTTATACTTGTCATGATAGTTAGTCTTATGACAGTTGGATCTAAGATTCTTCTATTAGTCCTTGGGCACGTAGTTGTTTTCGACATCGTTGCTAAACCTTGATGCGTACCTTAGGAGGTAGCTATATACACGTACTACTACTAATAGACATCCATAGGTCTGCACGTCGACACAAGACCAGCAGTTCTGCAGCTAATGTTGTCAGGCAATATTCAGTGTCAACTGAGACGTAACCATTCAGAACCCAATCACTTCTCCTCTTTCATGACGATCTCATATTCTTTACTATATGTATTCGTAGTAATATACGAGCCTATTCCGATAGAATTAGCCAATAAAAGCAATTGCATTACCCGAAATGCATACATTCGTAAGACCCTGAAAACTCCCAACGGCAACTCGTTACATATTGAGCAATTACATAATGCATTGTATATTCGAAGTTGTACAAAGTACTCGAGTACCACATTTGTAATCCATTGATAGCCGAGCTATGATTGGTCAAATAACACTGTAGCATGAGCTACCCTGCAAGGCTCTTTAGCCCCGGCACCAGCCGTTTACATCATCCCGATTGACGGATTGATCATCTCAACTTTTCAACCGCAAAAGTCACAAGAAGGTATTATCTGATATCAGATACCCACCCAGCTCGAGACTAGGATACTATCGCGAGCGGCATATCACGATGTTCTCACGCACATTATTCTCAGCAGTATGTCTTCTTCTTCTTCTACGCTCCCCGCAGTAGCAATGACAGACATTAACTAAAACTTCCTTCGTGGCGACAGACCCTGCGGCAAGCCGCCCGACCCATCGCCCGGCCGGTGATTTGCAGTCGGCCAACACCCTTCCTCACAACCTTCCAGCAGCGATTGCTCTCCGACCACACGCGGCAAGCGATCGAGAAGGCCGTTTCCTCAGCTCCCGTTGTGTTGTTTATGAAGGGTACTCCCGAAACGCCGCAGTGCGGTTTCTCGCGCGCTAGCATCCAGATCCTCGGTCTACAGGGCGTTGACCCCAACAAGTTCGCCGCGTTCAACGTACTAGAGGACCCAGAGCTAAGATCAGGTATGAGTCCTCTTCTTCACTACCTCCGGTCTAACATCGCATTGTGGGGTGAGGTATAGAAATAAAGATAAGTCTGGCTAATACATTACTCTACTCGAATAGGTATCAAGGAATTCTCAGACTGGCCCACGATCCCGCAGCTTTACATCGACAAGGAATTCGTCGGTGGATGCGATATCCTCATATCAATGCACCAGGATGGTTCGCTAGCCAAGATGCTCGAGGAGAAGGGCGTCCTAGCCCCCCTCGACGGCACATCCGAGTCCAAGGAATAGAGCAAGTAAAAAAGAGCGCAGTATGCGAGTAGCAATGATTCTGCTCCAAAATAGAAGCTAGACGACGTTTGTACGATTTGGTTAGTTATGCATATATAGACGTCAGTATGTATTTAATGCGGGAAGACTTGGTCGAGCTAGGGCTATCCAATACGATATCGTATGACCAATTGACGACGTATATCCACGAGATTTCGAGATGATATAATAAATACAATCACTTCGGCGAGTAACAGCACAAAGCAAGGTGTTAGTAGCATCTCGTAACACAAATATAAGCACCCTGACAGTCATTCTAAGACATCTAGCATGATCAATACTCTTGAGACAATACTCTTGAGACAATATCCCATTCTCTTCATAAGCTAAACATAAAGCTTGGTGGTATGTATAATTCAACCATACACGCTCTCATAAAGGATACGCCCCGCCATCTCCCCGCGGATCGCTGCCCGCGGACCACACTCCCACATTCTCAATGGGGTCAATGCTCCAACGGATGATCTGACCGCGGCCAAACTGCGCCCTCTCCACATCCGTCACAACTTCAACCTGGTGTCCTAGCTTCCGCAGACCCTCCACCGTCTCCGAAGGCATACCCTCCTCCACGAATACAGTGAGGTCTGCCTTACCACCTTGACTCATGCCAGAACCGATGCACACGCGCGGCGCGTCGAGCGCTTGTTGTGGACTGAGATGACCGACGATTTGTCCTAGTAGCACTTGCACGTGCCCTTGAGGCTGCATGAACCCGCCCATAACGCCAAATACGCTATGCAGGCTGCCGTCGTGCAGGTTAGTCACCGCAGCCGGGATGATGGTATGGTACGGGCGCTTGCGCGGCTCTAGAACGTTCGGGTGTGCTGCGTCAAGCGAGAAGTTGGCCGCTCGGTTCTGCAACGTAAACCCGCATCCCTTGGGCACGATGCACGTCCCGAATCCACCGTAGTTGCTGTTGATGAACGAGATGGCGTTTCCTTCAGCATCGGATACTGCGAAGTATACCGTGTCGCTACTCTGCAACGCTGGCGACCCGTGGTCTACTACCTGGGATGCCTTGTCCGGGTTAAATAACGCGGCGCGTTCCGCGAGGTACGGCTGTGAGATCAGTCCGGGTGTAGGTACCTTGGTGACGTTAGGATCGGTAACGAACCAGCTTGCGTCGGCGAAGGCGATGCGTAGTGCTTCGATGATAGGATGCAGATACGGCGCTGTATTGAAGTCTGCGGGACTCCATGTCGGAATCTTACCCGCGGCTTCAAGCTCCTGAATAATACCTAACGCCATCAGGGCCACGATGCCTTGTCCATTAGGCGGGTGTTCCCACAGCTCCAGACCAACATCCTGTCCCTCACCTCCGCCGATAACCTTGTCTTTAAGAAACTCACGAACATTTTGTCCCCGAAACTTGAGCGAGATGGGTTCAACAGGCTCACTACCAGTTTCGAGATGGTGAGTTAGGTCTTCAAGTTCAAGATATCCACCGAGATCTTGCACTACTTTGACAAGTTCCGACGCTACACGGCCGGCGTAGAATCCCTTCTTACCTTCCGTAGCTAAGGCCCGGAACGTCTGAGCCAAATTCGGATTCTTCATGATTTCCCCTGCCCGAGGAGCACGCACGCCATTCTCCGCGCCGGGATCTTTCTTAAGAATTTCACCACCATTTGGAGATGCTCCCCTTATTTGCGCTTCTGATCTATCCCACTGGTCGAAAGTTTTTGAGTTTCAGTCTGACTTGTCCCTAGAGTAGGCTTAGAAGATATACAACTTAGGTACTTACAAAGTACGCGACTCCTTCTGAGACGGGGAAGCCTTTTTCTCCAAGTTCGATAGCTGGTGCCAGGACCTGCTCTAAGGACAGCTTCCCGCTGCCAAAGCGCTGGACTGTGTCGTACCACCCGGCCGCGGCGCCGGGCACGGAGACGGCATGCACGCTGCTCATCGGGATCTTACCATATTCACCGTCTTTGATGCCCAGCGACCTGCGAATCGTCTCCAGCGTGCACTTGTTGCCTGAGCGGCCAGAGCCGTTCAATGCGGAAACTTTCTTCGTCTTGGCGTCATAAAAGAGACAGAACATGTCGCCGCCTATTCCTGTGGAACATGGCTCCGTCATGTTGAGCCCGGCAGCTACGTGATCCTATTAGTCATTTACACTTTACCATATGGTTGTTTAGATCTTACCGACGGCCACAGCTGCGTCCTGATGAAGATGTGAGCATCCAATCCACACCAAGATTCTGTTAATAAAAACGTACAGCACAGTTACCCCCAGCTTCCAATACATCGATACCACATTTTGCCGCGAGGGGTTGTGTGCAGGATACGATACCTTTCGTACTGTGGACTACACTTCGCCGGCTTGGGAACTTAGAAAAGACATGTGATTCCGGAGGGAACAGCGACGGCGTAGCGAGAGGCATTTTGAGCTACCGAGAGATAGTTAATGGCTTCGTCCACCTTGATACAGCAATTTCTCCAGTGTTGAGTCAGTCAGTCTCCTATAATAGCGGGGTATAAACACATTCAAGTACAGTTGAAACGATAACGAATAGTGAAATAAGACGAGATTATAGTTTTAGAGTTCAACCTCTTGGGAAGACGAGAGTTCAAATGACGTTTGTATGCGATTGCCTCAAGTATCCGCGGGCTTAAGCCTGCCTCGGCAAATAATACCTAATAGTCTTGCTATAGCGTAGTCGGGACCCCGAATTTCGGAGCCGTCCGAAGTAACGGCGCCCAGGAAACTTGTCTACTTCGGGACTAAAAGTATAGCCAATAAATGGGACCTTATACTCTCCTCATATCTTATTATACTGGTAGTTACCTTAAATATTATACAACGTAAAGAAGATGTTCAAATAAAAACCATAGCATTGTGTATAATGTTCGTATATACCTACATATTTTTGAATGGTTCTTTTAGTATAGGTACCTAAGGTAGTTATCATGTATCGTTACGGTAAGTTGAACCACTCTAAATATCCCCCCACGCATTCGTATAGTTTAAGAACTTATCCATACAATTCAACTACCCTTATATCGTCTAATAGAGGAAACGAACCCTAAATCTGTTCAGCAACATGCTGTTCCTGCGTGCCCTCCGGCCACAGAGCCGGTCCAGGAGCCGTGTAATTCGTCAAGGAAGACCAGAATACCGGGATCAGTACCCCCGGCTCATCTCCCCTGTACACCCCGGGAATTTTGACTAGCGGACCAAGATCCTCCTCCCTTACGTCCGCGCCCAGATTAGTCACATCTTCCTCCCCCGCAACGACTTTAATCTGTGCGCACGACACGTAGAATTGGGCTTGCGCCCGTTTATGCGCCGCGTGTAAGGCCAATCCCTCGGCTCGGAGGAGGTACTCGCCTGGCGGAGTCGAAGTCGGCAGCGCGAACCGGAAAGTTTCGATGTTGTGCGTGGCCCACGAGGGAACCTCGTCGTCATTAGTAGAAGAGGAATTGGTGGAATTGGTTGGCGACGATGTGAGCGAGTAGACCCTAGCCCAGGCCCCAGACCCGTCGTAGTCAGCGGCCGCAACGCCTTCGGGTGCTCTAGATAGATACACCTGTTGGATTCCCGGGTGGCCGAAGTGTTCGTTGATCCCGAAACCGACCTCGTCGCCGGCGCGCACCGTGTAAGTCTCGGCTGGTTTGGCATCCACGTTACACCGGAAGTCGGTCGAGTTCACGTTTGTCAATGGCGCATTAGAGTTGTTATGTTGGCGGATATACTGCCAGGGCTCTCCAACGACTTCATCATTAACAATCAGTCGGCTGTAGGTCTAGTGACCCAGAGCTGCTGGTGCGCTGCTGGTAAGGACCAGGCCATAGAGGATCGTTTTCGATATCATTATGTTGTCTTGATTTGCGCTAATGTGTTGACTGAATCTAATGGTTCAAAACTGGGAATTGAATATCATGCTTTCTGGTTTCTGCTAATATTTGGACTTTATACTGTACTTATAATAAGAAAACACTGGAATCGATGTGCGTGAGTCCTTGCAAGTACGTTGCAGATCGATTCCTTACTAGCCATCCAGCAATATATTTCAGACCCCTCTTTGCGCAGTGCTGTGAGATTACTCCGTCAATAATAGGCCGACAGAAAAAATAGAAACTTCGTATTTCTGATCGCGTACATAAAGGCTAAATATAGCCGAGTTCAAAACCAGGTCAGGATAGACGATTCCGAACCGCACTAGGAACCTAGCAAGCTGGTAGTTGACGAATTGCGAAATAAGGAGCAATAAACTGTTGGTTCTTTTTTCTCGCTGGCACGATTGAGGAGCTTCACTCATTAGCATTTACTCCCAACCTTTCTGCCAATTGCTAGCGAGAACAGCAATCGTAGCCTAGAATTGAGCAACTCCGATCACCCTTCCGCATAAAACTATTCCATACTTCTGCCACGTATTTATGTCTAGTACGAATGGTTCGTCATTACATGAGTATACCAGATATTTTCCAACATTAAGAGTTAATTAAAATCTGCGCTCCTCGGACTCCACGTCGTGCTTATCTACAAGTTCTGAACATTCCGTAAGTCGAGGAGCTTGACGTAACTTTGCCTGGTCCTTTTTATTGATGATTTCTGTATCTTAATGATCGGAATAGATTATGGTGCTATGGTAATGGGGGTTCTACATTATATAAAATGAGCGCTCATTAATACACACGATGTTATCTAAAGACGAGAACCACCTCAGCGTCGTTACGAAGTTCAAGATAAAAAGCCTAATCCGTTAGAGTTAGAATTCAAGAGTCAATTAGTAAACAATACGATAGTCTCGAAGTCAATAAAAAGTATCAATGGTTAAAAATTCAATGCTATATATACTGTAGGCGAACCACAAACGATTCTCGGTGTCGGTTCCTACCGCAAATGAGTTCGTTAGCTCAAGTTATTATAGCTTCAATCAATTATATCTAGTAATTATCTAACGCTAAGCATTAATAAGTTTATACATAAACGGTCTAATATTCTTAAGTTTCATAATAAAAATTACCTACTTCTCCAAATAATAAAAAGAAATTTGCTGCAATAGCTAGTACATGATTTCATTGTTATAAACTTTAATTAGGTTAACCAATGCAATATGTTAATATGTCACATATCAAGCAATAGACATTTCTTAATGTACAAAGGTATAAATGGGTAGCATTAGGTTATTACTATTAGGTACATGAGTTCTTGTAAGTTATTGCATGTCCATAATCGAAGAAATCTACTATTTTCCTACTTAATTTATAGTAGGTTGTACCTATGCTCCACGGTCTTTCCTCTAGGTATTATCTAGAAATTTTGAAACTCGTACCGATCGGTATTTTATATAGGGATATACAATCCATCAGTAAATGCTGCGGTACATATGTCTTGTACTTAAAACTCTGACGGTAATATTAGCATAGGAAAACAGGTATCATAAGCTATACGTAGGTTAGGAGACATCATTTATTTAATAACGTTTTGTACCCAACGTGCTCGATGGTCTCCGAAAGTTGGGAACTGCAAAAACGAAAAAGATCTTTTTTTTAATCCACCAAAATATTGGAAATAATCATGAAACAATAGTCGATGGGATCCGCTTCCACAGTCGAGTAAAGTGGATGGCAACCTATCCCTCAAAAGCTGCTTTGTTTTAGTGAGACCTGGATTCGATCAATATATCTCTGGCGCCACTTGATAATTATATGTTGTACCGATAGTATTTAGCAAAATGAGAAAATGAGGTGGTAAGTCCCGAGCTGACATATAAAGAGTAGAACTAGCACTTTTGGTCGGATTGTTAGGGCTACAAGTAATTCTGACTACGAGTTATCCCCACAACGGTATCTACGAGACACCTGAAGATTAAGGGAGCCAGAGAGAGATAACCTAAATAAGATATAGACTTGCCCTCAGGATTCAGGTTGAAATAGTGAGAACTATGATGCTTGGTAAACCAAGGGGCGCTTTCTTTAACTTCCAAAGCATTGCAAAAGACAGTGACTGTGCGCTGTTTGTAGTTGTTATGGAGGAAAAGCCCTGTAACTGTGAAATTTGAGCCCACCATCGTCGTAGTTTCCTAATAATGTGTGCTTGTTCTAAACATGTATCTGTGCACCGGAAAAATATTCGTAACCTTTAAAATTCTACAAAAGCTTTTGAATTTCAGACGAAATAAAATCGGCGACTTCCTTCCCACAACAATAACCGCCACATCGCCGACACTCACAATTACGACTCTAGTAATCCTACCTCACACCTCACACCTCACACCTCAAAGCACAGTCAATATGGAACCAGGAATTCAGCTCGCCCCGTGGGAGCCGCTCACTAACTGGTACGATACCAAATTAGAAGATATTCTACCCCATCACGGATTCGTCTTCAAAGAAGGCCACAAGATCTTCAAAGCCAAGCAAGACTGGGTCCGAGTCAAATGGGCCATCGAGGCACCCGCGCCTACCCTCGAAGAAGACAAGGTCGATGCCGTACTGGCCGCTATCATGAATGACGCCAACATTATTTCCAATACCTTTCAGCAAACTCATTTTGCTTCTATCGACTACAGCCGCTTCCCTACCAACGCCATTCTCGAATCAGCGCGTAAAGAGCACGACTGGACTGAAATCGTACCTGACGGTCGGTTTCCCCATCTGATGAAGAAACTGATTCGTGCACGTACCCTTTACAACCGAATCACGGGGATCCTAGGTCGTTCCGAGGCCGATAAGAGTAAAGGACAGGGAAAGCTGGCAACAGCTATCGATGAGTGGACCAGAACGCATCCGGTTGATGATCCTGAGCCGTACTACGCGCAAATGCCTCAGTACCTCAAAGACTACATGATCAGCCGAATGATTGAGGGAAAGGGTGCGGATTGGAACTACTTCAAGGGCGATCACTCAGACGACGAGTCCACAAACAACCCTACTGGCTGTGGTACGAGCAACGACACGAAGAAGAAAGGATGCAAGAATACCTTGACTGATGAAGACGCGCCCTGGGTGCACACCAATTACGCGTCTAACTCGGAGTGCATGCTAGAGTCAATGGAAGACGAGGAAGACGAGAACGCACCCTGGATTCCTTGGTCCCAAACAATGCGTGCACGTCAGCTGATACGCAGCCCTACCAAAAAAGAGTGTTTGTTATCATACCGTATGTGAGCAACATACATAAAGGAAACGTGGAGGGGATTCGGGGTGGGCACGGAGTAGGTACGGAGCAGGCACGGAAAAGGGGGGACGAAGTAAGGAATGAAATAAGGTAGTGGGGCCGAATGTTAGCGTTGAGAAACGGAAGAGGCCGGTATATTGTGTGCTGGGACCCAATCATATTCTGATCGCAAGCCCCACCTACCCCTCGTCAAGCTTTGAGTTAAACAGCTTAAGAGGTTATGTACCTGTACAATAGCGCAGAAGGGGTGCTAATTTATTAAACCCCGCAGTCTGCCGTCATGCGATTGATACTTCACAAATACATCATATGACAAATCCCAACTCCTAAGCAGCCGCCACAGTTCTTGGAGAAACGTAAGTTTTGCTCATGTTCTTGTTCCCATCGAGTTTCTTTATCCGAAATCTTGTTACCGGTATCTCGGTGGTATGACGGTATGTACAGCCAAGTGGGCTGGTCCAATCCAAGATCTGGGGTGAACCGCAAGGAGCTCCCTAGCTAGGAAACATATTTCTATACCAACTACAAAGGGAAGCTTAGATATGAAGCGAGGCCTCGCCTGTGATCTGCTTACCTAACAAAGACCTGACCTTGAAGCTCCGATCTCGTCTTCGGACCTTGCCATCATCTTGACGTTTTGATGCTATTTAGTTAAACTTGATCCTGTTGTAAATTGAACTTGACCTGACCTATTGCCTCTAGACTTAACTACCTGTTACTTAGTTGATTCAAGACCATCATATCCACCAAACAGTATACCACTTGAAAACATAAGCAGAGGGAGCAAAAAGAAGCTATGCTGCAAGCCATCTCCTCACAACACGACGCCCACCACGAGCGGCGCCGCAAGAATTCCCTCGCCAGTCTAACGGGCTCACTACGAGATAATAGAGCACATCTGCTCCTTGCGGCTTCCGGATCCGTCGCCACCATTAAACTACCGCTAATCATCGAGGCGCTAGCACAACGGCACTCGGAGCGGAATAGTGGCAAGGAGCTCAGCATCCGCGTTTTGCTAACGCCAGCCGCATCACGCTTCCTCGCAGGCCAGTCCCACGAGCAGCCTCCCCTATCCTCGCTACTTTCTATGCCATGCGTCGATGGCATCTACGTGGACGCAGATGAGTGGCGCGAGCCTTGGAAACGCGGCGATGCGATTCTGCATATCGAACTGCGGCGGTGTAAGCATTCTGCTCCTAGCACTTAATGTTACCCCTTAATAGCAGCGTATCACGTAGACTAATTCGTAAAAAGGGGCTGACCTCCTCGTCATCGCCCCCCTGAGCGCAAATACCATGGCCAAGATCGTAGGCGGCTTTGCTGATGGCATTCTGACAAGTGTCGTGCGCGCATGGGACGCATGGGGCGAACTAGACAGCGATCTGGTTCTTACTAATGGCGAACAACCTCTTCTCGACGGAAATAGAAGGAGGCGGCAGAAGAAGCACATTATTGTAGCGCCGTAAGTAATTCCACCACTTTTCGTTAGAGATTCGGGTATTAAGGGTCTATTCATGTTTATCATAAGTCGCATCTGAACCGTATCACTGACTTAGCATCCCAGTGCCATGAACACAGCTATGTGGCGACACCCAGTTACGGCCAAATCGCTACGTGTTCTGGAGGAGGAATGGGGAGTACATCGTAACAGCAACAAAGCAGCGCAAGAACCAACCGCGGATGAGAGCCACACAGTAGAAGAGCAGGTTGAAAACGCCGATACCGACGATGATGGCGGCTGGTTCGAAGTTCTACGACCACAGCAGAAGACACTGGCGTGTGGGGACGTTGGAGATGGCGCTATGATGGAATGGAAGGACATTGTGACTGTTATTGAGGACAGACTGGGTTTGAATGAATGAGTGAGCAGTTCACCAATTTGCTGCCTAAAGTTGGCTGGGTTACGTAGAGTAGTAATACGGGTGGCTACACAGTACTAGGAATAGGGGTTATGTAACACAAGAGGCGAGCTTTTACGTATTATTAATGTACTACTTATGGTACGGGATTTAATATAAATAAGGGGCCAACCCTTGCTTGATTTGCGGGGACCAAAAAAAAAGTACCATTACAACTGAGCAACAAAGATGGAAAGACACAAGTCGATCTCAGACAAATCGTCGAGATGAATGGGCCAGGTCCGCAAGTCCATCGTCAGGTTTGCAAAAGCTCGAAGCAACTATTATACATTCCTTTTAGTAATCATCTCGTCCTTCGTAACACCCGTGTCGTACACCATCCCTCTTGAAGATGAATCTTGTTCCTTGATATGGATCTCACAACGTCAGAATGCTGCTTTTCATGTCGTTTCCTCTTGAAGAAAAAAAAAGAAAAATCATAGTAACTCAACGCGAGGCTCGGCAAGGTGTGCAGTATGAGAGAACACATGCTATTGGCCTGCTTGCGTGTAGAAAAAGAAGAGAAAAAGAATTAAGTTCAGACTGGCCGACGAGGCCGGTTGTAATGACATCCCGATCAACCAACGGGAGTACAATGCAAGAATCCCCTTTCATGCCGTATGCCTCCTATTCCTCTCGTGAGGCGAACTCCTTGCAATGCAGATTTTTGTACAATAACGAAGAAAAAAGAGCAGATATAACTTAAGAGTGGTATCCGTAAGCCGAGTCTTGGTTCAGGTTGTTCTGGTACTGGTCATTCTAGTTCTGGCCCTGGTCCTGAAGATCGTTCGGGTCGTGCCGAAATGTGCAATTGCTGCCCTTGGCACACTGACCCTTCGCCCAGAATGAGCATGGTTTCGTACCGATGAGGGAGCGGTTGATGTTCTTTTGCTCCCTGTTACCTCGGAAATCCCTGCGGTTACCGCGGTCATTACTATCATGCTGACCTTGCGTTGCCTGCGGTTGATTGTGCTGGGATTGGCCGCCGAAAGACTGATTGTTATGACCATAGCCAGTATATGCCTGGTTGGTTTGGGGCTGGATCTGAGGCTGAGCCTGGTTCTGAGACCAGTCTGGCCAATAACCCTGAGGCGCGGCGTGGGAAGCAGCATTGGGAACAATATTGGGAGCCGCATGAGGGGTGGCATACGCCGGTGCTGAGGCTATCTTTAAGGCATCTAAAATTCCCTGTAAACCTTGCAAAGGATTGACCGGCTGAGCTGGTTGAGGCGGAGGGCCTGCCTGTTGAAGTAACGCGGCAAAGAATGGTTGTTGGGCAACAGGATTCGGCTGAAGAGAAGGGGCCACAGGAGGCTGGACGCTAGGCTGGAGAGCTTGACCAGTACTGAGGGCATTAATTTTCTGAAGAGCTTCCAGGTACTCTGGTGGAAGTTGTTGCTGAGGTTGCGGCTGGACCTGTTGTGCCTGAACGTGCTGTGGCTGGGCCAGCTGTTGATATTGTTGACCAGCATTTGCTTGGGGCGTGGGTGGCTGGTTGGGAGGGGCCTGTTTACTGATGAACATTGCGAAAGTATCCTCCAAAGCATCGATGTCCGCTTGAACCTTAGGATCCCCATAATCATGCCGACGGTGAGTCTTGGGATGCGCTGGGTCGAATGGGTCTGGATCTACGTAGTTCTTGACCTTGTCCGATTGTAGTAAGGCAAGCACTTCTGACCCATCATCTCTTCCACTTGGGGCATCCCATCCACTGCGACCACGCGCCACATTAGTAGAATTCGTCGAACCATGTGAGCCTTTCAATCTATGAAGAGCATTGACTCGCGCCGCCTCGCGTCCGAAATTTATGTTGTCGGACCAACGATGGTGAATCTCTGCATGTTTGGTATTCGTCGCCGGTAGAGATTCATTCCACTGTGTCGGGCCTGATGGTAGAGTTCGGATCTTTGGTTGCGTTACAATCTCGGCGATCCTACCGGTTGGCGATCTTGGCGTCTCGGGAACTTCCGAGAAGCTTGTGTATATAGCCATCAACTCCCGGCTTTCGTACTCTTCCATCACCTTATTCTGCTTGGACTCAACGGGACGCAAGCCACCACGAGGTGCAAACATTTCCTCTTGCCGCTTCTGAGAGATGCGGCTCTTTTGCGCCGGTGAATAAGGGGCAGGTTCGCTCCATTTTTGTAGGGCAACATCATTTGCTTTCTCTCGGGCTTCGTCTTCTTCGACATCATCTACCCCATCCTTTTCCCGTTGAACTGACTCTCTCAGCACCTGACCTTCAGAGCGGTTGTCTCGGGCATCTCGCAACATGTTATCATCCCGCCCTTTGTCCTCTGCCGTATCGTGCTCCAAGATACGTATCTCCGTGAGCTCACCGTCCGGTTTCCAAGTAACACGCAGTTTTCGTCTTGCTTCCTTACGCAATCTGATCTCAGTCTCTTCTGGAGTCTCCGGGGCTCTTTCCGGTTCCTTGGCTTGCTTGGGTTTCTCCTCCGAATTGATCTCAGCGAGGAGACCACCGATTGTGGAAGAGGCGGATTGTCGAGCAACCGGCTTCTTCGGCTGTGCCTTGGTAGACAGTCGTGATCTACCAGGGAGCATTGACCCGCTAGGTCTAGAGCGAGACTGCGCGTTCGCTGACGAACTTTGGGGAACTGCGGGAGTTACGCTAGATGATGTCTTGGCACTCGATGGAGCACCGGCTGCATTCTCGACGGCAAGTTTCTTCGGGACTCTCGAATCGACGCCGTCATCCCCAGGCCTCTTGGAGGCGGTAAGAGAAGGGCTTGCTTTAGCAGCTGTACTGCTAACCTTTCTAGCCGACCCAAGGCTGGAATAGTCGATAGGTCTCTTGATCTCTGCGTTGTTCTTCTTCGACACAGCATCATTCTTCGAAAGTGGTGTCTTAGAAGGAGCTATAACAGGGTCCTTGGTGCTCATTGAAGATGACTTCTTAGGACCCTGACTAGCTTTCTTAGCATCGTCGTTCTTCTTGACATCCTCTCGGGTCTCCTCTGCTTTCAATGCGGAACGCTTCTTAGCATTGTCAAAGATCTGATCCATGTAATCGGTGGATTCTTCATCAAGATTGTCCTTAAATTTCTGTCGGACGCGATCCAACTTGACTCTCTCTTTCAAGAACTCCATTTCCACCGTAACAAATAGTGAGAGGAGTTTTAAGATAGCCTTCGGTAGGCGGCCGTTGTAGTCTTCAGCCATGAAGAGGGTTCGTAGTAGAATAGAAAGGTTGCCTAGGAATTTGGTATGTATACCTAGTTGAGTGACGGTGAATCTATCACCAAACATGATGGCGGCCTCAATGGCAACACGGATCGAGTCGTAAGTGGCGTCCAAATCAGCTTTAAGTGATGTCGCTTTAGCCTGATCGTTCTTCTTCTTGGCATCATCAACTTTGCTCTTTAAGTCTTTGCTCTTAGACCACAAGTCTATAACATAATCGGCAAAGGCATGGAGCTTCTCCCCTACCAACTTCTGTGGATATTCAGGATGCTTGGGATCGCGCCAGAGAATGTTGATAATATCATACTCTATGGCCTTAAGAGCATCGCTTGGCCGATGAGTTGACTTGATCTATTAAGAGTCGCATCAGTTTCAGGATTTGGTACAAATAACCAAATATGGGGAGAAGTTAAAACAATGCCAGCAATTAAAATAACATACCGTTCGTGCTGCAGTATCTGTCGCGCTCTCTTCATCTTCAGGCACATTCTCCAAGCTTTTAGGTTTTGAAGCAGGATCCATATTGGAAGCTTGACGTTTCGAATTGGCTTTGACTTTTACTTGTGCACCAGGTACGAGGTCTGCAGTGATATATTAGCTTAGCAAATCAAAGGGGGAAAAGAACTAGTGTAAATGTTTCTAATGTGACAAGGGTTTAATGCTTACCTTTAGATCCAGACACAATAACAGGCTCGTTCTCCAATTGGGTCATCTGACCTTGCAGCTTGTCTTTCTCAGGTTGAAGTGCATTAGCACATTCTTTGGTTAAGAGTTCAAGTTCTGCCTGAATTTCACAGGGAAGTCGACCCCGTCGTTGCGGCAAAAGGGTGTTTATGCGCGGGTCATGTTTGGCAATGTATGACTTGTCCGTGTTTTGTAGGTTCACGTCGCGATATGTGCCTAGCTTTGTCGGCGGAGGGTTTTTGACGAGAAGGAAAGGGCACCCGTCAGGATTTACCCAAGAGTTGTCGGGTTCCTGTGCAACGAGTTGATCATTTGAAGGCGGTGGCCCCACAACTGCTGTCGCCTGGGTGTTGGCTGCGGCTGCAGCTGCGGGGTGTGCTTGAGGTGTCGGCACAATACCTTGCATCTGTTGATGCTGCGAGTAAATCTGACCGGAAGTTTCCTGCACATCTGCACCAGGGCTAGGCTGGAACTGCATAATAGTTCCACCTCCAGTTTGATGGCCCTGATAAGACTGAAGCATAGGTTGAGCTTGTTGGGATCTGAAGCTTGTTGGTCCATTCCGGGCGCTGAAAACCTCCTGACCAAAGAAATTATTTCCTTGGTAAGGGCTCACATGTTGCTGGTAAGTTGGTTCGCCATTACGATGACCATAATTAACAGGATTTAGGTTAAAATCCGATTGGAACTGTTGAATTGGAGCGCCTTGCCATGGCTGCGAACTGAAAGCACTCGGCGTATGGCTATGAGTTCGACTGGGCTGTTCAGTTACAAACTGACTGTGGACTTCCCTATTCGAAAATCCAGTTTCATATCCTGGGTTGACGTTGAAAGAGGAGCCCTCGTATGGATGTTCGAACTGGCCATGGCCGTGGAGACCACCTCCATTTGTGTTCGCACCACCAAAACCATGGGGATTCTCATAGTATCGTCCATGGTTCTGAACACCACCTTCTGGAAACTGCCCCTGGAGATCAAACTGATTTCCAGTATGCCCAGTATGTGAAGGATAAACATGGGCGTGGGTGAGATTGTTAGGCCCCGGTGTTTGGAATCCTTCCAGAGAGCCTATCGCGATGCGTCCTTCATCTGCTTTGAGACCACCCGCACCATACCCATTTGGGTCCCAGCTTGGATGCCCTGCCATTATGGGCTATGATGTTGTCCTTTAGGGGAGCACGTGATAGGGGATGAAGAGTGGCACGTGATTGATTTAAAAAAAAAAGGTCCTGGAAATAAATAGACACGTGATCTATTATGCAAGGTCCACATTAGTCATCACAGCCACAGATGGAGTGGGGCTGCTGTATCTCTATTGAGGGGTAAAAAATCGCCAGGGGGATGAGGGGTGGGGATATCAAGTAGCCCCATTCAAAAAGAAAATGCATTCAGCAGTTGTCATCACTTACCAGTGTTGATTATGCGTGATGGGATATCTCAGTCACAGCATTACTGCCAATGCCATGAATGAGAGGGTATGTCTCGCCCAAAGAAAAGGTCCTAAATTCGGTATGGTTCTGGAACTCGATACGGATCTTCAACAGGTCAAAGGTGTCGGTTTAGTGAACCTATAAAGTAGAGGGGTGTGGTATTAAGGTGATCCTGTAAGAAGCAGTTGGGGCTTGCAGGTTGCGTTCAGACCGGAACAGGTATGGGTTGACAGCAGATCAAAGCCACCTGCAAAGAGACAAATCAGTGTTGGCCTCGAGGAAAAGAAAACGAAAAAAAAGGTTGCACAGGTGAGAAGCGGAAACGTGGATTAGGAAAATGCAGAAAAGACACAACACTGGACAGAAGCCAGTAAAAAAAAATTATTGGGCATCTCCTCGACGATGATGGGGAATTATCGGGCCATCGTCGTCCAGAACCATCGGCCGGGAAGGGGATTTTGGCGTAACCAGCTCGGATCGGCTTTGACGTTATGACTAGATATGATCATCTATAAATTCGGGGCTCCTGAGCTTCCTATTATAAGGCTTACGCCCTCTTTCGACATGGGAATAAGATACAGCCACAGTATGGTTCAGCTTGCCGGAATCTCTAAAGAGGGACCGGGTAACTTGTGATTATAAGTCGAAACTGCATAGCTGGGGGCATGCTGCTTGATATCTAGGGCTGAAATCGGATTGATGAGTATTGCTCCATGTGCTTTCGCTAACTGTCTCTGTCCAAACCTTTGGTGGACCTGCTGGCATAAAGCAGTCCCTTATCTCCTTGGAGGGACGCTCAAGAACTCTTGGCTGCGAACAATCGAGAGACCATTAATTGACTGATGAAGAGCCTAACAACATGTCGAGACCAGAATGATCTGATATGCTGCTAGACGTTCATATTCAAAATTAGGATATTTTCAGGGAGACTACGTCTCTCTTCAGCTTTTAAGCTTCTTTCACTCTCCGTCCCTTTGTAAGATGGGAATTTAGGAGTTACTTGTTAGATGTTTGGACTGGTCACTAGAACTCTTAATGTTCAAGTAATACCCCTCGGATGCTCCGCTGTAATTCAAAGTGAAGATGCGTCCATTGTTTCCTTTTTTTTAATTCTGCTGTTGGCTGCCAACCCAAATTTCCTACTGCCGAAATGCAATTATACTGCTGCAAGAATCGGAGTTCGGGGATGGGCGGAGAAAACCCGTAACAGAGTAATCAACCAGGGCGCACACACACATATACAAACACATGCTCTCTTAAATTTGTGCAGATAATAGTGCTGAAAAGGTTCTTGGAAGGAAAAGGGGGGAAAGGAAAGGGGGAGGGGGAGTTGATGTTATTGTCATACCCTTTAGTATTTAGTTTAATTCCCATCCGGCGATTGAAATCCACCTCCTTCTGCTGCTGTTTGCTACTGCTTCTTCTTATGAAGAGGACAGCTGCTTGTCATGCTCTCATTATTGAGAGATATAATTTTACGACATCAAATCTCCTCGGGATTTAGATGGGAGTAAAGAAACAAGTCTATCTCAAGGGCCCTGAATGAGTGGACTGAAGAACAGTTTTTTGTTGATTGCTAGCCTGAATGATCGGATGACGAAGAGCGAGCGACCGAGCGAGCGGTACAAATATTGCGAAATATATGGGTAACTAACCACGAAGAAACCCTCTCTATGGGAATTATTTACTCTCAAATTAGAAGAGAATTAAATTTAGATGATACCAGAGCTGCAATGGAGTACAATTAAGTGATGGCAAGTCGATGGCAGACAAGAGGACAAGAGACAATGTGGCAATTGAGAGAGAGGAAAAAGAGACGTGACGGGGCGGGAAAAGGATAAAGAGGAAAGTTGGCGTCGCAAGCTTTTTTGGGGGGGACCGCGCGAGCAAAGGGGAAAGAAAAACCACCCAAAGTGGAGCTGAGACTTTCGCCTATGGCCCTTTGGGGGGCTAGCGTTGGTATGTCGGTATGTCGGCTTCCTTGTTTCACAGCTGGAATCAATAAAAGGTAAATGCTACCTTGATAATCCCGGTTGTGTGGTGTATTCTACGTATCCAATGTAGCAATGAGATATTATGTACATAAGTAGTAAGTACATAATCAACCCTATGTAGTTATATTTAAATCTTACTATTATTAACGTGGCGTATACCTATTATACTCATGCGCCAGTAATCATCATAAGCCGTGTAAGTACCTGTAATCTCCTCAGCCCGAATCTCGTGAATCTCGTAAATATAATATTTAATCTATCGATACCTACCTATTAACAGCTATAATGCAAGGCTATGTTACCTAACTATACGAGTAATGCTGGAAGACAGGTAATAAAAATAGTCTTACTCTTGCTAAAAAGAAATAGCGCTAAGTGCCCTTCCAGGCCTTATTAGGTTTAGATACCTTAGTTACAACTTCGTACTACCAGAACATTACATAAAATGACCAAACCATCCAATTAAGGAACAGTACCAAGGCTTAACTCTTAGCTCCATTAACACGTGCGAGGCTACAAAGTACATACCTAGAATAAGAAGTCGTGTCATTTGCTGGATCGACGGGAGCTAAGCTCTTCTCTATAATTCAATAAAGTCGACGTCAACCTCATTACAAGTTCGTACATGTCATGTCGATGGATGAAGCATGATACCTGAAGCATGATACCCCGGGATATCGCAATCCCCGACAATTCGAGAGAGCGGCATACGAGTGACGACTTAAGAAATATATCTAAACATATGGAATATTAGCTTACGATCCACTTAACAATTCGACCATCTTCTCTCAACTTACAGGTCGCATTATAAAGTTCCTATTCCATATACACCAACATACGACATATACATGTATGACTTGGACGACGGCGACGAGTACACTCCCAGCAGCACCGCGCAAGCGTCGAACACAGTAACACGGCGCAAAACCGGCTGTGAATAAAACATACTCCCCCGAACTTTGTCGTCTCCATCGTCGCCCACATGGCTGGAGCTAAGGGGAATTCGCTGCGCGATCGTCAAATTGGTCCGACTCCCAACATAGATCCCTTCTTCCTCTAACTCTCCGGACTTGTCCAGCTAACATACACATTAGCATCGCTAAAGAAGATTCTCAACTTGAACGAGGTCGTCGAGCAGAAAGATGAAGACGAATCCCACGCCAACGGGCTGGCCCCTGTCGGTCCCATCCTAAACGCCAATGGCGAGCCTGTATGGAAGGTCCTTGTCTTCGACGACCTCGGTCGCGATGTAATCAGTAGCGTCATGAGAGTAAATGATTTGCGATCAATGGGCGTCACTATGCACATGTAATAAACCCTTGCGAACTAGATAGGTTGTTATCGTATCACTTATTAACCTACGGCTTTTACCTAGGCATCTAGCCGCATCTCGACATCCCATTCCCGACGTCCCCGTCATATATCTCGTCGAGCCGAGCCCGAAGAACTTGGAAGGCATAACGGGCGATCTACAAAAAGGCCTTTACTCTCCTGCCTATATCAACTTCCTCTCCTCCATACCGCGCCCCCTCCTCGAAGATTTCGCGTCGCAAACCGCAGCTGCCGGCACCGCGGAACACATTGCTCAACTATTCGACCAGTACCTGAATTTTATCGTCGCGGAACCAGACTTGTTCAGCTTAGGGATGCAGAAGGAACACACATACTGGGCATTGAATAGCGCAAAGACCAAGGATGAAGAATTAGATCACGTCGTCGACAGGATAGTCAGTGGTTTGTTTAGTGTAGCTGTGACTATGGGTACGGTATTTCAACAACATCGCTTGATAATCACTATGCTGATTAGATACTCCAGGTGTCATTCCAATTATACGATGTCCTAAAGGTGCTGCCGCGGAGATGATTGCTGGCAAACTTGACCGAAAGCTTCGCGACCACATCCTCAACTCTAAAGACAATCTTTTCTCTTCTAATACGCGTCCTACCTCGTCCGCAGGCACTCCTGCCTCTCGTCCCGTTCTTGTCATCCTTGACCGAAATGTCGATCTAAACCCCATGCTCTCGCATTCCTGGACATATCAGTCGCTCGTACATGACGTTCTTAACATGAAGCTCAATAGGATCACTATCGAGACGCCTATAGACGAAGAGAACCCGGCGAAAGGGGTGACAAAGAAGGCTTACGACCTGAGTTCTACGGATTTTTTCTGGGAAAAGAACTCCGGTGTACCCTTCCCCCAAGTGGCGGAAGATATCGACGCTGAGTTAATGCGGTACAAAGAAGACGCGCAAGAAATTACCAAAAAGACAGGCGCATCGTCTATAGAAGACTTGCAGAATGACACAAGTGCGAGCGCTCAGCATCTTAAGGCAGCGATAACGTTACTGCCAGAGCTGAGGGAGCGAAAAGCCGTGTTAGATATGCATATGAATATCCTTGCGTCAGTTTTAAGGGGCATAAAAGACCGGCAACTGGACAATTACTTCCAGATGGAAGAAAACGTCATGAAGCAAACGAAAGCCCAAGTCTTAGAGGTTATCAAGGACAACGACAAGGGCAACGATTCCTTAGACAAGCTTCGCTTGTTCATAATCTGGTTCTTGAGTACAGAGCAGGAAGTTAGTCGGGCGGATTGGACCCAGTTCGAGGAAGCTCTCACAGCGGCAGGGGTAGACACCACTTCTCTTGCCTATATCCGACAGTAAGTTCTTCGCTTATACTTGGCTACCTTTTTTTTTTCTCCGTCTGTAAGCTAATGTTGACGTCCAGAGTTCGGGCTACGACGAAGATGACCCAATTAACAACTATCGGCCCGTCCCAACCTTCCACCGCGCAATCTGGCTCGACTGACCTCTTCGGCCGCTTCTCTTCTCTATCGAGTCGCCTAACTGACCGATTAAAGGAGACTGGTGTTGGAGTCCCCACAAATCTTGCCTCTAACTTTGACTCCTTAATAGGCGGTATCAAAAACTTCCTCCCAGCCAACCGCGACCTAACTATCACCAAAATCGTCGAGTCCATCATGGATCCCCAAGCTGCATCGACGTCCGCCATCGCCAAGACAGAGAACTACCTATACTTCGACCCGCGGAGCGCAAACGCACGAGGCAGCATGCCGCCACCAAGCGCGGTGCGAGCTGGCGTAGCAGGTAGCACACCAGGATCGCTCCCCGGCGGTCCCGGTATTCAGGGCCCCGGAACAGGCGCCAGCTTCGGACAGCGACGACAAGGGTACACAGAAGCGGTCGTATTCACAGTTGGCGGCGGGAGCATGGACGAGTACGGCAATTTACAAGAGTGGGTACAGCGGACGGGTGAGGGCGGCCGCGCCAAGAAGAGAGTCGTCTACGGTAGCACGGAGCTCCTAAACGCGCACGAGTTCATCAAGGAAGAATTGGAGAGGCTGGGACGGGAGGTCCCGTAGAGTACCCGCGGTAGGGGCCTAGGATAGGGGATTAAAAGAAAAGGGGATAGATGAATTAATAAATACAAGAAATATAGCCTCACCTGCAGTCGTGCGCTTGGCGAGATGTGTTTACCTTGGTAGTATCGTTGGATTTGTATGCGTACGTGTAATTGGGCTACCTATCTGAACACATAAGTACCTATACTAGTAAATTGTAGTATAAACCCCTTTCTCAGTCCAACTAGTTGCAGTTGCTTATATCATTCCGTTGAATGTATTTGCAAGAGTTATTTCAAGACCATGCCGGTCGTTGATACCATAAATATAGCATAATTCACAGTCATCTGAGGCTATGAGAAATATGCATCACACTTAAGAGCAGTGATCACATTTACACTATAAAGCAAACATAGTTTCAAAGGGTGTATGTAATAATGCATTCGTCTCAAAGCCACGCTACTATCAACAACTCAATAGAAAATAGGGAGCTCCACTACGCCAACCGATGCTACCATCCTGATACCACTTCATCAGCCGCTCCACGAGTCGCTCTACTATTTACATAGAAATCCAAACCAGCCGGCCTATTTCCATCAAGGATAGCATGGCCTCAGTTCAAGGATAAATAGAACCCCTTCACTTATAGAATTTATCACCAGCGACTCCAATAATCCTCAAGAGTTATCGCCACGCCTTCGTTCTATAGGGACATAAAATCATGATCCGATGCCGCCAGCGCAAAACGTCATTATACATTCATCTCAGGTTTTCGCTGTACATTCTCTCTCGTCTCGTTATTTAACGCAGTCAGGATTATTCCATGCGACAGTAATTCGTGCCGTCTTATTCCCTAGTCTCTGAATGTCGAAGTGAACTCGATGAATTGGGTATATGTTTACAAAATCCGAAAATATTTCGGAGGTAAAGGAAAATCGAGAATAAAACTAGTGGTAAGGAGGTTTAGCAATGTGTGACTCGGAGACGCAATGATAAATCGAGATAGACCCAGAGTAGTCCCAGAGTAGTCCCCCAAGTATAGGAATCCGGAGGTCGATAAATGCCGCGAGCGGTCCGGGATCATCGAAGAAGATACGTTTGAAAAAGTCCATAACGTCAAGCAACAAAAAATAGATATCAAAGGTGAATGCCAAAGGTAAGAAAAGCATTATCCAGAGTAATGTGAGATTGACAGGGAGAACAAGATGATGCTCATATAAAATATCATCCACGACCGCTGGGGGAACTAGCGGGCGGAAAAACACCATACTAAGCCCAGGCCCCGCCCTGTCAAGTCTGCGAGGAATCTTTCGAGTAGTATGTTGTGGAGACGGTAGACGTAGAAGATTCGCCTAACTACTTCGTAGACTTAACCCAAGCCACAAAATTCTTTTCAGAAGTCGATATAAAAGTAGGGCTAGGGAAATACCCTCCAGTAAGACGATGCAGGTTCTCTTGATATCAGGCGAGTGTAGAATACGAATAATGGTTGATTGGGATATACCTGGAATGGAAGCTGCCTAAACACCCCTGAACATGCGGACGATGAGAAACCAAACGGCGCCGATGAATTTGAAAGCAGAGAGACCCGCAACACTCCATAGGATAATTGTCATATATAACGTTGAGCGTTGGTTTTGATTTTCCTCTTCCTGCTGGGGGCTGAGCCTTTCGAGACCAGCAGTGCTGAGAACTAGAGCCACGAGACCGAAGTTCGTAATCATCCAGATAAGGACGACCAATGAACGGATCCAGCGGTAGTAATCCATTTGAGCCTCAGCCTTTTGAGCGTCACTGGGGGGCTTCTGAACAACCACCTGTTTCTTGCCAAATACCGCCAATTCTCTCTCGTACTGGGCGTTCAAGTCTCCTTCATCAGGCAGGTCGGTCTTACCCTTACCGTCCTTAGTGTCAACTGTAGGAAGTTCTTCAGCCTTGTCGTCTCCCTTAGTACCCCATGATATATCGTGCGTATTGCAGAACGCATAGACGTTAAGAACGTTAACGTAGGTCGGCGTTAATAGTAGGTACTGTATAAATGAAGTAATCATGTGCCACGGGTCGAACATCATGATCGAGGCAATAAGCCAAAGCCCATAAGTCGACATCATAGATACGATGAGTGAATAGAAAACCTTATTCTTGAATATATCGCTGATGTCAAACCCCTTATTATCTTCGGCACTCTTCTGCACTTCGCTTTGAACCGCAATTACGGTGATGTAAACAGCCGCAAAGGTTAGGTATCTATATTGACGGTTAATGACTTAAGTTAGAGGAGAACAATAGGGTTGGACTTACATCATGATCACACACCAGAAGATAACCATGGCGGTGTACAGCTTACCGGAACCCGACGGGCGATTACCCATAGAGAGAACGAAGCAGGCCATCAATGAGATACCGTAGAACCATTCGAAAACGACGCCAAGAATCTCGCCGACTTGGCCTAGCAGTTTATTATCTCCAAGACTTGTCGTTAATATCTTGAAAACTAGGAAGAAATTTCCAATAGCAAACCAGGCGAATATCATGTTGAAGGTCTGGAAGACGAACTCCAGGAAGAACATTAGCTTGCGGAGAATGGAGTGGTCCGAACGGAAAAACTGGTAGAAGTGTGCAATGGCGTAAATGGCAGCGAAGAAGGAGCCGTTCAGCCATCGTCGACGCTGTAGAATGAGCTCGGTCACAGTGTCGGGGACATCCGTTTCTCCTGTTGCCGATTTCACATATTGCAGGATCCAGTGGCAGTTACGCTTGGTAACAAGTTCGAAGCAGAGAATACGATCTTCGGCTAGATACATGTTGGCGGTGAAAACACCAGCACCAGCACCATGGAGCGTTTCGCCCTTGAAGTATTTTTCCAACGGTCCCAGACCGTTCTTGTCGTTTTGCAAAGCAACGTATCGATATGCCGAGAAGGCACCGGGCAAAACGGAGATAAAGCCGAATGCTGATTCCAGAGGTTTATCAAGGATATTGCTCATCTTGTACTCGAAATTCTGGGTCGCAACGAGAGGGTTAATCAATTCCTTTCCACCTCTACCCAACATTGCTTTGATCTCACCGCAAGCGCCGGCACACATAGGCTCCAGATCGAACGCCTTCCAGAGGTGGTAAATAGAATTTCCACCTGGCTTAGTACCCGCATCAATTAGTACGCAAATGTTGGGGTCCAAAACACGGCCAAATGCCTGGAAGAACCATCGGTGGGAGTTGATTTTCTTCTGATTTTTCTCCTTCAAGCAGAAAAGCATTTGTACGGGCTGCTTCTTGGGGATGAGTTGCACCACGTCGTTCTTGATTTGCATCCCAACTTGCGTTGTGTACTCGTAGATATGCGCAGTGACATCTTTCCCGTTAACTTGCTGCTTGGCAATACCCTCTTGATATACACCCATACCGGAAAGAAGCGCCCTCGTCCGCGGATTGATCTTGGCACGTCCGTCACTCACCACGCATACCACGATCTTCTTCCAAGCGTCTGGACCCCACGTCTTGCTTTCTTTCCGGCTACACATGTACTCGACGTTCTTCAAAACACCAATCATAGTCCGGGCAAAGAGAATATCGTCTTCATTGTACATAGTAACGACGATAAAAAGCTCAGTGTGTCGCGGTTTGCTGAAGAGCTTCTGGCGCAAAGTGAAATTTTCATTATAGAAATCATTCGGGTCGCAAGTAGCAGCGGAGTATCGCATATGGGTAAATTCGTCACGCTCCCCATGGGGAAGTTGACTCAGTAGTCGAGGGGGTACTGGGCAATCAAGAACCAAGTTACCACGGTATAGGAGCACCTGTTTCACCGTCTTCCACCTCTTGATCCCTGCACCCTGCTGCTGTTGGCGATTTGGGTCATCGACATATGGCTCTTGCGGTTGAGCCTGCGCGTAAGGATCGTTCTGGGCTAGCATTGGGTGCTGGTCATCATAATCGTATCCATGCTGATCGGCGAAAGGTGTCGTGGAAGAAGGCGGCTCATAAGGTTGGTTATAATAAGCTTCATGGTGCTGTTCGGGATTGACAGAGAATTCGGAAGGGTACCCGCCCTGACTATGTCCATAGGGGCCTTGAGAGAGGCTATCCATAGAGTGCGCAGCATTTAACGGGAGACGATCGCTCGGGGTAAATCTTCCTGGGCCAGCAGGTATATCAAGATTACTTGCAGGTGCAGGGTGATTACCATAAGGTACATCGTCGAGCTGATACCCGTGCTGAAGAGGGTGACCCGGCGAGGGCGTACGACCTATTCTATGAGTATCCATAGTAGTATCGTAGTAATCGTCGTCTAGAGAAAGGATGACTCGTCAGAACAATAGGCCTTCAAGGTTATTATTTAGGTCGGAATTAATATATGTATCGGAGTACACGTAGAGCGCTTTAAGCTACATGTGCCGCCTGCGTCACGGAGGTTTGCGTCACTTATGACTTGGTAGAACAAAGCAGTGACAGGGTATATTCCACACACAATAGGGTATCGAAAATATTAAGGTGAATGTGCGGGAAATGACAATGGATAGGTAACGAAAGACTTTCGTTGAACAGCCCAGCTGAGTGGCAGTGAAAGAGAGGCGAAAGACGAGATAGGAAGATTCCAAGAGCAGGTTGAGGGAAGGTTAAGTCATGATAGGTACATACCTAGGCGATTATACGACATGGTTTATGTGTTATTCCCCTACGGGAAAGGTGGGCGCTTCAAGCGGTTAAGTTATAAGGGGGTGCGGCAGAAGTGAGTGAGACTTTGGCTATACGCGACAGCGATCGCAACGAGAGACTCCCAAACCAGTGAACTGGAATGTGCCAATGTGGTGGCATGTACGTGGAATGGGTCTAGATGGAGACTGGAGACTCGATTCGTCCTCGGTAGATTCGAACGACCCTTAACCCTGAAATTGAGTTATTTGCGAGTGGGTTTTACCAGGTATAAAGCACCCGTTATGATAATTAACTTTGTATGAGACCTTGACAACAAAGGGTTGCGGCTATCCAGTAATATGTTGCGAATTTACTCGAGAAGTCACCGAAGAGTGCTTATTTCTTATTTCTTATTTCTCTCCTTAGCTAGGAGAAAAAAACGAAAGGGAGGGTTAAGGAACTCAAGAGGTTGATTGCGCTTAGGGATTTGCAAAGAAGGTGGTTGAGGGCGGAAGAGAGAGAATTGGGTTTCTCGTCGAAGAGTTTCACCAGGCAGAAGATTTGCGACAATATTGACTGGGTAGCGACGGTTGGGGGAGCATCAACTTAATTGTCAAGGACTCAAGTCACTTGGGAGCAGGTGATATCCTGTTTCAGATCAACAAAGTGGGCGCAGCAACGAATTACAGGCCACTAAACTACACCTTAACCCTGCAGCTGCCCTGTAAAAGATGCCGGTACTCCGGTACAAAAGGTACGAAGGGTACGAAGGGTACATGGGTGCCAAACAAACACTAACCTTTTTTCCCCTCTCCACCCCGGTCGGCCCAGCACCCGTCTGATCTTGCCCCACTTCTGCCACTTGTAGCACGTTTCCAAGTGACGTCGTTTGCTTTCATGTACCTTAGGTACCTAGGTATCGCATCCTTAAGTCCCTTCAATCATTACATGCAAGGCATCGTCACTCCTCTGCATTTAAGACGCAACTTTTAAATAATCATAACTTTAACCCAACCTATCCAACCAATATTATAAAATACAACAAGAAGTTTACAGTAACGGGCGAAGCTGCAAGAACGCGCAAGGCGATGTCGCGTAATAAAAAAAGCCAAGCGGCTAGGTTTCTCCAGAATCTTGCTGCACAGCCAAAAATAGAAACCCGATCGAGTCCGAATTTAACAAAAGCTGGTTGCCACAGTGTTTCTCAGCCACAATCGAGCTGACGACTACAGCTACGATGACGGCGAAGAATACCTACATACTCGTTCTTGCTAGGCAGCAAGATTTTTACGATTGCCCGAGGGGAGAGGGGAAAGGAAACGGTTCGTCTAAGCCACGGGTTTAATATAACTACCAATGATGTAGGCAAGTATTTCGAACTACCCAGTATATCGCCGAATGTGGCCAAAGCTTGTACGTCTCGGATATGCACATGCTCATGTCGTGTAGCTTATGCGTATATGTATAATCCAATGAAGACCTCATGCGCCAAAGCAGGTACCTAGTTGGTGGCTGCGGCCTTGATATGCATCCGGATCGATGCCAGTTGTTCTTGTGCGCCCCAAGGCAGGTTGTTTGCGCAGCAGTTAGGCCAATCGCGGGCTGACTCGATTGACGCTCGAACGGATATGCATGTAATCCCGCACCCCCATCGGTTCTTTATCGTCGGTTATGCCAGAACTCTTCCACCAGTAAATTATATACCTAGACATCCAGGTGATGTGTTAAACTCGAGAGGTCAAGTTGTTATTGGAGTTTATAATCGCCTCTAGGATTGTGGCTACCCGAGAATGCGTTAAGGGGGACGCCTTAAACATCTTTTTACGCTATAGATGTATCCGTTGTGGCTACCTAACCTACTCAGCCCATAGCCAACGGACGTAAACAATACCCACCCGATAATGCGACAGGACGAGCATAGTTTATTAGATGTTTGCCCATAGTAACACAAGATTGCCTAATCTCGAAGATGGTACCGGGAGCAAATTATGTAACCACGGTAGGGGGCATGTCTATACAACTGTATAGTTACCTCCTATATACATGTTAATTCTTGTAAGATCGCTCATTAGGCAAGCATCACACATATGATATAGTCACCATAGAACATATCAAACAGCCTCTATTATTCTAAGATATAATGATTAGTGCCGAATGGAACTTAATAGTCCATATCTAGGTAGCTTACATGCCTCCCATCTATCAAATGTATTCAGAGTAACTAGATAAGCGTAAGATGGCAATAGGTAATAATTAGTTTTAAGTAGCAGAATGCTATACGGTTGCTCGCTATCCAAATTATAAGCATATAACCTAGGATCCGTCAACATCCGTATTATCTTCTAAGATTAGTTGGCCCGCTACCGGCACTGGAAACACTTCAAAACGCTCTATCCATTGAAAAGAGCGGATTCCATGTTAAGTTGGTGCTGATTACTTTTAAGAGATTAATCTAATTCAATAGGTATCTTTTTCTTAACCACAGTGGTATTTGAATGTTATTCATTATTAGAAAAGCTTATCTCGTTAATACTCATTATTATATTATCATCATAACTTCCTAGAGACATGTCTTAAACCAAGAATAATCCATTGAATTTTACTTGGACACTGTCTTTCTCAAACTCTTGAATTTTCTTTTTTAGTAGTCAAGGGAGAACACGCTGTCTGACCTGGGTTTGGTGCCCCTCCTAATCAGGTATAGAGCATTGTACCCCTGGTTAGTCGGGGTGTTCTTATGCGTGACGCTCTCCTTCTAACTCTACACACGCTCAATTATTTACGAGTTCCACCATTGTACCTATCTACTCCCTAAGCTAACCCATAATCAACCGCTCAATCTCTTCATCTTGTGTGATATCCTCGCCGTCCTCAAGCTGAGCGTTACCCTCGCGCCAGCGCCATCTCTTTCCCATGAACTCCTTGAACCAGCCCACGTTGAACTTACCCTCCAATACCTCAGACGAGAACCGAGCGGCGTATTTGCCCAGGGTGATTGGCTTCAAAGCCACGTCTAGATCCGGCGCCACAAACAAGACAGCGCTGAGCCTTCTGACGCCAGGCTGGCGGCGGACTCTGTGTCTGACAGCTCGAAGCTCGCCGCTACTAATGATAAATGCGCACCAGCCACAGAGCATGACAACCTTGTCAGCCGGAACGGGTAGCCATGCTCCGGGCTGAGACGGGTTTTCGATCTCCAGTCCCGAGGTGCCATCCTGGAAAATGATACTGAAGGTACCGTAATCACGATGAGCACCACAGCCATTCTCACTTTCCGGGGCTGCCGTGACAGGGGGGTAATCACAGAGTCGGAAGTTGAGGTTACGGCTACGGTGGAGCGGGAATAAGTCGGCACCAACAGTTGCACCTAGAATCGATAGCATGTTGTCGAGATGCTTCGTGGTCAACTCCGAGAAAAATGTGATGACTTCACCAAAGCCGTGAGGGGACAGAGATGACTGCAACTCGGCAGGGATGCGAGCTAGGCGGTTTGGCGAAATGTCGATGGTAAGCTTCTGATCCGAAATGCTGTTTTTCAGTGCAGCACTCTTGAAGACGCCACGAGACGGATAGCAGGCATTAAGAGCATCTGCCGCTTCCGGGCTGGCTCGGAGATGGTCAAAGAGCTGGCGGATAGAGTTGAAGGGTGCCTTGACGCTGCTATCTAGGAGCACAATATCCGGTATACCCGCTATTTGAGGGGGTAATAGAGGTGCATGAGTAGATGCATTATTGACGATCGTAGCAGTAGTCGGATGGATAGCAATGTCAGCCATTTTGCTTGATCAATACTGAGTTCCTTATTTGATCTATATGTACGTGGGGATGATATTTGCGACGATGAGATGATGATGGGAGGTATTAGGGGCAGCGAGTTCCACGAGTCAGATAATAGCTTGACCTGACTTAGCCTGGGTAGATCCTTTTTTAGGGATATCTATCCGAGTCAAACGTAAATTTTTTTTATTTGATATTTTATATGAATATTTTTAGGGCAATATTATTGGCTGTTGGTAAGGGTTTTGGGTGAAATATATTAGGTGGCTGATGTGGCTAAGTGTGGCTTTACATATAAGGGCATACAGGCCAAGTCGACGATACGATTAGGTATGGCTCAAATCTAATATATCTGACCTGACCTAACTCGTGGAACTCGCTGATTAGGGGGGATAAAACGAGATGGGTATATGGGACAACATACTTATAAATATGAAGAGATGCCGTTTGACACTTACGGTTTGCGAGTTGGAAATTCCAACTCGCAAACAACTTGAATTTAAATTTTACTAACTTACAAACTTACAAACTATCTTACCTCTTCATAATTGGTACGATACGAGGGCCGGGATTATTTATCTACTCCACTTATACTAGAAGCTTGAAGCTTGAAGCTATGCGCCGAATATAAATATTAATCTTATACTCAATTGCAACTTTTTAATTGTTACCCTTCTTTGCTTTGGTTGCTAAAAATAAAATCCCACATCAGCTACCAATTCCATAACAGCCTATCCTTCTCTTCTTGTTATGGCTGTATGGATCTTGGCAGACCTGGGGCTTTTTCAGCTCCTTCCAGCCCCCAACTTCCCAATCTGGGTTAATAGTGCCTTGTCGATTTCATTTCCGATCAATTGGTTCGTTGGCTTCTCACGTGCATCCGCTGGCGTAATATTACTCGAACTAGCTTTGCTCCCTTAAGAGGGGCTTCGAACCCAGCCTTGCAACTTTATCTTGGTCGACGGCATGTCTTTTCCTGAGCCGATATGGACCGCATGGTTTTCAGGTTACGGCAATTGCCTCTTGATTTCGATAGGTTAGACACTGTCCGACTACTCAGCACGGCCTTAGGTGTTGAGACTTCGGTCATTCGGATTTTCTCCCTTGCCCGCTCCGTTGATCCATGGCTCCCTAGCAAAGTAGCCACCTTGATGTTCAATGATGCGGCTGGTGTGCAGAATATTCTTGAAGAGGGCGGGAACTCAAATGTTACGAAGCGGGATGATGAGTGGTGTATTGCCGTTGATAATATTCGCGACGGTTTAGTCTTGGATGCTCACTTTCGAGGCTTAACACCTTTATATGATCCAGACTCTCATGATGCCGAGTAAGATTTTCCCGTTACTTACATGTTTGAAGTTTTGAAGCTCACAATCTTAGTTGCATTGCAATATCGGGACTTGCGAGCCACCCATTCGGATCTTGGCAGCCGAAAGGGCGCTCAAAGTCGTTCATGTGGATTCGTGATGCATTGCCGCAGTCATTACGCAATGTACGGCCTATCCTGTACGGCTACGATACTACTCTTGTTGAGAGCCTTTCGTTCCAGACGATATTCGATCTTGCCTTGGGATTGATCAATCAACTTAAGGCTAACGGGTGGACATTGCCAACCTGCAAGCCTCTCGTCTTCCTCGCTCACAGCTTAGGGGGGATTGTTTTGAAGCAGGCATTCGTATCGCTTGCGAATAAGATTGAGCGCGATGACCCAATTCGACAGGCGATAAGAGGAGCTGTGTTTTTTGGCGTACCTAACCTGGGCATGGCGCAGTCACATCTCATGGCCGTCGTGGAAGGTCAAGCTAATATGCAACTTGTCGAAGACCTTTCGATTCAGTCCGACTATCTCCAGTATCTAGATCAACAATTTAGCGGCATCTCATATCTTCAAGATGCTTTACTCTACTGGTGTTATGAGACAAAGAAGTCACCAACTGTCGCCGTAAGGATACTTGAGTCCTTTTTTAACCGTTCGCGTGTTGACTCTTCGTAGCTAGACTCGAATAATATATGGTCAAGGACGGGGCCCAAAGAGATATTAGTTACTCCGGACTCTGCGACACGCGGGCTATATGGAGAAAACAGGCGTTCGGACTCGATATACCCGATTAACGAGGACCACTCGAATATGGTTAAATTCTCCGAGAATGACTCCAACTACTCGGTAGTAGTACAAAAGTTAGCCCAGATTCTTTTTTCGAAGAGCTCATCTCTGGTTAAAACGAGTGGGAGAGATACGCTTATGCTCGAATCGAGCATAGTCCAGAGGATGATGAACCTTGAGGCAGCCCCAGTCAGGGGTCCGAGTTACGAAGGTAAGTAAATCTCTGTCATTATAAAGTGAGTCACTGGCTTATTTCCAACCAGCGATTCTGAACTCGCTCTATGTGCCCGAAGGAGACCGTCGGGTTGAAGAAATTGATGATAAGTTTGAGGACACATTCGACTGGATCTATGACCAACCGGACTCAGGTTTTGGCGAATGGCTTCAGAGCGATACTGGTCTTTTCTGGATCAACGGGAAGCCGGGATCCGGGAAATCAACTTTGATGAAGTTTATATGTAGGGATCGGCGCACTTCAGATCTGCTTTCCGACTGGAAAGGAGAAAGCAGCTATATTAACGTGGCTTTCTTTTTCCACTATCGTGGAACCTCGGTACAAAAGTCCTTCGAAGGCCTTCTGAGAAACGTACTGTCCCAAATCATCAAGAAGAACCCAGCACTTGTCAAATTTCTTCAGTCCTTGTTCGATCCCGCAGAGTCTCTGCACCCGAGAATGTGGACCTTGCCCATTCTCCAAAAAGGGTTCCATACCATAATAAGACAGAAAGAGGTGCCGCTGCATCTTTGCTTATTTCTAGACGCACTCGACGAATATGATGGAAGACTGGAGTTCATATGTCAGTTTCTCTTGGAACTGGGCGAAATTCCTCCTACGCAAACGAAAAGAATTAAAATATGTTTCTCTAGCCGACCTTGGCAAATCTTCATCAATGCCTTCCAAGATTGTGCCGGGTTTCAGATCCATGATTTTACACAAGAAGACATTAGGGATTACTGTCTTGGTTCTATCAGGGAAGAAAGCTTATCGTCTGTTTTACTCGAGGATCTGGTTCCCGACATCGTGACGCGTTCGAGGGGCGTTTTCCTATGGGTAAAATTCGTCGTTAAAGATCTTGCCCAAGCTACGAGGTTCAGTACACTGAACAAGGAGGAGTTAGAGAGACTATTGGCGTCTTATCCAGACGAACTTAATGCTTACTACGCCGAGATTATCGAACGAATTCCACGGCCGTATAGATGGAAAACATACGCTATGCTTGAGGTTGCCGTACGCTCTAAAGATTCATTGGAACCTGCAATATTTCTATGCGCTGTCGAATGCTCGGAATCCAAGACCATCCAGGACGGCCGTGGAGCTCTCTCAAACATACACGGGATACATAATAGCGATAACCTTAAGGACTGGACTATGAAAGAATCGAGAAAGTATTGTGGCGGATTGATTGAAGTTGTTGAAGGAGCTTTAGGCGAATACGTCCAGGTTCTCCACCAAACCGTAGAAGATTTCGTAACTGACCCAAAATTTAAGCAGCGAGTCCTAGGGAACTTAGCTAGAATTACGATCGAGAATGGCAATAACTTTCTAGCTAAATGTTATTTTCTCATTTACGAGACAAAGGGTGATCCATTCCTCCAACACTTCCATCTCCTGACGGCCCCGGCTACTCGGATGCAGATTAAGCAAGCCCTCATCAATGGAACCTACGCGCGTGCTGCTGAACAGGTCAGCGGCCGCAGTATGAAAGTGTTTCTCAACAGTGTTTCAGAAAAGGTCTTCAAGAAAATATATTTTGAGTCTGAATTAAAAATAGAGACACCACTCGAGTATGCCGCATCGACTGGGCTCCGCTTATACCTTTTCGAATCTCTTCTCGACCATCCCGACCTTCTGCGAACTTCTAAACATTTATTGCTGAGCTGTGTTGTCAGATCAACGGCCGACACCAAAGACGAAGAAATCAAGCAAACGGTTAAGCTACTGTTGGAGAACGGGTTCACACCACAACAGGATCCAATGGCCTTCGGCCTTTGCGTCATGAAGACGCTTCGAGGTGACAGTTTAGATAGAGCAGTTGATGACGACCTGAATCCACTTTTACGATCTCGTCATGTCGACTTAATCGAGCTCCTGCTCGATCATGGCCAAGAGCCCTATGTCAGCATTCCTACTATCTACCGTAAAAAGAACGTTCGGAGTACGCTTTTGCATATAGGCCCATTCCCGGCAGTGAAATTACTCCTGGAAAAAGGCGCCTTTGTGGATGCGTTAGATTCCCTGGGAATGACGCCCCTGGACCACTTCTGCGCAAGGAATTCGCTGAGGGCACCAACCTGGTTCCAAGCATATGGGCACTATCAGCGACAGCACTGGGAACTTTATAAGTTGACTTGCCTCATAACATCTCGGGGTGGGACGATAAAAAATGCAAGCGCGGAGTCTTGGGAGCAGCTTTTGAGCGGATTTTCAGTATCGGGATTTCCTACCGAAGACTTACGAAAATATATGGCCCCTATACTTCGGCGGCTATCGGAGGAATCATCAAGGCGGTCGTTTTTTCAACGGAGTATCATTTCAGACAACGAGGACGATGAAGAATCTCAGGGAACGTTGTCTATACAGCCCGAAGTCCAATCCAAATCCCAAGAAGAAGTCGTGGGCAAGACTCTGATAGAACGGCAAGTTCGAAGCACACCAGAACCAACCCTCCGTGTACAATCTCAGGAGAAGCAACCCCCCGTTTTGGACCAGCCACCGGAACATCTTCCGGAGCCCGGATTCCGGCAATCACTGCGACAGTCACAACAGCTGCCCTCAAAGCGGTCATTCAGGTTGAAGATCAAGAAGTTTATATATCGCCTAATACGATAGGATTCTGTCTTGTCGTGATACTAGCTCGTCTATAAGGGCGATCTTTCTGGGTGGCTTTGGGCAATGATGACAATCATCCCGTTGTGCCGGCCCCCTTTACATAGTACCTTCAGTATATGTCACTACATGTACATGTTTTAGTAACTGGTCTTCAAATTCATGTCTTTCATATGGCCTATTAACCGCCTCTTCAATAATTAGTGGATCCAAGATCCATACCCGGGCATATTGCCGCCCCGCGGCTCCCATAATACACGATGCCGGATCCACCATCATCCGGCTTCGACCCGTGCCCGGTAGTCTCACCGTCTTTACCTCAGTCGCTGAACTCTATGGAACCGCACTTCAAAAAGGATAATGGAGAAGTTTTATTGGATAAAAGAATGTATAGTAAGGGATTTACCTATGGGAAGAAACACTGAACTTAGAGAGGGACTAAGATACATAATTTGACCACCTAAAAGAGCGCGAGGAAGAGTGCTTATAACGAGGGAATATTCCAACTTCCGATTCACCAGTTTCTGTGTACCAATCCGAAACCCCCCTCTCAACCCCCCCTTTTCTAATACCGAGCCTCAAATCCTGCATATACTAGCCATAACACAATCCGTCAAATGCCGTCCGAGTCGACCATACACATCCATATACCCCTCAACTCGTAGCTAGCCAGGCCAGCGTCAGAGAAGCCACTGTCGTGAGGTGGAGCAAGAAGTAGGGAAACAGCTTCGTTGCCCCGTGAGGAACTCTAAGCCAGCTATGGAAGCCTACGGCTAACTGAAAGTGTCCTTTATTCTAGATGTTCCATGTGGAAATCTGACAGGAACTGATCGAAGTCAAACAAGTCCTGTGTAAATGCATTTCCCTGGTGATTATTGGAAGGGGGCGGAGGCATAAAAGTCGGGGCAATGCCTCCGTTCACAGTGGACGTGGCGCGGTTGTTGGGCTGGAAAGCTCTTTTTGGAGGTCGACTTCGCTTCCGAACACCACGGGACGGCGGGCGCGAAGACGGGAGCGAAGGCGGAGCAGGCGTGGGACCGGATTGTCGATTCCGGGATGAGAGCCGAGAAGTCTGGCTAGAACCATGGACGGGAATCGGATTGCTGGGGTTGTGACTTGGAATAGCGCCCATATTCCCAGGCTGAAAAGATGTGGGATTTCCGGGCAGAGGATTGATAGGAGTGGATGTATTCGTCTGCAGCGTCAAATGGATACCCTTCTCACGCAACATACCATCATGTACGCTGGATAAATGATTTTTGAGGTCCCCAGGTCTTGTGATCCATTTGGAGGAGCACCAGGGGCAGCCTAAGAAGACTTCTCCATATGGCATACACATTCTTATCCTAATGAAAGGCTCATCTGACGGGATACGGGATGTGTTCGATGCCATGATTAAGCCAAAGAGGTTTGAAGGATAATGCCGTGGAAGTATAGGTGAAAAGGAAGTCTTAGTTGTTTCTATTTTTTGTTTGGAGCTCCCCCCTTCATCGATTTCGAGGGCGGCGACGTTTAAGTCTTATATACCCAAATCTCTTCTCACCTCCATTGTATATTGAAATCAACTTGCTACTTCAGAGTAGGGTACTAATCTCTCACCGAAGACTTGATCATCACGGGAGGGCCTCAGAGAGCATAATGAGGACATAAGAACATAGCAGTTACGGTAACTTGGTGTTTCGACCATTGCGGCGAACGTCGCTAGTTGAGTCTCTTCAGACCGAACAGAATAGTAGAGTTTGTCCAAATATGGGAAAGCCACTTGTCGAAGTCGACCAAAATACAAGGTATGATCTTTAGGAGCGGATTGACCGAATATCAAGTAGGTCTTGATTTAGGCATATGATATATCTAATGTGTAGGTTGATACATTTAGGGATAGCGCATGCGGTCTTGGCAAATTTCAATTGCTGTCATATGAGGCAAGTTATTTGCATATTTCGACTAGTTAAATAGGCCAAACCTAGGTTTTGTAGCTACATACGAGAAGATACATAGATGCGACCCGCCAGGCCGTTTTCAAATGCGTCACATATCTAGAAACTTTGGGGTTTGGACGCGGCATGATAGATTCAATTAAAGGGCTGTGTAAATACAGGTAAGTGTATGAACCGAATACCGAGTAATTTGAATGTTTCGATGAATTCGATAGTTACCCCGAACCGTACCTATTACCTCCCCTCACAGCAGGTAAAGTGCCAAACTTCAGAATTCATACTGTTGTCTTAACATTTATTCCGTCGTAAGTATCGAATCACGGCAATAATAATAGTTTAATACCTAAGGGCTTCTAGCACCTAGTATTACGTCGATTAATAGCTTTCGCGATGAAAGATCTAGTGGTGCGATATACGAGCATAGATAATAGGAGGCACCCCGCGCTGTTGTGAGTGGTGGTTTGAAATGCATAATGAGGCGCATACCGCACTACGCACCTGATCATCAGGGACGAGCTGGTAGGCTAAGGACGTGTTCTAGAATTCTCGCTCTATGATCGGTGAAGGGATATACCAGCCAGTTTTTATAATTTAACTCAAAGAAGCCAATTCTCTGAATTAGACGTGGCGAATTATCGGGAGGCTATGTCTAGGAGCACAAGGCATACTCGGATAGACTGAGGTTCTTTTTTTAATCGAAGTGGGCATAGGGTGGAAGCTACATAAGGTAGTAAGCCATACTGTTAGATTAAATTGATAGAGAACCGTGTGTCGCCGATTAGTTGGAAGGTTGACAAATTAGGAGTTTATTTAGCGCCCGTACGTCATCGTATGCCGCCCCTAAGTGATCGGGGCTACGTTAGGTACCTCATATGATAGCACGTTTACAGGGGGTTTGGATGACTGCATTGACTACCCGCTCGCCTGCTTAAACCATTCGTCGGGTACTCATCCTGTAACGGAAACGCGGGGAGATCGCGCTCGGCGTCATAGAGTGCAGGGAAGTTTATGGATTCGTCAGATAATATCTCCGTGAAGTCGAGATAATTTTGGTACGTTTGATCGTTTATCTGTTACGCAAGATTAAAACCTCAACATGTCCTAGTGTTAAACTACGACTTACATTGATTTCGGTATTAAAGCCATCTTCTGGATTGAAAAGATCCGCCACACAATTATGTGGGACCGGAGGCGGCTGGGGTCTATCCTCTCGGTCCTCCGGGAGTTGTGGTCTTTCCGTCCGAGACAACGCCGGTAGACATGGAATAGGCGAGAAATTGCAATTGGATGATGCGTCTGTCTTTGAGCTATCTCGCAAATTCTATATTTTATTATAGTCGTTAGTATCTATCTGATTTAGGGTAACGTGCATGAAGAAACTGTGCAAGCAACTGACCTGCATCTGATTCGTGTTTCCTTCTGCAAGCTTTGCAGCATCAATGACACGCTGGATTGCCACATCATCGAAGCCTTGATCATGTAGTAAAGTTCGGAGGAGTCGGTTTTCTTCTTGAATCCTCCGGGCTTCCTTTTGCATCTCAATAGTGGCTTGAGCCCCTAATCGCATACATTCATTCCATTGCTTTTCGAGATTTTGGATATAGGCCTGCTTCCTTGCTCTCGAATTTCGCTGGTTGCGACGCAGACGCGCGCGCTGACGGCATGAGTTAGCATAGAAAATAACTTTTCGATACCGCCAGGATAGATTTCAGGATTCTCATTGTAACTAACCTCCGCTTCGACATCAGTAACGTTTGATTGTTCCATAATAAATGGTTTAACTACTCAAGATTTGTTGTGAGTATGGGCGTAAATGAAATTCGTAATTGTTACGGTTCACGGTTCACGGTTCACGTATCTTAGCGTTTAGTGGCAGGGGTTAACTTTCATGCACCACAGTATAAATAGGTACTGTACACAGTTACTAGGTTAATAGGTCACCTTTGCTCTATGAAATAGCATCAATGAATATGAATTTGTATGCCTACTACATGTCACCAACGTACATAACTGACTTGCTAAAAATAGATGTTGAATTTAGGTTATCTATACTGCGTGACACATTCTTTTAGGGTATTACACAATTTAAGCCTGATATAACATTATCCTATGCAAATAGTAGGTTGAAGAAGAAGAGATGTTGTATTGTTAAAAGCTCTTTATAGGTGTGTCATTTTCGTTCCCAGTTCAATCTTAGCCGAAGCACGAATGAATTCCTTGAGGTTTAGATAGTCCTAGCTAGGTTTATGCGTGACGAGTGCCTTCCAGAATTTCTTTGTCTTGTTGAGGTAGTGCCTCATGAGGTTGGCGTATACACCCGACCATAGTTGTCGGAAATATAGTGTCTTTTAGTTGTTTCCCCTCGGATCTGTAATCTGTTCGTTCGATATTGCTTTTTTGGTAGTATTGAAGGCACATGGGCTGTTTGCCATGATAGAGATGTAATGTTAGAGTATGTAGGTAGATGCGGACGGTGTTGTAAAACCGCGCACCCAGTATTAGGAGGTATTGTAATTATAGTGTGTTGATTAAGCAATGTAATAGGTCCAACGCGACTACTGAATTTCGATATGCTTTGCCGCGTGCATCGTGCTATATTTGTCGCACTTTCCAACGATGCGGCCCCTACAAAAGCTGGCGGCCAAGTTTGCATCCAGAGTGTGTCGTTCTTCCATGACGGTTCTAAGTTGAGCCTGTAAGTCTTCATTTCTCTTCTCTGATTGTTCCAGCTTCGTCGTAGCCCTCTCAAGAGCCAGATTGCTCGCCATCAGTCGGTCTCTGGCACCGACTTTACTTGGCCACGCTCCGTTCGTTCGCCAGAAAGCCAGATCATGCTACACGACAAGAACATCCTTTCTCGTCATGGATGGCGGCTCTATAGCTCTCCAAAGTGAGTCTATCCGACAAGTTGGTCCTTGCTTCATCGAAAGAAGCGTCAACTCTCTATCCAACTTAGATGAAGAGCTCCTGTAGCCCTCTATTCTTCCTCTCTTCTCATCCTCTATTCCCTTGCTGAATATTGTATGGTCCCGATACAATAAAGGAACGTGTGACTTGGCTTCCGTTAGACGCTTCATCTGAGCTAATATGACTAGTGAAATGTCGCGGCTTAGGCTTTATGATGCATATGCCGTGCCGATGATGACATGTAAGATAAGGTGGCGCCGATGTCCGTATTTAAGGAGGTCGTTGTAAATTGTTATTAGATTTGTTACTGGCCGTAGCAAATCCCAAATTTGTGTCCATTCCACAAATGGCTTGTTGGTGAGAATCCGGCCTCAAATTGCAACAGTCATCGGTTGAGTCTTTTTTGTCGCATTCCGAGGTTCCATCCACAGGTCTTTGAGGAAATACTTCGCCGAGATTTAAGCCTTTGCGCTATTTGGATGCTCCACGCTGGCTTCGATCAAGGTAAACTACCAGTTACCTAGACTATAGTATCCTTTCATGACTTCCCTCGTGGCATCGTCAGTTGCCTTAGTCCTTGCACCCGGTGTGTCTTTTGGAACTATTTGGATTGCCGGGAATTCCGTTACTAACGTGTGGAACTCCGTTTCTAAATTGATGTTAGAATAGTTATCATAAATAATTATCATAAAGCACAAGCTGTTACTTACCAGGTAGTTCTTCGTCAACTTTTTCCACAGCCTCTAAGAGAATTTCTCTAATTCCCTGGGTTACCTCTTGCTGCCCAATAATTCCGTAGTCCGCGCGAAGAATCGACTCCTCTATCTTATTTCGATCAGATTTGAGCCACCGCACACGCAGTTCATGTCCTTCGCAGTGATCGTCTCTAAAATACTGGTCGGTGTGTACCTGTCGTGCGCCAATTGCGACAGAGAGGAGATAGTGGGCTTCCGCAAGCTTGCTGATGTCGTCTGACTCTAGCTCCTTGTATTGATACCATTCACACTTGCGCTCAACAAGCTTATAGAAATAGTATAGGGCCCTCTCTTGGAAGCGATGTTTGTTGCAATAGCAGGAATGGTATCTCGGTAGTGAACACTGCACCCCATCGCAATAAGCCTACGAACTTGTAAGTAAAAAACTCCAGTGGCGTGATTGACATGAATAGATACTTACATTGCAAGACATGGCTTATGAATTAGAGTCCTGAGTAGCTTAAGTGCCTTATATTATAGACAAAAGAAGCTGTTTTGGGGGGCGTTTGGTTATCGGCCTTGTTGATAATGCGGGAGTAATTGAAGATGAAAGTAATGTAAGTAATGTAGAGTATTGTCGACGTATGCCTTATATAATCGGAATGCGAGTGAATTTGCTTGACTGTGGTCCCTATTAGATCCAGCTATTCAATGTACTGTAGGTAAAATATACTGTAGGTTCAACATACTGTAGGTAAGAAAATGTTACTCACATTCTTCCAAAGGCTTAGCTGTGTAAATAAAATGTGGATAGGTGAATGATAGACCCACGGGTCGAAGACTCGAGGACGTGTATTTATAGGCTTCATATTGAATGCCGCTATTGCATAGCAATAACCTACGCACGTTTGCATTGCCATGGTGGTCATATAGTTTCGTAATCATGCTGTATGTGCTTAGGTATGTATCACTGTTAAAAATAGGATAAGAATAAGATTTATGTATTTGTTAATGTTAAACTGTTGGGAAGTATTGACAATGTGCTTGTGTGGTCTGTGTATATACGAGAAAGAAGAGAAAGGAGGTTCAGTAATAAAAAGAGCTAAGATATTTTAATCTTTAAATATTGAGTCAAGTTTAGCTCCGCTAAGCCTACTTCCCGTGACGACGCAACAAGGTTCAATACCTACAAAGACGTCTGATAACGGTTGCTAGGGAATGAGGTACCGAGGTAGATATTTAATTTAGGATATGTACCTACCTGTACTACAACCATTCCATAAATTGTATACCTATATCTTAAGTACCTAACGTACTGTTGTGTACCTCTTACCTGCCCGAGTATCCTCCGACATGTTGGAAAGTCTTAACGCAATGTATGAGTAGGGGGTAGGAGCGGAGGATATCTTAATATTATGTAAAGGTGCTATAACTCTACATATCTCCTTCGAAGGGGGTGCTCCAGATGCCTTATAAGCTATAGTCGCACGCTGCTGTAGCTTGCATCTCCCCCAAAAATTCTACGGCAAAAACATTTACCTTTAACATGTTGGAACGAAGACCAAAACGTGAGGTATTCTTTACAAAAGCATTATAAAGGTCTTATGTTAATGCCTTGAGTTTACGAAGGGTTATTGTGTTGAATTTTTTTTTTATAAAAACTTGTCCGGATTAGGAAATGGAAATTGCCTATTTGAGATTTGAGAATTACCAGAATAGGAAGGAAAAGTAAAGGTTTGGTTAATTTTATTAAATATTAATTAGGTATATTTTGGAAAAAAGTAAGGTTTTAAATGCGATTTAATTAAATATATTTTAAAGAAAATAAAATTTTTGGATAAAAAAGTTTACTTTAATGTTGTTTATATAAATTTGTTATTAATTTGATTAAATATATTTTTATTTTTTATTATTTATTATTATAATATTTATTATTTTATGTTATTTAAAGTTTTGTTAAATAAAATTGCTAAAATATTTATAAATTTTTTTTAATATAATTATATTATAATAAAAATAATAATTTTATTTTTAAGTTTTATATTAATTATTTATTATTATAATATAAACTTTTTTTAATAATATATAAAAATATATTATTATTGTTTATGTTAAATATAAATTATATATATTTATTTATTTATATTTTTTATTATATTATTTATTTATAATTTATATAATTTAAATTTAATTTATAATTTATATAATTAATATTTAATTTGTAATTTATATTATTAATATTTAAACATTTATTATTTTTATTGTTTAATATTAAAAAATGCTATTTATATGTTATAATAATTGTGGGGAATTTATTTTTTGTAAAATTTTTGCTAATGTTAAAAGGGATAAAAGTGTTATTGTTACCTTTATTGAAAATTTTTGTTGCGATGATAAAAAAAGGGATTTAAATGCCATTGTTGCCTTTTATAAAAATTTTGGCTATAATAATACCAGGAAGAATTTAAATAGCTTTAGCGTAAGATTTAGGAATAAAAATGTTTTGAGAGTTGAAAAAAAACGTATTTTAAAAAAAAGAGTTTTTACGTTAAAATACCTTATTAAATTAAAACGTGTTGTAAAAAATGTACCCCAAAATCTACTTTTTAACAATTTAAATTATATTATTGGTAAATTATTATTGCGGTTAAAAAATGTTTTTAATTTTATATTTTATAAAGATAAATTTTTTTTAATAGTTTTTTATTTATTTATTTTTAATAGTTTTAATAAAAAAATATTAAATAGTTTTAAAAAAATATATTTATTTATATTAATTGTAAACAAAAAAAATAAGATTTATTTTTATAAGCTATTTTATATATAATGTAATTTTTTAATAATGTTAAAGTTTATTAAAATAAATTATAAAATAATTATTTATAAAAATAAAATTGCAAGTAAATAATATTTATATAAAAATATAAATAATATTATTAATTATAAATTATTTACGGTTAAAAATTTTTAAAAATATTTTAAAAAAAGTAATAATTAAGAGTTATATATAAGCGATATTAATAAACAAAATGAAGTTAATATTTATTATAAAGTAATTTAAAATGTATAAAAAATGTTTAATATAATTATTAAACGTTATAAAGAAATTTTATTAATTAAATTTGGATTTACTTTTTAATAAGTAAATAATTGTTTTATAGTAAG